TCAGAGATGCAGTTGCTGAGAGTGGCTTCATTCCTGCAAGGTAAGGTGGCAATTGATATATTTATTATGTCACTACCACAAGTGGTGACATGTTGTAATTGTAATACAGAGATCAGAGATGCAGTTGCTGAGAGTGGCTTCATTCCTGCAAGGTAAGGTGGCAATTTGATATATTTATTATGTCACTACCACAAGTGGTGACATGTTGTAATTGTAATACAGAGATCAGAGATGCTGTTGCTGAGAGTGGCTTCATTCCTGCAAGGTAAGGTGGCAATTTGATATATTTATTATGTCACTACCACAAGTGGTGACATGTTGTAATTGTTATACAGAGATCAGAGATGCAGTTACTGAGAGTGGCTTCATTCCTGCAAGGTAAGGTGGCAATTTGATATATTTATTATGTCACTACCACAAGTGGTGACATGTTGTAATTGTTATACAGAGATCAGAGATGCAGTTGCTGAGAGTGGCTTCATTTCTGCAAGGTAAGGTGGCAATTTGATATATTTATTATGTCACTACCACAGGTGGTGACATGTTGTAATTGTTATACAGAGATCAGAGATGCAGTTGCTGAGAGTGGCTTCATTCCTGCAAGGTAAGGTGGCAATTTGATATATTTATTATGTCACTACCACAAGTGGTGACATGTTGTAATTGTTATACAGAGATCAGAGATGCAGTTGCTGAGAGTGGCTTCATTCCTGCAAGGTAAGGTGGGAATTTGATATATTTATTATGTCACTACCACAAGTGGTGACATGTTGTAATTGTAATACAGAGATCAGAGATGCAGTTGCTGAGAGTGGCTTCATTCCTGCAAGGTAAGGTGGCAATTTGATATATTTATTATGTCACTACCACAAGTGGTGACATGTTGTAATTGTTATACAGAGATCAGAGATGCAGTTGCTGAGAGTGGCTTAATTCCTGCAAGGTAAGATGGCAATTTGATATATTTATTATGTCACTACCACAAGTGGTGACAAGTTGTAATTGTTATACAGAGATCAGAGATGCAGTTGCTGAAAGTGGCTTCATTCCTGCAAGGTAAGGTGGCAATTTGATATATTTATTATGTCACTACCACAAGTGGTGACATGTTGTAATTGTAATACAGAGATCAGAGATGCTGTTACTGAGTGGCTTCATTCCTGCAAGGTAAGGTGGCAATTTGATATATTTATTATGTCACTACCACAAGTGGTGACAAGTTGTAATTGTTATACAGAGATCAGAGATGCAGTTGTTGAAAGTGGCTTCATTCCTGCAAGGTAAGGTGGCAATTTGATATATTTATTATGTCACTACCACAAGTGGTGACATGTTGTAATTGTAATACAGAGATCAGAGATGCAGTTGCTGAGAGTTGCTTCATTCCTGCAAGGTAAGATGGCAATTTGATATATTTATTATGTCACTACCACAAGTGGTGACATGTTGTAATTGTAATACAGAGATCAGAGATGCAGTTACTGAGAGTGGCTTCATTCCTGCAAGGTAAGGTGGCAATTTGATATATTTATTATGTCACTACCACAAATGGTGACAAGTTGTAATTGTTATACAGAGAACAGAGATGCAGTTGCTGAGAGCGGCTTCATTCCTGCAAGGTAAGGTGGCAATTTGATATATTTATTATGTCACTACCACAAGTGGTGACATGTTGTAATTGTTATACAGAGATCAGAGATGCAGTTACTGAGAGTGGCTTCATTCCTGCAAGGTAAGGTGGCAATTTGATATATTTATTATGTCACTACCACAAGTGGTGACATGTTGTAATTGTAATACAGAGATCAGAGATGCAGTTACTGAGAGTGGCTTCATTCCTGCAAGGTAAGGTGGCAATTTGATATATTTATTATGTCACTACCACAAATGGTGACAAGTTGTAATTGTTATACAGAGAACAGAGATGCAGTTGCTGAGAGCGGCTTCATTCCTGCAAGGTAAGGTGGCAATTTGATATATTTATTATGTCACTACCACAAGTGGTGACATGTTGTAATTGTTATACAGAGATCAGAGATGCAGTTACTGAGAGTGGCTTCATTCCTGCAAGGTAAGGTGGCAATTTGATATATTTATTATGTCACTACCACAAGTGGTGACATGTTGTTATTGTTATACAGAGATCAGAGATGCAGTTGCTGAGAGTGGCTTCATTCCTGCAAGGTAAGGTGGCAATTTGATATATTTATTATGTCACTACCACAAGTGGTGACATGTTGTAATTGTTATACAGAGATCAGAGATGCAGTTACTGAGAGTGGCTTCATTCCTGCAAGGTAAGGTGGCAATTTGATATATTTATTATGTCACTAACACAAGTGGTGACATGTTGTAATTGTAATACAGAGATCAGAGATGCAGTTGCTGAGAGTGGCTTCATTCTTGGTAAGGTGGCAATTTGATATATTTATTATGTCACTACCACAAGTGGTGACATGTTGTAATTGTTATACAGAGATCAGAGATGCAGTTGCTGAGAGTGGCTTCATTCCTGCAAGGTAAGGTAGCAATTTGATATATTTATTATGTCACTACCACAAGTGGTGACAAGTTGTAATTGTTATACAGAGATCAGAAATGCAGTTGCTGAGAACAGCTTCATTCCTGCAAGGTAAGATGGCAATTTGATATATTTATTATGTCACTACCACAAGTGGTGACATGTTGTAATTGTAATACAGAGATCAGAGATGCAGTTGCTGAGAGTGGCTTCATTCCTGCAAGGTAAGATGGCAATTTGATATATTTATTATGTCACTACCACAAGTGGTGACAAGTTGTAATTGTTATACAGAGATCAGAGATGCTGTTGCTGAGAGTGGCTTCATTCCTGCAAGGTAAGATGGCAATTTGATAAATTTATTATGTCACTACCACGAGTGGTGAGATGTTGTAATTGTAATACAGAGATCAGAGATGCAGTTGCTGAGAGTGGCTTCATTCCTGCAAGGTAAGATGGCAATTTGATATATTTATTATGTCACTACCACAAGTGGTGACATGTTTTAATTGTAATACAGAGATCAGAGATGCAGTTGCTGAGAGTGGCTTCATTCCTGCAAGGTAAGGTGGCAATTTGATATATTTATTATGTCACTACCACAAGTGGTGACATGTTGTAATTGTTATACAGAGATCAGAGATGCAGTTGCTGAGAGTGGCTTCATTCCTGCAAGGTAAGGTGGCAATTTGATATATTTATTATGTCACTACCACAAGTGGTGACCTGTTGTAATTGTAATACAGAGATCAGAGATGCAGTTGCTGAGAGTGGCTTCATTCCTGCAAGGTAAGGTGGCAATTTGATATATTTATTATGTCACTACCACAAGTGGTGACAAGTTGTAATTGTTATACAGAGAACAGAGATGCAGTTGCTGAGAGCGGCTTCATTCCTGCAAGGTAAGGTGGCAATTTGATATATTTATTATGTCACTACCACAAGTGGTGATATGTTGTAATTGTTATACAGAGATCAGAGATGCAGTTACTGAGAGTGGCTTCATTCCTGCAAGGTAAGGTGGCAATTTGATATATTTATTATGTCACTACCACAAGTGGTGACATGTTGTAATTGTAATACAGAGATCAGAGATGCAGTTGCTGAGAGTGGCTTCATTCCTGCAAGGTAAGGTGGCAATTTGATATATTTATTATGTCACTACCACAAGTGGTGACCTGTTGTAATTGTTATACAGAGATCAGAGATGCAGTTGCTGAGAGTGGCTTCATTCCTGCAAGGTAAGGTGGCAATTTGATATATTTATTATGTCACTACCACAAGTGGTGACATGTTGTAATTGTAATACAGAGATCAGAGATGCAGTTGCTGAGAGTGGCTTCATTCCTGCAAGGTAAGGTGGCAATTTGATATATTTATTATGTCACTACCACAAGTGGTGACATGTTGTAATTGTAATACAGAGATCAGAGATGCAGTTGCTGAGAGTGGCTTCATTCCTGCAAGGTAAGATGGCAATTTGATATATTTATTATGTCACTACCACAAGTGGTGACATGTTGTAATTGTAATACAGAGATCAGAGATGCAGTTGCTGAGAGTGGCTTCATTCCTGCAAGGTAAGATGGCAATTTGATATATTTATTATGTCACTACCACAAGTGGTGACATGTTGTAATTGTTATACAGAGATCAGAGATGCAGTTGCTGAAAGTGGCTTCATTCCTGCAAGGTAAGATGGCAATTTGATATATTTATTATGTCACTACCACAAGTGGTGACATGTTGTAATTGTAATACAGAGATCAGAGATGCAGTTGCTGAGAGTGGCTTCATTCCTGCAAGGTAAGGTGGCAATTTGATATATTTATTATGTCACTACCACAAGTGGTGACATGTTGTAATTGTTATACAGAGATCAGAGATGCAGTTGCTGAGAGTGGCTTCATTCCTGCAAGGTAATTAAAGATGACAATTATCAATTCTGATGTATTTATTGAACATTTCAATGACTTTTGTTACATTAGGATATCTTTTAACAATGGGAGTTACACCAGTAGGCAAGTTCATTTAGTATGTAAGCATATTAGGCACTTTTTCAAATGTTAAGGATGAATACTTGCACTAAAATGAAGAATCTGATTTAGACTTCTCTTTTTAACTTTGAAGTAAAGATGTCAGGATAGTGAATGATATTTCTGGATATAATTTCCCTTTTGTTTGTCAGAAGAAAATGTGAAATGTCTGGAAAAATTAATACTTACTATATTAATGATATATTGACTGCTCATTGACTCAAATATTTGAACTGAGCTGTACTAAAACCATACAGTACTCACTCATGAGCTATGATAATATGGAGTCTTAATAGATAGCAGTTCATTGTTCAAAGACTGGGGATGCCTTACATTGTGTTGAATTATACTGAAACTGAGATGCATAAACTACTTTTGTGTGTTAATGTTAGACCAAAATTATCAATATCTAAAATCTTGTCAATGAATGTCTGTATTTCCAGTCCTGTAAAAACAAGACGTTCCCAGAGAAAGCGTAACCAACCTGGGTCAACTGGGAGTGTAACTGATGTTGTCAAGCCCTCACGGAAACGCCAAAAATAGACCTCTTAGACACAGCACAAATCAGGAACAATATTTGATAAACTGAACCACAGAAGGGGATTTCCATGTGTATGTGACATGGATGCTACATATACATGTATTTCAGGACCATTATACATGTATTTCAGGACCATTATACACATATTTCAGGACCATTATACACGTATTTCTGGAGTGTTCTGAACTTTTACCATATCATTGCAATGTTCCTTCTGTCTCTTCTGCAAGAAACAATCCCATGAAAAGAAAAACATGTTATGAAATATATGACTGATTGAGCTTTACCTGAAACTGCTTGATTATATACATTAATACATAAATAAGATATATTCTAGCAAGGACCTTCTCTTAGAAAATATCATGCAGTAATATTAAATAACAAATATATTAACTATAAAATCATTTAAACCACATAAAGCTCATAAAAGATAGTAAAATCTTTATACTCCCTTGATTTAGGTACTAGCTTCAGGATTTTTATGTCACCACCAGATGTGGTGACATATTGTTATAGTCTCTAACTTTTTATGGAATGTGTTCATCATTCAATGTCTGGTGTTCGGCGGTTGGTGTTTGTAACAAATGGCAGGTGGTGACATCAGAAATGATTTGAGCAAAACATATAGTTAAATAAGTCAATTTAGCATGAATGGATATATAAGCTGTTATATATAAGTATTCAAACATACATGTATGCTAGTAAAATGATGGGAATTATTTGTTATGTCACCACTTCCTGTTATGTCACCACTGGAACTGGTTACATATTTTTATAGTCTCAAACCTTTTTGTGGACAGTGTTCAGTAGTTGGCATTCAGAGTTCACCATTCAATAGTTCAGCATCTGTGACAAATGGCAGGTGGTGACATAATGCATGTTAATGCCTTGTATACATATTTTTGTATATCAATTGAATATGAATTATTCGATTTTTTTTGCCTTTATAGTATTCTCTTCACCCAAAGTGTTCTGATTATATTTATTTCAAGTTAATGCTTGATACCTATTATTATTCACAATTAAATATAAGAGCAATAGATAAAATATTTTAAAAGAAAATGATTTGAAAAGTTTTGTTATTATTACTATTATGTATTCCAAGCCTTATGTAAAGATGTCTCTTTATTCTGAACATCATTCTCTAAATGCGCCATTGTATCTCCATCCCACTCTATTCATCTCTGCCGGTGCCAAATCAATGCAAATGCGCCATTGTATCTCCATCCCACTCTATTCATCTCTGCCAATGCCAAATCAATGCAAATGCGCCATTGTATCTCCATACCACTCTATTCATCTCTGCCAATGCCAAATCAATGCAAATGCACCATTGTATCTCCATACCACTCTATTCATCTCTGCCAATGCCAAATCAATGCAAATGCTGTTTTCTATATAGGGTAATATATGTGACAGTGATGACTTGTGTCTGGTATCCAGTCCAGTATGTAAGACATAAACAAAGTAATTAGGGAAGGGATCAGACTATCATATCAATATCTGCGTAAGCTTGGAATTAATTTTCTTGTTAAAGGAGTGCAAAATAAGTAAAGTACATTTTATTTTATTTTTGAGGTGGATATTAATTTTAGGATTCAGGATTTTTGAAATCATAAGGGGGAGAGGAGAGATGAACAACAGAGGGGTTGAAAGTTAATTCAAGAGATGGTTACAATTTTATAAGTATGAAATTGCCATATTTATATTAAATGATATAGATTATTAATGCTATGTTGGTTTATCATTAATAATTTTTTGCATTGAAACATATAAACATATAAATATTACAACTTCATTTATGAGTTATTATAATCTCTTGCATTAAAATATACAATTTGATAAGTTGTGTCAAAAAAACTATACCAAAACAGTATTTGAGTTATAGCCTTGATAAAAAGACATATGGATTGAAGCATTCGTTTATCTCACTGACAAGCTCAAGGGGAGGATTGTCTGTCATTACTGTTATGCACGGGCACTGGCAGTACTAACTGCTTGGAGGTGTGCTAGAATGTAATTAATTTTGAGCCAATTTGTCTTTTGGCAAACATTTGTAAACTGATAAAATCATGTGAGACAATAGACTCAAGATTCATTATCCCTCTGAATGGACGGAGGGATATAGAGAAGCCATCCAATTGTCAGTCCATTTGTCTGTCTGTGTGATACATAGATCCCGGCCAGATTCTTTTGTAGTAGGATCAGTAGCTCAATAAGTATTCCTCAAGATGAGACACCTCAGAAAATTTCAAATTTTAAAATGACGATTATGGAGCCATTTCCGAAAAATATGGGACAAATCATACCTCATTCGAAGCATCTTGTTATTCTTTAACTTTTTTATCATCAATGACCGTTATTCAAGCAATGCTGCGTTGATAAGAGGCCAAAACAGTGATAATTTATCGCCGGACTCTTGTCTGTCCAAATCTGAATGGTGCTCCCTTGGTTCCAGAAATGTGACGTCATCATTACAATGATATTTGGACACACCAGAGTCCGGATCTCTTGAAAAATATTCGCCGTATTAAAAGTCAAATAACTGTATCCATAGGTTATTTACTCGAACCAAAGAAGTAGAAATAGAAAGATGAAGATCTCAGCTATAAAATAAGTGGAAAATCTGTCATGGGGAAGCAGGTACCATTTTATATAAGGACATTTTTGAAAGGTGGTCATATTTTTTTGAAATTTTCCAATTTAGTGTCGTATCTTATGAATTATTCTTTGAGCTTATGAGATCCTACTACAAAACGATCTGGCCAATATCTGTGGTGTGATATATCAAATGTTAGATTTGGCTCCATGCCAACAAGGCTGATGAATTGTGAATTTAACAAGTAATGTTAAGCCACTCAATTCAAAATACTCAGTTGTCAGACTTGGTTCAGTTTTTTTTCACTGACACTGCATGGTCATAAGACTCTACTCAAGAAAACAATTCAAGATGGCTGCTGAATTCAATATGCTCCCATTGTTCAGAAGAAAAAAAATTATACAAATACCAGTTATCCGATTTGGTCTTTTCATCGCCTTATGTCATTTGGGTATAAGACTATTGAGAAAGAATTTCTTATAAGGTGTCACTTTATGTTATTTTACTTGAAGGTTCTTCAAACACTACTGATCACAATGTAATCATTTCAATTTTTCAATGACAACACTGTGTGAATATTGGATTTCTAGAATTGGTAAAATTGATGAGGTACCATTCGCTGGACATGTGAGATGTAACTTTTTGATTAAAAGAGACCTGAAACACAGTGCTCTTACATGTCTTATATTGTCTTATATAATGGTATTCGAAGTACGTATTCGTAATTTTTCATGACGTTAGTCCCTGTTTTACCGAGGCTTATGGGCTCAGACTAAAGCTTTCATTGTACTGTAATCAGAAAAAGATAAATGATTTGATTTCCTGATACGGTGATTCTGTACTTGTGTAGGTTTCCACTTTGTCAATAACCTCTCCAGGATACTGAAAAATCTTGAGTTTAAGAAGATAAAATGATCATTTATGACATCTGATAACTGATGATCGTGACATTGAGATATACTCACACTTGTTAATCAATAATTATATATTTCTATGAGTGACGTTGACGTAGAGTGGGAGTATTGTTTTTTTATTTGATTAGCCAAATAAAAGGAGAGATCTTGGAGACATATATTTGATGAGATTTGTACAATTGATAGTGTTGTCATTTTAAAATTGGTGGTGTTGCAATTTTGAAATTGGTGGTGTTGCAATTTAAAAATTTTCCCTCGTTAATAATTTTTCCTGTCTCATATCCTTTGGTGATCTATAAAAAAAGAGTGTCTGTTTTTTCAAAGTAGGCAAAATGTCTTAACGGAAATTAAATATGTTCTAGCCTAGATGTCAACTGATTTGTTCATTTTGCTCTGATAACCCTGAATATATCTGATCTTGTTAAGCAGGTTTTGAGTGACACCGGGGCTAATTATCTCGTGTTAACAACACATTCTTAGAAGATTTCAACAATCTTTAAGCAAATTAACATGGCAAAGTGACGTAAGAGTGACGCTGTGCAAACGTTGCCAGAATTCCTTGGCTAATTTCCATCAGTAACTTATGTAAAAAGATAAGGCATAAAATAGTTCTTATATATTCAGTTAGTTCCATCATAATATCTCAATCGGATTATCATTAGGGGCGTTACTAACCCCCATTGAGCAGTTTATGATAGTACTACGTAAATACAACATTAAATCCAACTCTCTCAAGACGTAATGATTCATTTGTTTGCGAACTTTCTGTCTCACTAAAATCGACATTAGTGAAACCTTTTTAATTGAAAAATAAATGGTATATTGTCATAATCGATGATTCAGAGATACTTCTTTCTTAAGATATTCACTTGGGGAATAAGTTGATTAATTTTGATGCGTGAGAAGGCAGACCTGGGGCGATATATAACTGAGACATCTACTTATGAGAGTACGATCTGAGGAAGGAAATTAGGATACAAACATAGAACAGCAACAGGAAAGACCAATCAAGTTAGAGCTACCTCTGGAGTTTATATGGATCTCTCTCAACAATCAGCTACTTGTGTGTATTGGCGATACACATAACAACAACACAAAGCTTTCATTAATTCCCAACATATATTTTACAAGATAGTTCAAAAATCAAAAATGCATCTTAGTACATGCTTTTTGTTAGCTCTTATGCTCCAGTGTGGACTTATAGGAATTGCTGATGGCTCTAGTCAAATTCAGAAATACCGAAGGGAGGAACGGATTTTAATGAAAGTTTTCAAGACTTTAGATACAATTCTGGAGGATGCCATTCTTTCAACAGGAAAGCAGTTGGATAGAGATATTGCTTTATTAAAAGACATTATAAAGTTAAATAACTCTAACGCTATTGGAAATAACATTGAAAATGGGAGTAATTCAAAAGTTGGAACTGATGAGAAAAACAAACTAAAAGATGAAGAGATTGTTGTTAAACCTGCTATAAAAATGAAGGGAATTATTCTTAGGCGAACATTGAATGGGAAGTTGAGACCAAGTAAAACCATTCGATTTTGGTACCCTAAAAATAATGATGTTTTAGATACTAATCACAATGGATTCAAATCTTTAAAAAATCAGTTTAAAAAAGAAATCATACAGAAGACCAAACCTGGGTCAAAGTCTAAATTTACTGGACAGAACAGACTCGGGGCAATGGGCCATTCCAAAAGTTCTGAGAATTTTGGACAGTTTGGGACATTTACAAACACAAACTCTTTCAAACATTCCAATGTTTCTCCATTGAAGGAATCATTTGGGTCATTCGCCACTTCCAAATCATCTGGTAATGGATTTGGAAAGTTTGCAGACTTTAAACCTAACAAGCCTAAGGAAGAGACTTTTGGGAGCTTCGGTGACTTAAAACCTTCAAAAACTCAAGAAAAAACAGGAACTTTTGATATTGGTAATTTTGGTAGCTTCGGAGACTTAAAGCCTTCCAAGACACTAGAAAAACCAGAGAAGTTTGACATTGTTGGTTTTGGCAATTTTGCAGACATTAAACCTGTTAAGAGTCCTTCTTATGGTTCATTTAAACCCTCCATGGACCAGCCTGTTCAAACAGGTAGTTCTGATACAATGGGGGAATTTCCCAGGGGCTCAAAGCATCATCAAGCACAGGAGGATCACTCCCAGGTGTCATTTGGATCCTCAGATGTTAATATATCTGAAGGCTCATTTGGATCAAATACAGTAAGTATATATTACAATCCATAAACTTTAGAAGCTAACATTTTGTTCATTTACAGAAATTGTGGAATTTTGACCTGCTAGCAAGAGCATTCTTTGTTATGTATCTTTTACACCTCTTAAAGGGGCTTTAATTAGGATTCATGCTGTAAACTGTAAACATGTCCAATGGGTGTGTTACTTTCGTATTGCGATAAGTTCTCCTGAGAATTTGTAAAATCTAACACCTAAAGGTGTTCTTTTCATTAAAACTATTCATATACATCATTGGCCTTAGAATTAAATAATTAAAGGTATAATAGCATGAATTCGCACTACATATAGAACTATCACTTCAGGAGACAATGGTTAATAACCCAGATGCGAGTAGAAATAATCTTGATTTACGTCATTAAAAATTCAAAATTCAGTCAAAGTAATATCATATTTGAAATCTACATGTAAAATGACATCTAGAAATGTGGTTTTAAAAGGTGTTTTTCAACTTTGAAAAATTAATTTTCTTTGAAAATGTGACTTGTAGCTAGGGGAGATTCCCCATAGACCCCATGCTATAAAATCACAAAAAATGAAATATCTTTTCTTTTAGTGGACAGATAATATTTTGCTTTACTGGACATATTTTCATTAGTATAAGTATCAGACACATAAGGGTTATATGAAAATTGAGCCACTTAAATTGATAATATTCAAGTTTAAGGGAACTTTCTTATATACCTGCCATGTTAATTGACCCGAATCAGCCACCTGGTGGTGAAACTGGTAACTACCTACTCGCATTTGGGTAATTAGATTCTCAGTTCTATTTATAAGTCAGTTCAGATCAAAATCTTATAGCACAAAACATTTTTTTGTATTAAAGTGAATTTCTTGGCCTTAGTATCAGACTAACTAATAATAACATCAATTATAGATGCAAATTGATAATTTTACAAAAATGAATTATTTTGAATTTGTATTTATTATATTGATTATCATTTTTATTTAATTTTTAAATTGCTTTTTGATCTTTAAATTTGGGGGAAAGTTCAATGCTTCAAAAAATTCCCCAAATTACTCAATACAGTTTTAATGCAAGGCACTACAAAAATGTTACTGTGTTAAAGTTTTTATTGCATCATCATAAACAGTCTAAAAATTGAGACTCAAAATATCACACATTCAGAGCAAGTGTATCAGTGCAAATAGGTATTCATATTTGTAACAATAGGTCACTGTGTCTCTAATATCAATATAACCTAAGCAAGTGAATAGTGCAAATAGGTAGGCCTATTCATACTTGTAACAATAGGTCACTGTGTCTCTAATATCAATATAATGATGACAAATACAGATCATGATGAAAATGAAAGCTGCTGTTCAACTGATAATCAAGATTGGATTATAAGCTTAGTAGTAATCAATTTCATTATAACTTGTCAAAGTCCTATCGAAAATCGCTATGAGTGGAAAATAAGAGGGCATTAGGCCTACTTAGTATTTTGGTTAATTCGCAATACAAGAATTGTGTACAGTCATTTTTGATATACTCTAAATTAGAAATGACAATCAATTTACACTGTGCATTAACTATTTGTGTCCTTTATTTTCCGAAATATAAGATATCCAAAATAGGTTCAAAATTAAGACCATTTTTAAGAGAAGAAACTTTTAATCACTTTAAAAAAACAAAGCTAAACCTACAGACCTAAAGTAAAAGTAGGAAATAAGCTCAGTGCATGTGTTGTCTTCCTAGTTACCACGTGTTGTTGTAGTTACCAAATTAACCCTGTGCTGAACCATCTAATGGAGGTACTTAAGTTACTAATTATTTTATTGTTCCACCAGATGAAACTGTATCCAACTTTGCAAAGAGCCATCTAAAAAGAGATTACATGAACACGTCAATGCTTGACCCTATTATTTCTCACTAAAAACAATACTTAAAACATGCTGTCATAAAATTTATCCAATAAAAGTTTTTTCCAAAGGTATCTTGCAGCCTCCCAGCCATAGAATACAATGATGAAGTGGGCTGGGCATAAATTGATATTATAGTATTTCAAATTGTATAATTAATAGGGGAAACACAATCCAACTGACATTTTGTTTTCCTATAAAAATCAGAAATATCAACTTATTTTTTAATGAATTGTGAAGATAGAAAACGTTACATCACACTTTGTGTTATTATTCATATTATCCAATTAATCTTGATTTAATTTCATTTCCTGATTTCACACTCATTGCCGAAGATTAACAGCTTCCATAAAAATATATTAACAACACTTTTATTGCTTATAGAGATGCAATCACCAAATTATACAATCTACTGTAAATCATGTTCAATTCTCTCCTATTTAATTCCCTGATTCATGAATTATGCCACTATGTAATGAATAATTTTACCATTTATATCAATATACACTGAGAATGTACAATTCAGTTTTGCAATTTCATTTAACAATGTTAATTTTCATTAAACAATTATCTCATCAGGAAAACAAGTGTGCTCGTCAGATGCTTTTTGAGCCTAAGCCTCCCCCACCATGTTAAATGCATTTTAATATGAAAGCAACCTATCACAAAAAAGTAAAATCCATAACATATATTTCCTATGTTTTAGGACAACTGTAAGGGCATTAAGAGGAGAAAATGCAGCTCAGACTCCCATTGTAGCTGTTTTGGATTCTACAAATGCGTCAAAGGTCGCTGCAGGACAAGGGGACACAAGGCAAAAGGTAATCATGGGTGAATAAAAGGTTATATGATCATACTGACTGCGATTAGCCGTGGTTTGAGATGAAAAGTCTAACGGTGTTGAAAGGAAATGTCATTGTAATGGCCTTTCTTTGAATGCTGGTTTAATATCCAATGTAGAAAACCAGTAAGCTAATAAATAACTGCTCTCCGATGCTTTTGGTATGAAGCTGTTGCCTTAAAGCTGCCATAGACTTCCACTTCATACAAAATTTTAAAAAAAATGAAATTAAAAAATTGTGTGAATTAAGTACCTGCAAACATAAACAGCACCCATTACACAAAATTTCACAATTTTTGAACTGACTTTTTAAATGGTTCAAATTAAAAAGTCATCTTGTCATAAAATCATGGACATTTCCAGCAATGGGGAAACATTAGAAAATCCTCAGTATTTTGGAAAAAAGCAAAAAAGTCAGAAACTCTGAAAATCTGAACTATTACTTAATTGAACCAAATAATCTACTTTTATAGTATCTTCATCAAAGTCCAAAGAGGTTATTATCCAAAAATATAAAATGCTACTAAATTTTAACATGATGAACGATGGCAAACATAAATCTGCAGATAATAAAAAAACACCCATAATTTTCAGTTGTTAACAAAAGTTTGGTTTCATTAATTCAATCTCCTTTGTATGTTATTGAATAGGAAGTAACCTTCATTGGTAACCCACACATCACTTTCAATGCTGCTAAATAACAAAATGCCAGAACGAAACAAAATAATTTGTTTCCTAACTAATTAGTCTTGATTCGACAATATAAGGAGAAAGCAAATGAGAAGTCAAGCCCTAATTAAAGTCTTCCATGCAAGACTTGAATGTAGAAAATGCCACAATAAGCAAATGAAATTGCATGTTATCAACGTCATAGAGTTGTTAGCTTGGAATTTGATATTGTTGAACAATTCCAATGATGGCAGTGATTTCTCATTTTTATTGAGATATATATGATCTTGTCTTTTACGAGAGATAATCATGTAATAAGTAGGGCAATTGATTGCGACCTATCTGCATATGAAATCTTGTAGTGGCCTTTTCAAAAAAAATTATCATATGAACATAATATTTGTAGTACACAGTGCAGAGTGAAACAAAATATGTTAATGCAGAAACTGTTTTGGATACACAAATAACATCATTTCATAGCTCATTTAATTACTGTGAAACTAATTAATATGAAATACTACACACCTATTTGTAAATGTTCTCGGGTTATAATTGGTTTAGCCATAACAAAAACAATTATTTTTTACAAATCCCTTATTTCCATTTGAAAAAAATTCTCAATGGCATAATGGGATATAGGATAATTTCAGTGAAGTTCAAATATCAGATGAAAATGCTTTTTGAAACAACCAGCAATTAAAATCACACAAATAAATTTTTTACTATCCAGCTAAATATTAATTTCGCAATCGTCAACACCTTGAACATGCAACTTACTTTTAACAGAGTACTAAATCAATGTATCCTTTGAATTTGTTCAACTTTGCATCTTAAATGAGAGCTTTGTAGTCTAACTGGAGTCTGAGCGCAAATTAATGTTATTCACAATAACTGTGCTGTACTGAAATGATGAGGTTACTATGACCTTGCAATTTAACTTTGGGTGATGTGATTATTAATTGGATGATTTGATTTAGAGATCTCAAACAATGACAAATAAAAACAATCCCATTTGCTTTAATTGTGCATAGCAAAGTTGTTCACTATCAACCACTAATATCATCTACACTTACAAAAGTAGCCTCAAATAAAATGTTGGAGGTAATCTTTCTAAGAAGTATGACAATGTTACCATCATAATTCTTATCTACACACTGTATTGTATATTTCATCCCTTATCTATACACTGTATTGTATATTTCAATCCTTATCCACATATTGTATTGTATATTTCGTTCCTTATCTTCACACTGTATTGTATATTTCATTCCTTTTCTTCACACTGTATTGTATATTGCGTTCCTTATCTACACACTGTATTGTATATTTCATTCCTTATCTACACACTGTATTGTATATTTTACTCCTTATCTACACACTGTATTGTATATTTCACTCCTTATCTACACCCTGTATTGTATATTTCATTCCTTATCAATACACTGTATTGTATATTTCACTCCTTATCTACATATTGTATTGTATATTTCGTTCCTTATCTTCACACTGTATTGTATATTTCATTCCTTATCTTCACAAGGTATTGTATATTTCGTTCCTTATCTAATCACTGTACTGTATATTTCATTCCTTATCTACACTGTATTGTATATTTCGTTCCTTATCTTTGCACTGTATTGTATATTTCATTCCTTATCTACACTATATTGTATATTTCATTCCTTATCTACATATTGTATAATTCATTCCTTATCTACACACTGTATTGTATATTTCACTCCTTATCTACATATTGTATTGTATATTTCATTCCTTATCTAACCATTTTACTGTATTTCACTGTCTTCCAGCTGGGACAACATTCCAGAGTAAACCAGACATGGGGACCTGGCACGAGGCACCAAAGACCCCCATGTATCAAACAATGTCAGGAATGAACCCTGTATTCAATTGATGCTAATAGGAGTAATGGAAGTTGTGTATGCCCATACACCTACAGGCATTCCAAATATCTGTTGGCATCAAAGCATCAGGCCTATTAGCATTAAATCTGGCATAGGCATTTGCATTGCACCAGTGGAGAATCGCCCACTTGACACACCAACAATGGACACTGTATCATTGGACACACCACTAGAAAACACCAGCAAGACAGAAGAAATGACACACAACCACACACCACCGATGGACACTCCAATAGATGCACTAGTAGTGGACACGACAACACCATGATAGACAGACAATCATTCTACACATTACCAATGAGACACCACCCACACACTAACTCACACAGCCCATAACTAAAAAACAGAACAAGTAATGTGTAATAAGTTAACACTCTCTAAAGACAAGCCAAGTGGGCTTTCATCATCAACAACATTGCACTTCAAACACTTTGGACAAAGTGTGACACTTGAATGAACTTTATGTTGTAATTGCGTGCCTCTTTGACTTGTTATTGTAACACTTATTTGATTTCGTGAGATCACACATTTTGTTGTTATTCATTCTTATTGCCGAGGGATGTGTGTTAATCAGAAAGATTGTGAAAAAATGTTACTAACATTAAGCAAACTTTACTGAAAAAGAACATAATCATACTTACTGTCCTGACCATCAGTTATTTAAAACATATATATCTGTCAGTTGCCTCAGAAAAGTGATACCTCTGTGTTATTTAAGAAGTTTATAAGTTAACCACACTTTAATCATATTTAGCTACAGACTGTTAATGGAGAATAGCTAGTCTGACTAGTCTCCTAAGGACAGTTGTATTATCCCCTCTTATGTTTAATCAACCATTTACATTCATAGAGGAGGTATAGGTGTTATAACACTAAAACAGAACTGCCCTTCGATAATTGTAAAAAATGCAACCAATTTGGATTAAATAATTTACTAGCTACAAATCAGAAGAGAGAACTCAGTCAATGTGTCATATTTAAATAAGCCATGTCAGTAAATATATTATTTTGTACATGTTAATGGGATTTAAGGTATACAGTTTAGCACATTTGCACAACTGCATATAAATATATTCTTTGGACATGTTAATGGGATACATTTGCACAACTGCATTGAAGGCGAGGGTTTTCTCTTTGGTTTTTCATGATGTAAGCTTTGCAATTTAACACAATGTACATCATTCCCAGACACTTATCTCTTTAAGTTGTGTTATTGATATTTAAACGTGTCTGAGATTTTCTCAAGTTTTGTCATCAATAGTGATTTGCACCTTATCTCCGAAGTACTTGTTAATGTAAAATCTACTGAATCGTAACAGTCAATGGAAATGTGTTTGTTGGCTTTTCCAAAGGATTGTATATAAGAATTAAGGTTAGGGTCATTAAATGGAATGTTTAGCATTATTTTATGGAATGGGATGAGGCCCTTTACTTCTCTTACATCCCCAACAGTCTATTATGTATGATAATTATCAAACATTGCAGTTAAAATGTATGCAGTTTGCTTGAATTATATAATATTCATGAATGCTATGTAGACCTCATTATGCAGTTTAAAAAAGATGTAGGGGATATATGCTAAACACTTGATTTATTCACCTAAGCCTTATTTTATTGTTATTTACCTTAGCCTTAATATATTATCAATTGTATTCAAACTTCCAATCCAGCATTATCTAGGTTTTGTTTATTAAGTGCATCACTTAAGAATTATACTATATCAGTATATTAGAGTATATCAATATGTAGGTTTGGATATAGGATTTATCCCTACAGTAGATATATTGATTTCCCTTGGGATAAATTCCATATCCAAATCCTCGCAATAAAAACTCTCATAATAGAACTTGACGAATATATTATGCTTACTGTTATGATGGTGTTTCCATTTTAATATAAACATTCATTTCTATTTGTTATTTGGTCAACATATCAATTGGAATACATATCAAAAAGTGTACTCAAAAACAGATAAAAACATTATAGTGCCATATAAAAATTACTCATTTTGTTCATTATGTTTGTTGTTTAAAAACTTTATCACAATTTATTTTCTGATTTATTGCAATAAAACTGTAAGCCACAACCAGATTTCTAATTATTTTGAAATTGTTAATATTCTCCTTTGTTACAATCAGTACCACTTAAAAATAATTTGATACCACCCCTAAGGGTACCATTTCTTGATGATTCAACCCATTTTGGCGGCACAAAAACTACTTTTCATCTTAAGTAATTAATTTGATAAAGGGTCAATCCCTTGTCATCTACCATGTGATTTGTCTGCTAATGGATTATTTGTCTCTCAATTGAGTTGCACACCACAACATTAACAAAGAGCATGTACAAATTAATGAAAACTGAAATAAATACTTGTACATTTGAAATTAGATATGTTTTCTTGTGTTTTCAGATTTCTACAAGCTTATGAGGTGAAGTTATCAGTTATGGCGATGTATTTTGTGTATTTTTGGTGCATGAAAATTGAAATATACTTATCATCTATAAATTGTCAAATAAATGCACTTTTTGTCTTTCGGTTCAGTTGGTATTATTAATAATGACTGATACAGCTCTACAATTATTAATATTACCAACTGATGAAGCAAAAGACAAAAAATGCATTTATTTGACAATTTTTAGATGATAAGTATAAGTAAGATGATAAGTATAAGTAATGAAATCAAAGGGTACAATAAAATAAAAAATTAGAAAAACAACAACTCTATAGCTAATCATACCGAACAATTTACCGGCCATCTCAAAAATTACTTGTTATGCAATCCTGTGTCCCAAGGGCATCAGCATATAAAATATGAACTAAATCTGATGACTGGTATTTGAGTTATCAAAGATTACATTTTTTGTGAAAAATGGTGGCCATTTTGAATTCAGCAGTCATATCATGAAAAAGAGCTCCTTTGCCCCTCAGATCTCAATATATGAAATTTGAACTGTCTAGTAGTACATGTATTTGAGTTATTAAAGTTTGTAACGAAAAATTGTGGCCATTTTCATTCATCGAGAGTTCCTTCTCGAGCAGATTTTATACCCCTAAGACATCATCCTACAAAATTTCAATCCAATCTGTCAACCAGTATTTGAGTTATGGCCTGGACATATGAACAACACAAACGGATGGAAGAATTCTCTATATCCCTCTCAAACTTTGTTGGTGAGATAATCAATATTATTGCTCCTACATTTGATAAAATGTGTGTTAATTCACATCACCTATACAAAAAGTTTATCTTAAAGATCAACTGTATGTGTACAGATGTAACAGTGCAACTGAGTAAGTGACATCATGTCAACATTCAGTTAGCCTAATAAGTGAATACAAATAGGTTCTGTAGAGGGGTGTCATCCTTTGGAGCTTAATCAAGCTTATGTTACAAGGATAATCTCTCATAATTAATGTTTATTTCTGAACCTTTTCCCCTGGAACAGTATTATGGTGGTTTTGTTTAAAACGGAAGAGTCGTAGAATATACAAGGAATAAAGTATACAGGCATGAACCTGACACTTAAAATCATCAAGAAATACTAGGAAATGAGGTATTTTATTCAATTTTCAGAAAACTGTGTGAAATAATAAAGCTAGATCTTTTGAGTAGGTTTAAAACCTGGAAACACATCAGTATTAAAGCAGACGTCATGACTTTGGTAATAGGGAACTTTCAGGAACTAATATGATGAGATACAACCTACATATAATATGTATATCAATATACATATTAAACATTAAACAAAATAAAGTGCGTAACAGCAGTCTCGTAAACTTTAATGCATGTCTATATTAATTTTGCAAATATGTCTTATAAACTGTTTCCTGTTACATTGAAAGATGCTGAGATGTGATTGTAGTTATATCAGATAGAAGAAAAAGTTTTAGGAGAGATACTCTATGCAATTCATATATTTGCACTCAATAATTTCCCTGTCGCTTATTAGGAGACCCTTGTAAGAGATCTCCTATTCATTTTGTCAATTTTATGATTATCATTTATCTCTCTGTGACCTTCATAAAGGAGTGGTATCGATGTGGAGAACTTTTGAACACACGTTTCTCTTAAACCAGTCATAAAAAAATCTAAAAATTTAACACATCGTCAATTTAATGGTCATCTTTTGAATGGTAACAATATAATTTTAAAAATATATATACACTTTCATCTATAGGCCCTCTATATTGTTTTAGAAAACACATCAAACACTTTTGCTTGTTTTGTTCTTGGTATCATGTTTCCAGAGTGAAATGAAACATCTTTCCTAACCTCATTGGAACAAAACGACATAAACACAACATGTTTAGGTCTCTCAATATTGTAATTGTACAAAGGTTGATTTTAAAAAAGTATCTTGTTAATGAAATAAAAGGTCTATCTTGATTTTTTCTATTTTGGGGGAATTTTCATTGTTTTAATTTTTTGAATACTTTTTTAAAATCAACCAAAAATTCCTTTGTATAACTATAATATTGAGAGGTCTAAATACAAGTTGTATATGCTATTTTGTTCCAACAAGGTTCGGAAAGACATTTTATTTCATTCTCAAGAATTGGTAGAAAGGAGCAAAAACAATTGCACTAAAAAAAAAACAATGTTAACAAAAAAAGTTATATAAAATATTTCTAAATAATTTTCGCATTATATTGTTGTCAATCAGTCAACATTACATAAAATACCATGTTTTTTTACAGAATGTTTTCAATGATTGGTTTAAGTGAAAAACATTGTTGAATGTGCATTGCTTGACGTTACCTAAACCAACCAGAACAACCAACCTGAAGACTGAAGGGCTGATCTTTTTCATTTTTCTACTCTCAAAATGATTGAAATATAATGATATTTATATTCATAACACTAAACATTTCAAAATATTTGCCCTTACCTAATTTCATTTTAGATAAAGAATAATATTTACATTGATGAGTGTTCATAAACCCTTTCACAAATATAGATTATATGAACTCTTGAAATACTGCCAAGCGACACTAAGATTATCACATTTACTAGAGTTACTCAAGCCTCAGATGCCAAAGCAGGCTTTTAATAAAGAATTATATTTGCATTGATGAAGCCATTACAACCTCCACTTGGAATTTTGAAAATAGGCTCACACCCACTTGTAACTGCATCTGCACTGACCCCAGTGGAATTACATTGTGCTAACATAAATGCATATGACATGCCCATACATTATAAGTCATGTACTACTTAAGAGGAATTAAAGATAATTAAGGTTGTTAATCACTAAATGATACTCGCTTCCTCTTTTTTCCAAGACTTCCTGAACTGTCAGTGCGGACTATTGTTCTATCTGAACTTGGAGTTTGAGTATCATGAGCTTGTATAATAGAGGTGTCCTGCCAAGCTATAAGTCGCGCTTGCCCAGGGGGCGTTAGTGTCTTCCTACCCTTGGATAACCTACCAGGGGGTGTCCTCCTCCCTGGGGGTGTCCTCCGTGGTGGTGTTGGGCTAGAATTGTTTTTATCACCACATGACTCTTGAGCATGTGGTTCGTTGTAGAAAATTGAGTCATAATCTATATCTGGGTTTTCTGGTGTATTCCAGGAATCCACACGTCGTATCATAACAGGTTTACCATTGACCTTGACCTTCAGGAGTTCAGCGAGAGTTTTTCCACTTTCCGGATCCTGGTTGGGAGATACGTTCCCTGCTTGTAATCGTTTAGTATAATTCTTCTTATTTAACCAAACACTGTTTGGCTTAATAGGGAGCTTTGGAAGACGCTTTGTTTCACACTGGCAATGTTGCACATTATTCCCACATTTACATGTAGTTATTATTGACGAATTACTGGAAGATGACAGTCGTCGATGTTGATTTAACTGTTTTGGCTGAGGCCTTGGGGATGGTTCTGATTTGTTTGGAGTTGCAGCAGGTTGATTGTTTGGTATACTTGGGAGGCCCATTAACATCCTCTGGCCCTCTGAATACTGACAGGTTCTGAAAACATACACATGAGACATTATTACATAAAGTGATGTTTCTCGGACATCATTGGGAGAAATCTTTACCATACAGCATTATAGCTAAGTAAGGAAAGTATGTACCTCCATGTACATGGGCATATATATAGCATATATATAATATGCCCTATATAGCATATATATGCACCTCTTATGATAAAGATTCAGACCCATAGCCAGAATTTGCCAAGGGGTTCACTTTTGGCAATTTTGGTCCAAAATCACTTCAAAAGTGCTCAGAGTGGTGAAAAATGCATGATTTTGAAAGAATTCTTGGCCAGGGGGAGTTCGCTCGAACCCATTGAACCCCCTGGCTACGAGCCTGATGTTCAATTCCCAGTTCAGACAAAAGCCTGCATTACATTTAGGCAATAGGCACCAACATTATGCTAGGCCTACTTAATTGAATGTGTTATGTGATTGCGTGTCAGTGTATCAGTGCACAATGAAATACATAACAAGGAAAGATTGCTGATTAATTAGATCCAAGCATGGCATACTTTTTGAAGCACAGGACCACAAAGCCAATGATGTCCTGGGTTGAGCCATTAATTTTGAATCATTTCCCAAAATGATCTAACAAAAGAGATAACATAAATCAAATAAACTCATCATCTGACACTTTGATCACACAGCTTTTATGTATTACAAGCAAAACATTACTTAAGAGATAGAGACTGGTACGTGACAATTAGATTGTAAAACAAGTCCCATATATTATATCAGCTTTATTCCAGTTAAATCCCACATTTGGGCAAATTGCAAAGCAACGAAAAAAGAAATTTAAATAAAACTGAATTAATCATATACATTTATCTTATACTAAAAGGTGCCTGATCGCTACGAGATTTTATAGGTTACTTACAAATTATTTTCTCTCTCTTTCGTTAACAATTGCTGATATGTATTTCGAAAATATATCTGGTTTCATTCCCATGGAGTTAAAGAGGAAGATTGATTCATGATCTGTTTTATCTATATTTCCTATATTTGGACAATGTGTTTTGATATTATTAATTTAATTATCTGACTGAACATCAATGGTTTCCAAAATGGTGTGATGATTTATAGATGGGATGAGAATTACACTATGAATGAAGTAAAGGAGCAATCAAAGAGACAATTAGAGAGGCAAAGACAGAAGAATCGTTCATGAGAAATTATGAAACTATGTCCATCTCCCAATTGTATTGGTGTTGCAAGTGAATTAGATCATAAATTGGAGTTCAAATCTTTACATCATCCCAAGAAATCTGGAATAAATATACAGGGTGACACAAAAATGCAACCTTCTTTTTTGTTATAACTTTGTTATAACTCAAGTAATTCATGGAATCTTAACAAGTCCATATATGTAGCATCTATACCTTTGGGAATGAGAAAAATTTTCCACCAAGAATGCCCTAATGCCAAATCACTCTAAATTCAAAAATTGTTTTTTTCAATTTTACAGGGGATTCCTAGACAGTTTTTTCAAAATTGCTCATTAATGCGATGCGTGTAAGAATACCAAACCCATCTCAATTTACACAAAAAATTCATAAAGATTCCATCACAAAAAAAGGAAAAATATATCCCAATATTATAGGATTATATTTTCTGTGTCACCCTGGATACATACAAACATAACATACCATTACATACATACCTCAGTATGGTAACAGTATAATCCAAGAACGAATCTATTAGATCTAATACTAAGATTGTAAGGTGATCACAACTTCAAATAATTGCATAGGCTGACTTTGACAAGTATTAATCCTTCACTAATGTTTTGGAATCAGATCCAAGATGACACAATCAGAAATCTAACCTGGTTCATGATTCATAAAATCCTATTGATCCAGATTGTCTGTCTCATTGCAATGCAGATGTGATTTATGGGGGAGTTAATAGCTATTGATATGGTTCATTGAAGACAACTTGATCTCTCATCCCAAACTAAAAATATCACTCAACTATCAGCTCTATTCCAACCAAGTTAAAATCAACTCCATTGGATTTGAAATTTTTATATGACTTAAAATATGAACTTCAAGCATACTTTTCCCTTCCTTGTTCAATCCATTAATTTGTACATGATTTAAAGATTATAAAGAAACAATCATGGCATTTTATTCGTAGGTAATAATAATTAGACCCCCGCTATACACCCATCCTTCATACCCCGTCATCCCAAGAGCACTATCGAACTCTCAACATTTCTAATTCAAATATTTTTTTCTCATTATAAAGAATCACTTATGATTAATACACTCCAACTGCATTTTTACTTGGTTTATTTGTTTTACATATTTTTATGGTTTTTATGAGTGTTTTGTGTTTTTCTATTGTATACTCTTCGTCACAGATATAAATAAAGATATAGGATACGTTAATAAATATTTGTGAAAGGAAATCTTGCGAGCTTAATCGCAATTTTATTTGATGTCCCCCTATCCTTCATCGTGATTGAAATATAAATGAATTACTCAAACTTAATAACAGACAGCAAATCTATTTGAATAATTGTTTTTATAGGTGTTTATATCTCTAGTTTGATGATAATAGGTGGTTAAAGCGTAGGAGAATATTATTCTAACCTTCACTTCACTATATGGTTATCTTTATTGGAGCAAGCAGGATTTAATAATTAATAAATAGCTCCCTAGATTCTTCAAGAAATAAAACTTAACTAAAATTGTATTGGAATTCACATAAAATCATGATTCAAGTCGTTGGTTTGGAATATATAAATACCATTAGTGTGGGAAATCAACAATTGTGAAATCTAAAATGATGTCATTCAATACTACGCTAATAAATGATAATTAGCAAAGAAATACAAAGCATGTATACAGTGTACAGAGCATGTACATAAAATATCCACGCTATAGTCCTTTATAGCAGTATTGGTTTGAAAACTTATTATTTAAGTTTTATCTTTGCATTTAGTGCATTTTGATCATACAAAATGGATGGAGGGGGGATTAGGCGACTTCTGCAAGAAAACTCAACAAAGGAGCACGTAGGTTATCGCAAACAATTTCAGAAGGTTATATCTTGGATTATAACTATTTTCTGACAATGAAGACAGGTTTATCTTTTAGATCAATTCATTATCTCAAAGAAAATTATATACAGTAATAATAAAGTCAAACAAACTCAGAGATATTTACCTAGCAATCAACCCATAAACACACTTTTTCAAAGATGTTGACCCCATTTTCACCAAAAATGCAATCATTTTTTACAATGTTTAAAGGAATATTCCTTGCCAGACCCTTTCTCTCTTGATACGGTAGCTATAATCATATATATAGTTTCCATATTTAGCAAAACATGGGGAAATGTTTTAATATGGTCAATATTGATCATTTAAAAATCTAGTGCTTATTTCCAGTGAACTGCCATCTTTTAAGATTTCTTGCAGGAAGTGATGTCATCAACTCTCAACTTCTATAACCTTGCCCATAACAGTAAAGGAAAGTAGCACAAAATCACTTCTAGACAAGTATTCATTACTTTCTGTGCAAAAATATTTTCAGGGCTTGTCAACTTAGAATAAAAGAAGAGATTTTCAGAAGGATTAAATAAGATACAAAGTTGAAAAAGAATATTTAGCTGGTTTTGTAATACTTAATAGCTCCTCACCTAATGCTATATGCAAAGTTGAGAGTCGATGACATCACTTCCTGTGTGAAATTTTAAAAGATGGCAGCTTACTGGAATTGAGCATCATATTATAAGTGATCAAATTTGACCATATCAAAACATTTTTGCGTGTTTTGCTAAACATGGCAAGCATATATATGGTTATAGCTACCATATGAGGAGAGAGATGGTTTGGCAAGGAATATTCCTTTAATGCATTACTATTCTCTATTTTGATGTATCAAATAGTTCTTGAAAGAAAAACTTAATTGCTTTAAGATAAGTGTTCCCCATGTTATTTCTCCATTGAAAAATCTCATGCTATCCATTGGTTTCAGTTCATTTTTGTCATCCAAATTTAATATCTTTAAAGTCCCTGGAGCAATCAACTTTTCCTTTTAGGAAATCAAACATGTCTCAAAGCACATTCTAATTATGCATTCAACAGTATAATAAAAGGTTGCATTTTTGGTGAAAATTAGGTCAACATTTTTGAAAAAGTATGTTGATTGGTCCATTGCCCCTTCAATATCACTTAGGTCTGATTAACTAAATGATCATTATATATACCTTTCTTGAAGATGATGAATGGATCTAATAGATACACCATGTTCATGATCAGAAAATATTTATATTTCAAGTTAGAATCGTTTGAAATTGTTTGCGATAACCTACATGCTCCTTTGGAAGATTTATTTTTCAAGAGAAAATTTACAACTGAATTGCCAAATGAATAGGCGCAGTGCATGGCAAAATATGTTAGGCCATCTCGTTTTTTTTTTAACTGATACCCTTCTAAGATATGAGATCTATTAAAAAAGGCGCATCATCACCAAAGTGCAAAAGTCAATGTTTTTGCTGTAAATCGGGCAACAATGGTCTACACGACCTGTAATAAATAGGTATAAGGGACGTTATTATCACAATACTAATGACATTGATCACTTTTAAAGTTAGTTTCCATGCGTTATACAAAAAATAATCGAAATAAATTAATATTGGATGGAGGGGGATAGGATGGAGGGGGGATTTATATGTCTTTACGCTATACGATGGAACAAATTCACAAGAGCTCGTGTATTTGAAAAAAACTAAACTCAGTACCCCAGTAAGAAACTGGATATTATATATCTGGAGAATGAAAAATGGGAAAATTTGGAGTCATAAGAATAAATTCAAGTAGCATGTCTTATCATGTCTTATATACACGTTATCCCCCCCCCTCCATCCAATGTTAATTTATATAATATTAAAAATGTAAAAAATAAATCATAAATATCATGCATGCTGGTATGTTAATGAGTACAAACCAATAGGAATGAACCATAAATTTTATGATTGTAAATGTTTGGTAAATCTTGAACTTCCTTTGTTTTTATGGTGCTGCCCTCTATGCCTATTTCTGATGTTAAATACTTACTTGTTAGCAATTTCTTTCTTCCACTTAGCAATGAGTTCGTGTTCACTTTCCTCATCACATGTGACAGGTTTTACTCTGCGATGCTTTCTGCCAAGTGGCTTAGGGATCTCTGACACAGTGGTCACATACTCTACAGCTAGCTTTGCTATCTTTTCTTTAAGTGCCGCATCAGAGCCCACATCGTTTTTAGCTTTCTCAGTGTCTTTATTCTTCAGTGGTTTTGGTTCAATTTTAGATTTAGTGATGTTAGCATTATCCTCGAGGGTGCCCTCACAGAGACGTATAAGCATTTTTATGCCGCTATCTATCTCAGTAATGTATTTTTCACCTTTACCTTCTTTAATGAGCTTGGCCAGGAGCTCTAAATTCTTCAACGCATTCTCTCTACCAGCTAGAAAATAAAGAAGTTTCATGTTCAAATTCTAATATTAATGCAATGATCAAACTTGTAGTGGGGGGGGCAAAAGACCTTCTTTCTTTGGGTATTACATTGAGTTAAGATACTTGTGCTTAGATACTCTTGCTTAGATTCTTGTGCTTGGATACTTGTGCTTAAATACCTTTTCTGAGTTGTTACATCGAGGAATACACATATTATTTGACAGTTTTCTTTGACAATTAAACATGAGGATACCTTTTTTGACATCAGCATCCTTCTTTTCTTCTGGTTTCTTTGCTGAGTGTTTCTTTGGCTGTGGTGTCCTCATCCCTCCCTTTGAGGTCAACATGACAGATGCCATGGCCTCTGCATTACGTGTGTGCTTGCTTAGCTTTAGGGTCTCTATTGTGTGAGCTTGTTTGTCATACCTAGAAAATAATACTATTGTATGAAACGCGCAATATCATGATCATGTGACAAACCATATAAGATACTAGGCTATTGAAAAATGTAAATAACATCAAAGTTATCTTGCTCTTAATCCTGTTTCAAAAAACTTTTGAATATAGTTTACTAAAGTAACTACTGTACAGGGTGAGACAATAAAAATTGGAACATTTTTCTTTTTATTCGATTTTCTTTATTATTGCAGTTCAGTTCACTAAAATTTGGATAATGGTAAAATGATTATTTGTGAAAATGTTAAAGATACAAGTCTTAGCTGTATTTGACAGTCATACATGGCTTTAATCACAGGTTTTGATACATATTGTGCCAATTTTGAAAAAAAGCTGAAGTCAGTTAAACTATATAATCCAAGGGAGACATGTTTAGCTTCTCTGAGAGATAATTACATATGTTTTAATTGATGGAAATTGTGCTGAGACCATTTGGAGGGTACATATTGTATGGTATGAAAGATAATGTCTTTTCAACAGTGATGTCTCAAGCAGAGACACACACAGAATACAGATCATGACCATGACAAGCCAAAAATAATCATACATACATATTTTTATCTTTTACATTTTCACAAATAATCATTTTACCATAATCTGAATTTTCATGGATTGTACTACAAAAATAAAGACAACTGAATAAACAAAAAAATCTTCCAATTTTTATTGGCCCACCCTGTAAATTGTACACTGGGTGGAAGTACAACCATTGTATTAAAATGAGTGTAGCTGGTCTTCAGACTCTGCTGATCAGTTGTTTGTCAAACAAAACATTATTTTGCACAATTTGACACATATTATTTATACTATATAACTAGAACTATGCATTCATTTCAACATTATAAATGAATTAACACCTAAAATGCAACATCTTGGGAAATATGATTGTAACTACATATGGTCTCAACTTCCAGAGGATACAATTGCAACTGAGATTTGGAGAAGTAATCCAGTTTTTTCAACTGGGGTAACAAAGATTTGACCTAAAGACAAGAAGTCTATTCATTTTGTTGATATTCCAACTAAACTATTCTATTTCTAAAAAACACATATTTTTGCATTTTCTTGCATCTTGACTATTGAGTTTTTCAAACCACATCGAAATTTTGACAATAATGATGCATATATTTACTTTTATTTTCCAAATTAAAATTACTGTGTCTCTCAAGCGTTAAATTCAGAGCCTGACGACAGGTTACACTCATTTACAACATTTCCACTTCCACCCTGTGTATATATTAAATCAGGGAATTCATCCCAAGAGAGTGACATTAATGATGGAGAACAGACTTTCTAAAAATAATGAACAAGATAACTAAATTAAACCTGGTAAAACTAGCATAAAACACAGGAAATAGCATATTTATTTTACAAATTGACAGTCAGAAGGCTCGCGTTTTTACAGATCATATTGCGTCAATGTACTATTTTTATTGACATTGACATGAGCATTAAAGGTCAACTTGAGATAAAAATAATGATTTCCAAGAAAGGATATAAAACTTAACATCATGCTCTGTCACAATTTCCTGTAATCTTCTTTGAGAAAATATGATACTGTTGTTAAAAAAGAACTACTGACATTTGATATTATAATTCATTGAGAAAGAAATGTCAAAGGAGCAGACTGCCATTCTGTTACTGCCTCTACTTTTTAATCTTTTTAGTCAAATGTAAAGTAGAAAAACAGCAACACCCATGAGTAGCAAATCCCACCAAACAATATGAGAACCTCAGTTTAGGAAAGAAAATACAGTTGAGCAAAATCTGTCAACCGGTTTTTGAGTTATCATTCAGTTTTTTATGAAATATGGCAGCTATTTTAAATTCGGCATCAAAAAATTTCTTCATGAGCAGAGATCACGTGGTGATTCCTCATCCTAATTCCTTTATTCACACGTTATTGACAATTTTGTATACATGAAGGCATACATCATTCTTTGGTGATCATATTCTTAGAAATAGGTCAAGTTGAAAAGTTGGTCAAATTTTAAATACTACCTGGTATATCATGGATAAGTACATGTATAACCAGTATAATACAATAAGATGATAGACTATGATCAATAGAATTAGATCTTTAAGAAATCATTGTATAAGCAACAGTGCAAAATTAAAATAAATTGTCCAAGGTTTTGCAAAATTTATAGTGCCTCAATAGGAAAGTTGTACCTGAAGTCATAGCAGTTGCACTCATATGTATGGGTGCAAAGCTCCAAACATGTGTTGCTATTGCACCTCTCTCTGAACTGTTTGTGGTCCTCATAGCTTGCAGGACGAATGATTTTACAATATTTCACATGCGTCTGCCTGTCCTCCCACTTAGCATGCATTGTGGCATGATACTGAAAACATAAACATTTTCATATATTCAATATTATTTTAAGTTAATAATTAATTGATGAGATGCGAGTAGAAATAATCTTAATGATTAATGTCAGTAAATATTCAAAATTGAGTCAGTGATATGATGTCATTTTTGAAATCTACATGTAAAATTACATCTAAAAATATGGTTTCGAAAATTGTTTATCAACTTTGAAAATCTTTTTTGAAAATGTGACTTCTAGTTCTGGGAGATTCCCCATAGACCCCATGTTATAAAATCACAAAAAGTGAAATATCTTTTCTTTTCTTGGACAGATAACAATTTCTTTTACTGGACATATTTTAATTTGCATAACTATTAAATACATAAGGGTGATATGAAAATTGAACCGCTAAAACAGATGAATATTTAAGTTAAAGGGAACTTTCTATTATACCCATCATACTGTCTGACCAGAACGAACCACCTGGTGGTAAAACTGGTAACTACCTACTCGCATCTGAGTTATTGAAGTTTTATTGGGGCAATATGTATATGATATCTATTATAACAAGGCATTAACATGCAAAATGTCATTACCTGCCATTTGTTACAGATGCCGAATGCCAAACACCAACTCCCAAACACCATCCACAAAAAAGTTAAAGACAAAACAAGAGAAACAAATAACACAGATGTAATTTGATACAAATGGGAGTCATCGGGAATTTCTTATTACTGCATTATCGATTAAAATTATTTTAGACAACATACTGAAATCAAAATCTTTAAAGAAAATAGAAAAAGCATGCAAAATGTCACCATCTGTAATTTGTTACAATTGCCGGACAACGCCCACTGTTACAAAAAGGTTGTGATGGTGGTGACATATTAATGATGCAATAAAACAGACTAAAAGTATATAATTACAATTAATTACATTTATGATAAATATGAACACAACCTAACCTTTACCAAATAGTAGGTTCTGAAAATCACACAGATAAACTGAATCAGTTTGACCCTTTTATCAAATTGTATACTAGAAAGATCTGCTCTGAATGTAACAAATCCCAATATCAAAACACAAAATGGAAATATTCTTTTTGTATAATGCATGTTCCTGACAATTCAATTGCAATCTTAAATGAATATCACTAGTGACAATACATATACAGAAATCAATGTATCAACATCAGATATAACAAAACAATTGTGTAATATCTGGCTCAAGAATATATACACTATTGTAAAATGAATATCATATTTTTGAAAAACCCAGGCTACTCTTGTAAGGGCTAATGGTGACTAGCGATATTCCATTCAATATTACACTAAAAGCTAATTAATTAGGAGACATCTTTTATTCATGAACATTTGTTTTATACAGCAATATCACATCCTGGGAATAAAACAATATTCAAATTCAATCAAGGTCAATTTGCTTTTGATGAATATAGTATGATAACTATTCCCAATATAAAATACTAATTCTGTTATGCAACATATGCAATACAGAGTTCCAATTTGTGTTTATTAAATTCACTGTTCTCCATCTAATTACTTCGACCTAACGTCAAAGTAAAAATATGGATGTCCTTCTGGTTTTTGGTGAGTTTTGTTTTCTCGATTATAAGCTATCATTTGGCTCGAAGCTTTAGTTAATAATTCCAATTTAAGAATATACTGGTGGTTAGAAATTTGGTTTTCAAATAAAGTCTTAATATTCACAACTTTTGAAATGTTGACAAGAATTTCTCCAAAAGTGACAAATTCCAAAATTCCAAATTAATTGCCCTTGTGTCAATGTAGCAAAAGTGAGAGAGAGTAAATGCTAGAATCACTGCTACATTTGAAAATCAAATATCTAGCTGCCACCGCCAGTATATTCTTATATTGAATTTTTTCCGACAACTTCGTGTTAAATTATAGTCTGTAGCATGACATTTGAGTAGGTGTACATCTTAAAAATGGAAGGTCATCCATGGTGTTACTTTGATGGTGCGTCAAACTTAGTACAGAAGATGGGGTAAAAAAGAAATATTTTTTCAGTATTGATAAACAAATACTTTCTAGCTTGGTTTTCTAAGTGATTTTCTAGTGTATTAAATGTCTTTCATCATGAACAATCGTGGGAAATCCGTTGGAAATCCATGTGTATTGAAGATTAAAGAAACTTTTATAAGAAAATTTGTTTACACCCGACCCCTCCCCCTCACACACAATCACCCCTGATATGCAGCCCATCCCTTACTAAAATAAAATCGCAGTTAAACAATTACTTTATCCCTAACCCACCCATGTTACACTGACCTCTATCCATATAACAATTGATGACTACTTTCTTACTGGAACTCTCGATACACAATGGCCACTCCCGAGGCCTCTCTTTATAAGATAACAAATGAAATAATTTCTTACCCCCACTCCTGACATCCCAGCCTCTCCCTGTCCCATAGCCATGAGTCTTTTCTGTTCCCGTTTCCACTTCATGTGTCGATAGCAGCTGACTATGTTCATCACACCCCCGCGGAGGTCACTCAGCAACTTTGGGATATCAATGACAATAATGATGAGGAATGCACTCATCTGAATGACGGAGATAGAGACACCCACAGTTGTTGCATGTTTAGCCTCAGCGGGTTCAAACTCTATGGGCTTTACAGGGACATACACCGGTGGAGGGGTGGTCTTGTTTTCATACTCTGTAGAAGTGACAGCTGAAGAATATACATACTGTCAACAGTATATTAAAAGAGGGTTTGTCATATTATGCTATGCTTTATCCATAGGGAAAGGAAAAAAATTATGAGACTTAACTCAAAAAACTCCCCAGGGTAACAAATCCCACTGAACAAAACACATTTCATCTATCACTCCCTACTATTCTAGATTACATGACAGAATTAAGATTACATGATAGAAACAAAGATTCGATTTTTTTAAATGGTGGCCATTTTGAATTGAGCAGCCATACTGGAAATTCATTCAAGCAGAGATTTTATGCCCAAAAGATTTTAACCTGAAACAATCTATTGAATGCACAAGACAGATGAATAATAAGGTCATGCATGTATAACAAGGATGTATGTAGTTTACTTACTACTTGTTGTGGTTGTGAATTGGACAGTTGTTGATTCAATGGTGGTGTGCACAGTTGTGTCAATAGGTGTAGTGATGTTGTCAAATGTTGTATTCTGTTCTTCAGTTGTAGTGGCTGCACTTTCAGAGGTTGTTGGATCACTTGTTTCAGCTTCTGTTGTAGCAGTTGTTAATGCCAAACTGGTTGTTACTTCATCTTCAATGGTTGTCAAGTCTTCAGTGGTTGTACTCTCAGGGGTTGTTTCTTGGACAGTTGTGGTCATTGGTTGTGTTGTTGCTGCTGTTATAGTCTCTGGTTCAGTTGTTGCTTTTGTTGGATTTGTTGTAATTTCTGTCGTGCTCTCCATTGTTGTAATTGTTGTTTCCTGCGTGGTCACTATTGTTGTAGCTGTTGTTGGAACAGTGGTAGCTTCTGTTGTAATTGCCTCGGCTATATTTGACAAATTAAATTAATTTTCCATAATTAGAATTTGTTTGATACATATATCTGCATCATTACTTTATTTATGGCACACCTAGTATTGAATTAGCCCTTACAAGATGAAAATGCTCAACGAGGCTAAGATAGTTAAATGCAATTCAATGCATGCCTTTTGTCCATTTTCACCTCTCGAATCACTTTTTACAATGTACCACACAACATAGTATGTTATTTACAGTCCATAAATAAAGCACCTGATTTATTCATTGATAGTGTGAGGGACTCACTTGTGGTTACCATGGTAGTGGTTGGCAAATTTTCAGTTGTTGTCATGGCAATAGTGCTTGTTGTTGTAGGAATAGTAGTGGTAGTTGTTGTTGTTGTTTGAGGCTCCGTTGTTACTTCTTCTGGCGCTAAAATGGTTGAATATGCCACCAAAATAAGGACTAGTGCTTGAAAATATAGCCACATAATTGGTATTGATGCAGCACAATATCACATGTATAACCAAAGCGCAAATATTCAAATTGCTTCAGTTTATATTTTGTAGAGCTTATAGGGAGGTTAAGCTACACATTTTTTGGAAATGGGTAGTGAGCGTGTAAAATTATGATCCTTGCTTGACAGAGTATAAAGGTCAAGGAAAATATGATCCTTGCTTGACAGAGTATAAAGGTCAAGGAAAATATGATCCTTGCTTGACAGAGTATAAAGGTGTAAGGAAAATAGGATCCTTGCTTGAAAGAGTATAAAGGTCAAGGAAAATATGATCCTTGCTTGACAAAGTATAAAGGTCAAGGAAAATATGATCCTTGCTTGACAGAGTATAAAGGTCAAGGAAAATATGATCCTTGCTTGACAGAGTATAAAGGTGTAAGGAAAATTGTTGTAATTAGGTCCCTGGAAAAAAACAGTTGAGATTGAGATAGCATTTCCTTGGGGGTCATAATATTCCACATTCATGTATGTGTTCTCTTAAAAGTGTGTAGCATTTCCTCCCTATTGCCAAATATTGAGACATTAGCATTTCCAAATTAAAAAGAAAGTATGCATAACATGCAAGATACAATGCGTAATAAGAGCAAAATATTATTAAACATGATAGCATGGTTTGAAACAATGCAACAATAATACTACCATATTCTACTATATGCGAGCTACAATGATAAACTATGGTGCAAATTTGCATAAAATATAAAGCAATGAAGCAGTAAAGCAAAGCACCTGTGGTCTCTACATGCAAGCCTGTTGTGGTATCTAACATGGGCATTGAAGATGTCGGAGAGCTAGTTGAGGTTGTTGGTTCAGTTGTTGGGGTTGTAGGTGCAGTTTTTGGGGTTGTTAGTTCAGTCGTTGGGGTTGTAGGTGCAGCTGTTGAGGTTGTTGGTTCAGTTGTTGGGGTTGTAGGTGCAGTTTTTGGGGTTGTTAGTTCAGTTGTTGGGGTTGTTAGTTCAGTTGTTGGGGTTGTTAGTTCAGTTGTTGGGCTTGTTGGTTCAGTTGTTGGGGTTGTAGGTGCAGTTGTGCTGGGAACAGTAGATGCAGTCTCTGTAGTAGCTACCACTGTTGTTGAATCAGAAGTAATTTGTTCCTTGTGGGTTGTCAGCTCTGTAGTGGCCTCACTGGTTGTATGCTCTGTTGCAGCTGCTTTACTTGTGACTTTTAGAGTTGATGCAACAGTAATGTCTGCAGTAGTGGATGGTTCAGTTGGAACTGTAGTTTGATCATCAACTGTGGTGTCTAAAGTGGTCATCTCAGTATATGACTCAGTAGAATGTTCTGTTGTTGGTTTTCCTGTTTCACTTACTGTTGTTTGTGCTTCAGTTACACTTTCTGTTGTTGTTGTTGTTCTTGTTGTTGTTGAGGTGGTTAAAACAGGTGTTGTTGGTGTAGGTATTACTAGAATATCCATTGGTTGGACTAGTTATAAATAACAGCATTCTTATAGTCAAATTATACATATACTGAATTCATATAAGCTAACGCCATGCCACCAAATGAAGCAAAGCATTACATAGTGCATAAACAAGCAAGAACAAATCAAACTCAAGATCAAACTCCAAATCTTATTCAATTGAAGATATCAAACCAAAATCATTAACTTATGCACTCATGTATATATTAGCTAAAGCCTTATAATCAATAATCTTTATTAATAGTACTGGATTCAATTTTTAGTTACCAAAAGGCAAGATGACTTTCATAAATCCTAAAAAAAATTATACTCACCATTCACACAGAGTCCATCAAGACATCTGTAGTTTACATACACTGACTCAATGCTGGATGATTCGATCAGTAAACAATCCTTATCTTCATTACAAACTGAAACAATTTATATAATTTCTGATGATATATAACGTACCTATCAGTGTAAAATTGGCATTACTTCTACAACATTAATTTTAGATAATAGAACTTTCATTTCATTTTAGTTACAATTATCTCACACAGACACCATAGGGCATATACATGTGGTAGGATAATGTAACTTGATATTGTCAGGTAAAAAAGCCCCCCCCTCCCCCTCCAATGTATTAATCTGACAGGAACTGGTATCTTTCTCCTGACTAGGACGACAGACAGTTTTAGCCAACACAGGTCTTTTATTGAGTTAGTTCCACTCTAGTAGTCACGCCTCTGGTGTAGCAGTTAACATAAACTAGCTCCTTTTGCCACATGCTGGGACTGAACCCAGGACCAAGCATCAGAAGTCCAGAGTGCTAACCTATACACCAAAGGCAAAAGTGGATAATTGAATATAATTAATTAAACCCCATTGAATTCAATTTCTTTTGGAATGTGAATATGGTTCATCTATGATCTTAATTGTTTGCATGATACAATATATGTCCCCTTTTCTGCCAACATGAGCCAATTTAAATCTGGTAATAATAATTAAAAGAATAGACCTTTCCGATGAACCCTGCCTCCTACAGGTACATCAAAAGAGCTGTGATATATTTGCTAGATTCCTGTTGCCATTGGATGTATTTTTTCAAAATTTAGCAATAAGTTAATCCTTTTTGGCATGGTAAGATTTCTACCTACAACCAATGACATCATTCATCTAGCCAGTATATCATAGTTTTTCTGGTGTATCAAACGGTGGCAGTGTTTATTGGAAGGTCTATCATTATTAATCATCCTGTACATGCATCAATGGTATGTAATGCAAGTTGTAACCTTGAAGATTTCTTCCAACACAAACTTACCAAGTTTACACGCATGATCATGAAGCTGGTAGCCAGGGGCACAATGACACATATCTATATGACATACAGCAGCTCCAAACAACATAGAACAATAAGCAGTAGATGAACAGCCAGAATAAAGCACTACAACACAACAAAATTGCTTATGCATACTTGAATATCACATTTCCTCCAAATACAAAAGCCTAACAGCCAGAAGGAAGTGGAGTTCTGGAGCATTCATAGGATGTTGATATCTCTAAAGCATATAGACAAGCATGTTATAAAGCAATAGTTTGAAAGATTAGCAAAGAATGTGCAACAGCAGGTCAGTATTAGTAAACTTTACAAAGAAATCAGATAAAGTAAAAATTGGTGTTTGTAGTTGTAAATGCAATTATAAGTTTTATGATGAACACCAAATTGAAATTAAAAGTCAATAACATACTTTGCATGCAGGTATCTTTGTAGAAACTGTAATCATCTCTGCAAATACAATACCCCTCATGGCAAACAGCAATTGGCAGACGACCTTTACAAATATCTTCATTCTTACAGGTTGCCAAAATTGAAGCACACCTTTTTCCATCAAATATTGTCTCTGCAGAACAAATGCATTGTCCCTCAAAGCAGAATGAACCAGAGTTAATATTGGTACACGTGGAGTTTGAATCACATGCCCTCAATATTGGAGAACATCTCTCCTCATGAAATATTGTGTCACTTGGGCATATACAATGGCCCTCAAAACAAAATGATCCATAACTGATATTGGAACATGTCGAGTTTGAATCACAAGCCATCAATATGGGTGAACATCTGTCCTCATGAAATATTGTGTCACTTGGGCATATACACTGACCCTCAAAACAAAATGATCCATAACTGATATTGGAACATGTCGAGTTTGAATCACATGCCATCAATATTAAGGAACATCTGTCCTCATGAAATATTGTGTCACTTGGGCATATACACTGGCCCTCAAAACAAAATGATCCATAACTGATATTGGAACATGTCGAGTTTGAATCACATGCCATCAATATTAAGGAACATCTCTCTCCATGAAATATTGTGTCACTTGGGCATATACACTGGCCCTCAAAACAAAATGATCCATAACTGATATTGGAACATGTCGAGTTTGAATCACATGCCATCAATATTAAGGAACATCTGTCCTCATGAAATATTGTGTCACTTGGGCATATACACTGGCCCTCAAAACAAAATGATCCAAAACTGATATTGGTACATGTGGAGTTTGAATCACATGCCATCAATATGGCTGAACATCTCTCTTCATGAAATATTGTACCACTTGGGCATATACACTGACCCTCAAAACAAAATGATCCATCACTGATATTGGTACATATAGAGTTTGAATCACATGGCATCAATATTGGTGAACATCTCTCTTCATGAAATATTGTACCACTTGGGCATATACACTGGCCCTCAAAACAAAATGATCCATCACTGATATTGGTACATGTGGAGTTTGAATCACATGCCATCAATATTGGCGAACAACTCTCTTCATGATATATTGTACCACTTGGGCATATACACTGGCCCTCAAAACAAAATGATCCATTACTGATATTGGTACATGTGGAGTTTGAATCACATGCCATCAATATTGATGAACATCTCTCTTCATGATATATTGTGTTACTTGGGCATATACAATGGCCCTCAAAACAAAATGATCCATAACTGATATTGGTACATGTGGAGTTTGAATCACATGCCATCAATATTGATGAACATCTCTCTTCATGATATATTGTGTTACTTGGGCATATACAATGGCCCTGAAAACAAAATGATCCATAACTGATATTGGTACATGTGGAGTTTGAATCACATGCCATCAATATTGATGAACATCTGTCCTCATGATATATTGTACCACTTGGGCATATACAATGGCCCTCAAAACAAAATGATCCATTACTGATATTGGTACATGTGGAGTTTGAATCACATGCCATCAATATGGGTGAACATCTCTCTCCATGAAATATTGTGTCACTTGGGCATATACAATGGCCCTCAAAACAAAATGATCCATAACTGATATTGGTACATGTGGAGTTTGAATCACATGCCATCAATATTGATGAACATCTCTCTTCATGAAATATTGTGTCACTTGGGCATATACAATGGCCCTCAAAACAAAATGATCCATAACTGATATTGGTACATGTGGAGTTTGAATCACATGCCATCAATATTGATGAACATCTGTCCTCATGATATATTGTGCCACTTGGGCATATACAATGGCCCTCAAAACAAAATGATCCATAACTGATATTGGAACATGTGGAGTTTGAATCACATGCCATCAATATTGAGGAACATCTGTCCTCATGATATATTGTACCACTTGGGCATATACAATGGCCCTCAAAACAAAATGATCCATTACTGATATTGGTACATGTGGAGTTTGAATCACATGCCATCAATATTGATGAACATCTCTCTTCATGATATATTGTGTTACTTGGGCATATACAATGGCCCTCAAAACAAAATGATCCATAACTGATATTGGTACATGTGGAGTTTGAATCACATGCCATCAATATTGATGAACATCTGTCCTCATGATATATTGTACCACTTGGGCATATACAATGGCCCTCAAAACAAAATGATCCATTACTGATATTGGTACATGTGGAGTTTGAATCACATGCCATCAATATGGGTGAATATCTCTCTCCATGAAATATTGTGTCACTTGGGCATATACAATGGCCCTCAAAACAAAATGATCCATAACTGATATTGGTACATGTGGAGTTTGAATCACATGCCATCAATATTGATGAACATCTGTCCTCATGATATATTGTACCACTTGGGCATATACAATGGCCCTCAAAACAAAATGATCCATTACTGATATTGGAACATGTGGAGTTTGAATCACATGCCATCAATATTGAGGAACATCTGTCCTCATGATATATTGTACCACTTGGGCATATACAATGGCCCTCAAAACAAAATGATCCATAACTGATATTGGTACATGTGGAGTTTGAATCACATGCCATCAATATTGATGAACATCTGTCCTCATGATATATTGTACCACTTGGGCATATACAATGGCCCTCAAAACAAAATGATCCATTACTGATATTGGTACATGTGGAGTTTGAATCACATGCCATCAATATGGGTGAACATCTCTCTCCATGAAATATTGTACCACTTGGGCATATACAATGGCCCTCAAAACAAAATGATCCATTACTGATATTGGTACATGTGGAGTTTGAATCACATGCCATCAATATTGATGAACATCTCTCTTCATGATATATTGTGTTACTTGGGCATATACAATGGCCCTCAAAACAAAATGATCCATTACTGATATTGGAACATGTCGCGTTTGAATCACATGCCATCAATATTGATGAACATCTCTCTCCATGAAATATTGTACCACGTGGGCATATACACTGGCCCTCAAAACAAAATGATCCATCACTGATATTGGTACATGTCGAGTTTGAATCACATGCCATTAATATTTTCACACATTTTCCTGTGTTATAGACAGTGTCACTGGAACATATACAATTCCCTTCATAGCAAATTGACCCATAATAGTTATCAAGACAAGTTAAATTGGATTCACACTTCGACAATGTAGGGACACATGATACACCATTGTACATGAAGTCTGGTTCACATACACATTGTCCATCTAAGCATAAGCTATGTGAATGAGTACATTGTGAGTTATTCATACATGTTGCAAATATCTTGGTGCATTTGTCATCATTGAAAATTCTATCATCTTTACAAATACAGTTATTTCCTACACAATTTGAACCAGGATAGATTGTAGAACACATTGTCATGTCATTACATAATGAGAGCATTTTGACACATTTCCCTTCTTTATAGAGCATTCCTGGTGAACATACACAAGAACCATCTATGCAAACTGCACTGGAGCTCATGGACATACAATCGGTTACATCAGAACAAGCTGACAATATCTTACTGCACATCTCCCCATCAAATTGAAAGCCAGGATTGCATACACATTTGCCATCTATACACAATGAATAAGTGTAATTGTCATTGCAAGTGTTGCTTTGGTTACATGACATCAATTGTGCTGTGCATTTTTCCCCATTGAACCGAAATCCATCTAAACATACACAATGTCCTTTTAAGCATTTAGAATGACTATAAGCATTACTGCAACTTGAGTGTATAGGGCACTCACCTAATATGGCATCGCATGAACCACTATCAGAAATGTATCCAAATTCGCAGACACAATCTGTAGCAAGGCAAAAAGAATGTGGTTGAATGCATTCCTGGTTTTCTTTACATTTGTCAAGTATTTCAACACACTTATCATTGTATATAGTTGACCCTCTAGGACATATACAATGCCTACTCATACAAACAGAATTGGAGATATGGTCAGTGCAGGAACTATTTACAGGGCACTCAAGTAAGATGGGCGCACATGATTCTCCATTAGATATCATTCCTTCTGGGCACATACAATAACCTTCTCTACATTCAGAGTAAGACATTGTTTCTTCACATGTTGATGTGTCTGTACATTCAATTGTCACTTCCACACACATATCCCCATTGTGAATGTAATGCCCTGGGCAAATACAGAACCCCTCATAACAATATGAGTTCTGAATACTTTTATCACATTGATGTTGTGTCTCACATGTTCCTAATTGAGCAGAGCATGACACACCATCATAAATAAAACCATTTGGGCAAATGCAGCTTCCTTTAAAGCAAACTGAATTGTGGACATGTTCTTCACATGATGAGTTGGTACTGCATGTATTAAACACTTCAGTGCAGCTCTGTGCATTGCTGACCATGTTCTCCTGGCATATGCAATATCCGTTGTAGCAGAAAGATCCCAAAGTGTGCTTCTCACATGATGATTCATTGCTGAAGCATTCAGTTAGGGTTGGAATGCATTTGTTTTCACTTAAAACGTAGATGTGATCACTTTGGCAAATACACACTCCTTCATAGCAATAACTGTTTTCTACAGACTGCTTACATGTGTTATTGTCGTTACAAACATCAATCACTTCAGTGCATGTTTTGCCATCAAAGACATGGCTGTCCATACACACACATGCACTGTCAATACAATGTGTATTCAATGCAATATCTTTACACGTCTGGTCATTTTCACAAGCAGCAATTACATTTTTACATGTGTCACCATCAAACATGTATTCATCTTTGCAAATACAAAGACTACTATGGCAGTATGAATTGGATGCAATAAATTCACAGGTAGAGTTGTCTTCACAAGAAACTTCACTGATCTGTTCAGCACATTTGATTCCATCAAAGACATAATCAGGCTCACAGATGCAGTAACCATTGAAGCATGTGGCACGAGGAGAAATTCTTTTACAATCAAACAAATCTTTGCAGTTGTCTAGTATTAAAGAGCAATATTCCTCATCATGAACAAAATTAGTCTCACAGATGCACTTTTCTTCAAAGCAGATAGTGTTTTGTTGATCACATGGCTGATTTGCACTACAAACATCAATGACTGTCTGACAAGTACCGTTGATGTACTGATATTCAGTAAGGCATGTACAATAGCCTTCAGTGCAAGTTGTTGTGTTACTGTATGAATCCAATTCACAATCCTGGTCATATTGGCATCTCCCAAATGTCCTGGTACACCCGTGACCACCTTGAGTGTAGCCAGGTTTGCATAAACAGACTCCATTAAGACAGACTGAATGACCATCTATTGCCTCACATACTGTATCATTGCTACAATAGCCTACGCCTTTTAGGCAATTCTCTCCATTATAAACATAATTTTCTTTACAAACACAAGCTCCATCAATACATTCAGAGTTCTTTGTGTCCCTGTCACAATCCTGACTTGTCAGACATTTTGAAATAACCTCTGAACATGATCCTCCATGATACACATGTGTCTGTGGGCAAATACAATATCCATCATAACACACTGAATTTTGAACAGAACACTTGGTTTCATTGAGGCACCGTGAATGAGTCTTTATACATGATATGCCATCAAATATAAGACCTTCTGAACATACACAATAGCTATCAATACACACTGTTGCAGTCATTTCAATCTGACAATCTTCGGTCACATTGCACTTTGATAAGGCTGCACTGCATTGCTGTCCATTAAGTATATATCCCTCTTTGCACAAACAAGTACCTTTCACGCAAGCTGCATGAGGGGTTACATCTGAACACATGCCTTCATTAGTACAACTTGAGAATGTTGGTAAGCACAATGATCTGTGATATATATAGTTTTTTTGACAAAGGCATCTACCATTGTTACATTGAGAGTTCAGATACATATTCTGACATTCTTTGTCAGTTATACATGCACTCAATTGTTCTGTGCATGTCTTGCCATTGTATTGATAACCTTCTTGACACTGACATAGTACATCTATACATGTTGTCCCAGTGTAATTAAAACATGAAGCATCTTCAGAACATCTTGAAATAAACTCGATACATCTATCATCTTTGAATATAAAGTCATGTTGGCAAACACAATAGCCATCTTCACATGTTGTTCCAAATAAGGCATTGTTGCAGTCAGCTTGCGTCGTACAATGTGCTAATATTTCCATGCATGTACCACCATTGTATATGTAGCCGTTAGCACATAAGCAATTATGATGCATGCACATGGCATTTGTATCAATCTTGGTGCAATCTCCGTCATCTTCACAATGTAGTTCAGATATAACTAAAATGTAAACACAATATATAAAAGGATTGTAAATGATATTCAATGATGGAGTAATTCCAAAATTCTGCTGCTATGGTATAACATGTTTCTTTAAGTCCATGGGTACAACAAAAAAGAGAAATAGAACATTCTTTGATAAAAGATGAACCACAACTCACTTCTGCCCCATATATGACCTAAATAGGTTTATGTTCACTGGAAATCCGAGTCTAAACAACTTAAACATATATTTCATTATAAGATAAGATACTTACTAGGTAAACAATCAGTGTTAGAAAAGCCATATCCCTCCTGACAGATGCATCGTTGTGACACACATTCAGAATTTTTGACTCTTTCACTACACTCAGCAGATCTATCACAGAAGCCAAAACCAAGATCTACACAACACAACACAAGCAAAAATACATAAAGCAACAAACAGAATGCACATGCTTAAAGTTTTGTCTTAATGTACATGCAGTTTTTGAAATGTTTAGATTCTTTACAGTACTATGGAATTCCTAAATCTATCAATGTAACCAATGAAATCATGATGCTTTTTGATGTTGTACTCATGTAAGTCTTGTTTATATGTAAGTCTCTAAACTGGATGCACATTTGGCCCAAATGCATTACTAGTAGAACAGATAAATCATGTAGAATACAGTACATGTACTGTATATAGTATACCATAGTTATAAAAAAGAGGTCAATAGACTTAGGAATTCCTGTTTTGAGAAATGTATGATGGTTAGTAGTCAGGCTAAAAACAACATATATCACATGAAAGCAAGCAAAACAAGGCATTGTTTCAACTACAAGACATAGACAGCAAAGGGAACTAAAGCATGTTAAGCTATTATACACTGTAGCAGGATTATACAAGGCATTAACATGCAAAATGTCACCACCTGGCATGTGTTACAAACACTAGCCACCAAATGCCATACACTAACCATGGAACGCCGTCCAAAAAAAAGTTGAAAACTAAAATGATATGTCACCATTTGTAGTGGTGGAATAAAAATGAAACTGATATGAATAGCAGTGATGGTTTTTCTTAACCTTTAGATAATAACAATAAAGTCCATTGTTGAACACCTAAGGTAGCATAGACATAGAGGACTAGATATGTCCACTACCAAACCTCAACACATTAAGTTGTACTTACCCTTTATGCAGAGCTGCTGTTCCTGGCTGAAGCTATAGGAAGGCAGACAAACACAGTGGCCAGAACTGTCACACATAGTGTTAGCATGCGACTCAAGACAGGAACTGCTCTCAGTACAACGACCAAGCACTGAAAAGGGAAATTGAAGGTGATTCCTAAAGAATGAGCATGACATAGTAAACTGCAATATGCAGCAAAACCTGTGTTAGTGGAACACCTGTGATACCTCAGAATAGTGTTTCACTCAGGAGGTGTACCATTTAGAGAGGTTCATTTTAGATTTTAAGGGTAAAAAGATTTGAAAACTGTTCCACTTTTGGAGATGTTTCACTAACAGAGGTTGTATCACTTAACAGGTTTTACTGTTACAAATCAAATTTAAAAATCAAAGGTCTGGGTAACATAGGAGAATAAAAATCTAGATCAAAATCTGGAAAATAAACGACAATAAGATACAACAGTATTTTGATTTATATCAATGCTGCTTTATAATCCAAATTAATAATGATGGCATGATTTGAATAGATATGACATCTAAATCAAAATATCACACCAAGTTATAATTAAAACGATGTTGATTACCTTTATAACAGATGTTCCCATCAAACAGGTAAGAATCCTCACAGATGCAATTCCCTTTAACACATTTTGAATGTCTATACTCCTCAATACATATGACATCATCAGTGCAGGAAGTGCCAAGAACTGAAAAATATTTTTTAAAATATGACTCTTAATCTTGAAAGTTACTCAATACATATGACATCATCATTGTAAATATTCTCGTCCATCTAGGGATTGTTATGATGGTGGCATAAAATGTGTCAAAAATGCTCTAATACATGTACATGTACACTTAAGCTGATTATATTCCGTATTTATGACGTAAGAGTGCATGAAAGTGTAACACAAAAATAAAACTTTAAAACACTTTAGAAATTTTAGAATACCTGATTTTGTAAAATGCTTTCCATTAGAAGCTTTGGAGTTTTTTCTAGTAAGTAATTTTAGTGTATGAAGTACCAAGGACTGAAAAATGTCATGCTTGATTCTGTATTCAGTTATGATAAAATATATACCTTGTACACATCTGTCTTTGTTAAGAGTGTATTTAGAGTCACAAATACATTTATCATTCCTCAAGTCACACACACTGTTCGGGTCACCCTGTTGACAGAGGCTGGGCTCCTCCCAACAGCTGATTTCAAAAACTAAAACAGAAAAATAATTGCATTTGACTGTTCATATTTCATCTCTCATTCGATACTATACACGACTATTATGATTCGTTTGTAAGTCAATAGCACTTAGAATTATAATAGTGTCGGACCTGGCCAAATCTGGTAGTGTGGTTATGGTCGGGTCACGAACAATTTATTTATTATGGGATTCTCACTGGTTTTATGTGGGCGCAGACCTGGTTTGGTGGTACTGCTTTCACTGAAAGGGGAGGTGGTTACACATTTATATACAAAATTCAAATATATAGTTTTTTTATAATTTATTAACGCTATGATTAAACAAATAAAACACAAACGTCCATGTAATAATTAACTCTGAGTTGTCTTGTTGCTCTTCTCTTGTTTGCACTCTGCTCTACTTTTACTCTTCTTCACTCTGTTCAGGGATTACTCTGCTTTACTCTTCTGTTCTCTACCCACATTTAATCTGCTTAAGTTTCACTCTGTTCTGCTCTGCTTACTCTTTATTCTGCTCTGGTTACTCTTTACTCCTTTCTGTTCTGCTCCGTTACTCTTTATTACTCATTTGTTCTGCTCTGCTTACTCTTTACTCCTCTCTGCTCTGATTTACTCTGTTCTGCTCAGGTTACTCTTTACTCCTTTCTGTTCTGCTCTGCTTACTCTTTACTCCTTTCTGTTCTGGTTTACTCTGTTCTGCTCTCTTTATTCCGCTCTGCTCTGCTTACTCTTTAATCTGCTCTGCTTACTCTTTACTCTGCTTACTCTTTACTCCTCGGTTCTGGTTACTCAGGATTACTCTTCTTCAGCCCGGGTAACTCTTCTTTACTCTTCGCCGCTCTGCTCTACTCAGGGTTACTCTTCTTCAGCCTGGGTTACTCTTTACTCCTTTCTGTTCTGCTCTGCTTACTCTTTAATCCTCTCTGCTCTGGTTTACTCAGATTCTGCTCTGGTTACTCTTTACTCCTATCTGCTCTGCTCTGGTTACTCTTTACTCCTATCTGCTCTGCTCTGCTTACTCTTTACTCCTATCTGCTCTGCTTACTCAGATTCTGCTCTGGTTACTCTTTACTCCTATCTGCTCTGCTCTACTCTGTTCTACTCTTCTTCAGCCCGCGTTCCTCTTCTTTACTCTTCGCCGCTCTGCTCTACTCAGGGTTACTCTTCTTCAGCCTGGGTTACTCTTCTTTACTCTTCGCCACTCTGCTCTACTCAGGGTTACTCTTCTTCAGCCTGGGTTACTCTTCTTTACTCTTCGCCGCTCTGCTCTACTCAGGGTTACTCTTCTTCAGCCTGGGTTACTCTTCTTTACTCTTCGCCGCTCTGCTCTACTCAGGGTTACTCTTCTTCAGCCTGGGTTACTCTGCTTTACTCCTCGCCGCTCTGCTCTACTCAGGGTTACTCTTCTTCAGCCTGGGTTACTCTTCTTTACTCTTCTTGGCGAATAGATTGGGAATATCGATCAAATTCTGAGATTAGACCCAACTATCAGCCCTCAAAGGAAATAAAGCGATCACTTCAGTTGGAATCCCTGTTGTTCCAAAAACACCCCTCAAGACGAGTAATTCGGGAATATCAATCAATTCTGAGATTAGACCCAAATTACCAGTCACATGGAAATAAATCTGCTACTCCACAAATACACTTTCTCTTGGTGAGACTCAAGAATGTCAATCAAATTCTGTGATTAGACTTGAGCCACACGTGAACCGGAAGTCATACAAGATGGCGGACTTGCTGAGGATTGTGGGAAAATGATGATGCAATCACAAAATAGCCAAGCTGACTAGCAAAGAATCGTCAAGTAAAACCTTCTAATTCTATATCAGAATGAATTATAAAATCAAATCAACACTCACAAACTCTGACAAACGTCCTCTAAGCGCCTCTAGACTGCAATCTCCCTAGCAGCTCTCCCTGGACGCCAATAACATCTCTGGCCAAATGGCTAAATATCCACGTGTCACTGTCTGTTTCAGCCACAAACAGTGTGAAATAATCCAATAAACTCCGTCCGTCACTTGGTTAAACTCTATCCTCCTTTTGAGAGTTCAACACTCCTTGAATTGACATCAATTCCACCAGGAAAATCACAATCTTCCATCAACTTCTTGAGCCAGCTTCTGTAAATGACACTTCAGCTCCTTACACTTCAACTACTCCAGCCAGACTAACATCAGGTGATCAGATTATCTCCTATCTTAACCCACTAATGAGATACATAAGGAAGCGGTCTGATTGGCTACAGCTTGACTAAGCTGGTGTGTTTACTGCATTTGGTGATGCATTGTGGGAAATCACCATAGCAATGTCAATCAAGTAGCCTCTAATTGCTGATGACTCATAACCATGTGGCATATTTCTCCTACAGGTTGGACGTTTCTAGGGCAAGGGTTCCCGCACTAACAAAGAGTAAGGTTACTCTTACTCCTACTCCCAGCTTACTCCTTGATTACTCTTTGAGATTTGCACTTACTCTTTGGTTACTCTTAGCACGTGAAGTGTTACTGACATATAAAAATAAACTTCTTACTCCACCAAATATTATTACATTTTAATTAAAAATAAAAAAATAAGTGGGGAATTTCTAAATTTCCCACAATAGAAAACATAAAGAGAACGTTCGCAAAATATCTTATATTTACCTGAAGTACAGAGTGCGCCATTAGCCACATATCCCTCCATGCATTTACAGACTGAGCCAGAGCAGTAGCTATGTGAGTCTACAGTAGAACACACCTTTGGGTCACCTCCACAGTTAATTTCTGCAATGGGAGAAACATTTTATGATATAGGTTGCTGTTTCATATATTTAAGTCTGAAAACAATTGTAAAATATTACACATTTGAAAATTTACATTTTGTGAAAAATAGGAATAAAAATTATATTTTTAAAATTCTGTCTCCAAGTACAGTTGATTTACATGTATTTAAGAGTAGGTCATGCGCCAATGGTACTGAAATGTGGAAAACATGTCTGAAAATTGAAAATGTTTCCATTGCATTGACTTATTGACCTTATATCATGAATTACAATAATACAAAAAATACAATTTTGGCATAACAAATCCCATGTACATGTATGTTTGTTGAGAAATACTGACCACCCGAACACCTGCCCTGTTGTATGAAATATCCCTCCCTACACAGGCATGCCCCACTGTCTTCACGGCATTCAGAGTTGAAGTCAATAGCACGGCAGACAGATGGCGCTGAGGTGCAGTCTATACCTGGCACTATAGCAACCAAATAGTAAACAAATGTGCGAAGCAATTAAAAGCAGCAGAAATGGTAATCAGGAACTATAGTGACTATTCATTACAATTGATTATTATATTTTAAAACCTGGAACAATAGTAAAATAAAGAAGAAACTGCAACTTATCCCAACTTGTAGATATTTCAAGACTTCCATTAATTCCGATATAAGGCATTAACATGACAAAATGTCACCACCTAGTTACTCACAATATTTTTAGTTCAATCTTAAAGCGGCTGTAAGGGCTGTGGAGAGAAAAATGGAGAAATTTTACCTTTTCTGAGCTATCGGGGCGAAGTTTGGTCTAACATCTTCTTCCTTATTCCTATTTTATAAAAATGTATGCATATGGCAATATTTATCAACCAGTAGAACTGGCAAATCGTTTAGAATCTACAATTCCATACAAGGAGTCCCACTCATAGATTTTTTCAAATTCTTTCCAAGTCGACGTCGAAACACCTAGCGGGTGAAATTGAAACTAATTTTTCTGGCCGCTCGAATCGATACAATCTCTGACAGTGGGAGTCTTTTTATGAAAACTTTCTTATAGAAATCACTTGACGATTATTAGAAAGCATTAAAAGTTGAAACTGAAGCGTAATCTGAAATAAAAGTGAAAATAAATTGCGCGGACGACAGAGAACAAGCTTCCGGTTTAATAAAAAATGGCGGAGACGAAAGGAAGACAAAAAATTGGAGGATTTTCCTTTGCTATTATCGATCGATATAAGGTATGTGCACGAATTCTAGTTGCATACATGGAAAATAGATACATCTTTGAAGGCAACAACATATTCAAAGCTTTCATTTTACGATAGGCCCAGGATCATTGGATACGACTCGGCAGTCTTTAATCCCACTTTAAGTCAGATTTGAATTCCTGAGAATTTGTAGATGATTTTGAAAAAAGAAATTGTTTACTTTGAAGCAAGTTGAAAAAAGACTTTTTGAGAATGTCATTGAAGGTGAAATCTCACATCTGAAGTCAGATTTGAACTTGTGATAAACTGTAGATGAATCTTTTTTGACCTTGAGAATGTCATTGAAGGTGAAATCTTTTTTGACCTTGAGAATGTCATCGGAGGTCAAATCTATAGTCAGATTGGAACTTTGTTCAAAAACCCTGCACACTCCTTCATTAAGGTTCTTGTTCATCTTAAATTAATACACAGAACTTTATACATTGGGATAAACAGCATTCATAGCAAATGAGCAACTGCAAGCAAAATAGCAACTGTGCTGTGTTTTGTTAAAAAGCAATCTATGGCTCAAAAATCTATTCAACTATGGCTAAAATTAACTAGTAAGTATGTCTATCTGATAATAAGGGAATGTGAATGTAGAAAACTCACGTCCTAGCACCATGCACATCCCTGATCCTATAGCACTATAGCCAGGATAGCAGCTACATATATTCTCTACAGTACAATAGGACAAACTGTCCAATATCTCACAATCTGCGTTCTCCATACAGGCGCTTCCTATGTCTGAAAATACATTCTTGAATTAATACAGTAGCAGCATAAAGATTTGGGGATTGATGAGGGACGTTCAGTTATGTTAAAATTTCTCAGTACTACATGGTGGAGCTGCCAACATGTCACAAACTGACACTTTCCACAAGAAATATTACATGACATATATAACATGTGATTTTAGAATGTTCACAGCCCTTTTATGAAGCAATTACATTTAACTAGTAAAAATGATTTATGCCATAATTTTATGACAAATTAAATTTTCAAAAAATGTTTTGTGTACTTTTAATGAAAATAATTTAAAATTTGGACAAATACATAAATAAGGCAACATTCACTTAGAAGCCCAGGTCCTTAATTTGAGAAAATCTGGTTTTTAGACTGAATAAACTTACTTGATAAACAAAGTGAGGATTCATCCATATGATAGCCTTCTACACAGGCACATTTGTAATCCTGAAGGTTACAGTAACTGTTGGCATCCTGTCTCTGACATAGACTAACATCTGATGAACAGTCAGCTCCAAGCACTAAAATGTGATACCAAATTATCATTGATTAGTGATTTTCATATCAATAATTTTGAAAGAATTTGTGATTATACCTTACATTATGTAATTAAATTTCTTTGATTTTTGTTTTATTTATTTCAAAATGTATTCCCTTTGCATTCATTCCACTTCGCTTCTTAAGAGAGCTTTGTCTTCGTAGTTTATAACTAGACTCTGCGTGTAGGGTTATGTACTCGTATATTTTTAAAAAAAATTAGCAACTGTATTTCTATTACAAATAAATAACATTTACATTATTTTATAAATAATATTTACATGTATCTATAATATGCTAATACAATATCACACAAGCCATTAACATCCAAAATATCACGACCTGCCATATGTTACAGATGCCAAATGCTAACTGCCATCACAAAAAAGTTGGAGACTACAACAATATGTTAATAGCAAGAAGCACAATTAAATGGCTAAAATGCTCCATCACAAAATATAGTTTTACAACTTACAAAGCACACATTGTTCATTCCAGAGGAAGTATCCATGTTTACATTGGCAGGTTCCCCTAATACATACACTCTGTAGCGCAATGTCATTGCATGCTGCATCAGTGGCACAATCCAAAGCTATATCTACATACAATATACAAAGGAAGCACAAGACAATGATATATAAGGGTTATGTACTGGGAGGTTTTGGATATGGGGTTCATCCAGAGGGAGATATGCATATCTACCTGAGGGACCGTAGGGAATCTCAAAAGGGATGAACCCAATATCCAAACCGACCATACATAACTGCTTTATCCTATACCAAGTAGAGTTTTCAGTGGCATATGGCCATTTCAATACTACAAGGTGTAAAAATAAACAAATCATTCATATGCAAAGTCATTTTATTGCATTACTGTAAGCGGGAAGATATGCACCAGAAGCGGGAAGATATGCACCGAAGCGGGAAATATGGCGGGAGATATGGAGGTTCTGGATACAAAAACCTCAAAATCAGGATACGGGATATATCTAACCAACTTATCTCCCTATAACTCTACTTGGCATAGGATAAAGTAAAGTATACAATATGAACCCCTCCTAGCTTTCTGCAAGGTGAAATGCTGAACTCTGCGAGTGAAATCAGTGAATTCGGCGAGGGAAAAAGGCCAACTCCATGGGATTTCTGCACATGTGGAATCACGTCTGAGGAGGGGTAAATGTGGATGGCCAATACTCTTGTATAAATACACTTATAATAGTCACAAATGGTACAACAAATCCAGCTTCAGATTCAACTATAGCTAAGCATGTTACGAACAATGTCAAATAGCTAAGCTAAAACAAACAAAAAAAAAACAAACAAACAACAGTCTACAGGAAGTGCTTACCTGAACATTGACATGTAAAGTATTATAGAACACTCTAAAAGCGATAAATAAAGTACAACTTATCATTACAAGTTTTCTTCATATTCTATAGATGTCATACTTACAGTTTATACAGAGGCTATCTGGGCCTATAGAGTAGCCTGCCTTACATCCACACAGATCATTTATGCATCTACTGTTTGGATCAACTATCTCGCATATACTTGCGTTACTGCTACAGTTCATTTGGTACACTGTAAGAAAGTTTATATGAAAATGATACAAAACTTATCTCCCCAATTCAGTTGTCTATTGCATGCATGAAATGTTTTTATGTGAAATCAACTATGTCTCCTTTTTCTCGATAAATTTTGCAGTACATCTAAATGTACATATTAATTTTAGTTTTTTACGGTTTGTTATTTGCAAATGTTGCCCTTTGTGCTTTTCATTGCTTCAGATAAGAATTGGAAATAACATAAGCAATTCAAAAAGCAAAACATTTGAACAACATAACAAATGAACTTACTTTTTACAATGAAAAAATCACCAGCTGATACAAGATAAACACAACAAAAACAGACTTACACAGGACACATATATTTGTAGCATTATCATGTATGAATCCATCTCTACAGGAACACATATTGGCATCTCCACATACTGAGTTAATATCCAAAACCTGACAGCTTTCATTTGTGCATTCTGCAAATATATACCATCGGAAAGGTAAGAATATATACATTACAATCATGTATTTAAAGTAATTGAAAGACAAAGATAGATCAGATGTGAAATCTGTTTTTTATTTTCAAAATGCAAGGTATCTAATATTAATCATAATTAGGCATTCTAAGGAACAATATAAAACATTACTGATGGATTTTGATGGTTTGGGCAATGTTGAGGCATCACTTTTTTAAATGGATGTAATATTTACCATAAATCAATTCTGCACATTCGGTTATTGAAATAAAAAAGATGCAATTTTCACCCTTCTTAATTCAAAGAAAAAAAACTTATATATTCTTTTTGATTTTTAAGTGTAGAAATCTATTTCTCTGTGAGTAAAATAGACCCAAAAAACAGAATGTGGATCACCTTATACATGTACAATGAATGCATTTTGGTGATTGACCAAAAAACAAAGCTGCAAAAAAGCAAAATTATAAGCCTATACAGCAAACAAACTGCAAGGTTGCAGCACATCTACCTTTGTAAAGATGATAGATACATTTTTTATTAAATCAGGCACCTGCTCTAAAATCATCGAAGCTATTTAAAGCTTTGGTGTGCTGATTTATCTCAGGTGCCCTCTTTCCCTGTAAGTCACCTGTACACAAAAAAGCAAGTAAGAATGTCAAAGCAGTTGTCAAAGCTGTATAGAAAGATGTGCCAAGCTGGAATAACATTTTATGATTAGTTTGTGTTTGCTTGTAAACATAGAAAGCAAAATATAGTATACAGTTTAAGTACTGTAAAAGCCCAAATTTTCGCTGACAAAAAATTTCACTATTTTGTCAATCTGAAATGTTTCATGGGCATTAAATTGCACTGTTTGAAGAAATATTCAATTGAATTCAATGTTAAATCAAATTTTTACTGTGCCTATAATTTAACTCTCTAGCCTCTTCAGCGAAAATAGTGAAAATAAGGCACTTTGAAAATTTGGGCTTTTACAGTACTAGGTACAGTACAGATCCAGAACATAGTTCCAAGATCTGCGTTTTCAATATATAGCAGAAAGGAAACACAAAAAACCTGTCTGCAAGTGAAAACTGCTGGCACAATAAGAAATGTTGTACATATAAGAGTTCCAGAAGCATAGGAGTCGAGGGAATATACAAAGATGAAACAAGGCATGAACATGCAAAATGTCACCACCTGCCATTTCAATGGCGTAGCGTCATATACGCAAAAAACGCCATTGCGTAAAATGATTTTTAAAATGATCTTTAAATTTTGGATAAAAAATGACTAATAATTTACATTGAATTGGTCCAGATTAAGTCGGAATTTCGTATTTCATACCGACCCAGGACGCTTCAAATGCAATCTCATTTAAAAAATTTCTTGGGGGAAAACCCCCCCAAACCCCCCTCGAACTCGTTCGCTTCGCTCAGTCATGGCGTGCTCTCACAAAATACCCACGCTACGCCTCTGATTTGTTACAGATGCTGACTGGCGGTATACCAAATGCCAAATGCTGAACACCAACTACCTAACACCTTCCACAAAAAAGTTGGTGACCATAACAATATGTCACCAATTTTGGTGGTGACATAAAAACTGAAACATTTCAGATTTTGAGCTATTCTTTTTAACAGAGATGCTCACAAACACAGGTTTTACTGTATTATGTTTATATAAGCCTGAAATAAGCATTGTTAAGCCTGAAATAAGCATTGTTAAGCCTGAAATAAGCTTCATTAAGCCTGAAATAAGCATCATTAAGCCTGACATTAGCATCATTAAGCCTGAAATAAGCTTCATTAAGCCTGAAATAAGCATCATTAAGCCTGAAATAAGCTTCATTAAGCCTGAAATAAGCATCATTAAGCCTGAAATAAGCTTCATTAAGCCTGAAATAAGCATCGTTAAGCAGACTAGCACATACTGTAGGCACCTGTTAATTCTGACGGGGACACACAAAGTCCCAAGTTAGGATCTGCTATGAAGTCCTCATGGCACCAACATATCCCATGTCTACATACAGAGTTGGGATCATTGCTGCTGCACACTGACGGGTCGTTACTGCAGTCTGCTCCTAGGACTAAGGTAAATAAAAGAGATTAGGAAATGGTAAATCATGCAAATAATTCCTCATTGAGCACAACTGCATTTATGCCTAAATATGTCTACATCAAAATTGTATAAAGTATTATTTTTCATATTAAATTGATGAAAAAAAAAAAATTCATATACATTGTCTCACAATATGCATCAAATTGATAATAAACACAGACACATTATACCATAGATACAACACATTGTAACATACCCCCCCCCCACTATCTACAATTAGAAAATGTAAATACATGTACATGCATTCAGATTGAACTTGCAACATGTAGTCAAGTAAGTTCATAATCCGTTGGTCAAACCAGTCGTTCCAACAATATACTTGTGAATGATTTTGATCCATTGAAGATAGCTATACCTACATGTATATACAATTGTGAAGGTCAACAAAACCTTGATAGAAAATAGGTATTTTCTACTCATAAACATATCATTATTAATGTCAACCATCCCTTGGTCAAACCAAATAGGTACTTTTGACTCATAAAGTACATGATTGTGAAAACCTATAAACCATGGTCAACCCAAAAAGCTATTTGTACTTGTAAAACAAATCATCGTGAAGGCTTACAAAGCATAGTCATATACACAGCATAGTCATATACATGGTAGTCATATACACAGCATAGTCATATACATGGTAGTCATATACACAGCATAGTCATATACAGGGTGGGCCAAAAAAAAACAATACCCAACTTCAAATCAGGATAAAAATAGTTATATTCAATATGGTACATTGATTCTCATATCATTTGAAAGGTTATACCATTTCAAACAATTTGATATATAACACTATGTCATGAAATCAATAGTAAAGTTTTATTATACTTATTTGGGAGGTCGGGTTGCTATTTGGGGTCTCCAGATTTTAGGGAGAAAATAGTAAATCTGCAGGATTATGTTAATTTTTTATTTATAGAATATCATTCTTTTGTTAGGTGATACATGCTTGGATATTGATATTTGCATCAATGTGTGACTAAATTTATTGTTTATGAATTTCAATGTTGTTTAATAACATTTTACTCTTTATTTATTTAAACAATTTTAACAATTGCTCAATGTATCCCACCCCCTCCCCTCTGCATCAACAATAAACTTCAAGTGGTAGCGCAATCTATCAATAGCCTTATTGAGAGATTTCTGTTGCAATTCCTTTCAGCACTTTAGGATTTTGTATCAGCTCATCAATGCTTATTGGATGCTTTTGTTGTACCATTTCTTCGAGATGGCTCCATGTATGGTAATCAAACACATTAGCATCGGGGCTGTTGGGTGGCCAAGCATTGAGATCAATCAAATTGACACCTTGTTTGCAAAGAAATGCCAATGTCTCCTTTGATCTATGGTACGAGGCAATGACTTGTTGGAAAATAAAATCCTCATCACATATACGTTTAATGTCTTTTAACAGACCCCCTTTGAGTACTTATTGATAATAAACAACACTAAAATTCATTAACAATAAGTTTAGTCACACAATATGCAAATATACAAGCATGTATGTATCTCACCAAATGATATTCTATAAATAAAAAATTAACATTATTCCGCAGATTTACTATTTTCTCCCTAAAATCTGGATACCTTAAATACCTACCCAGCCTCCCAAATAAGCATCATAAAAAATTAATATTGATTTCATGACATAGTGTTATATACCAAATTGTGTGAAAATGAATTACCTTTAAAATGATATATAAATCAATGTATCATAATGAACATAGCTATTTTTATTCTGATTTAAAGTTGGGTATTGGTTTTTTTGGCACACCCTGTACATGGTAGTCATATATACAGCATAATCATATGCATGGTAGTCATATACACAGCATAGTCATATACATGGTAGTCATATATACAGCATAGTCATATGCGTGGTAGTCATATACATAGTATAGTCATATACATGGTAGTCATATACACAGCATAGTCATATACATGGTAGTCATATATACAGCATAGTCATATGCATGGTAGTCATATACACAGCATAGTCATATGCATGATAGTCATATACACAGCATAGTCATATGCATGGTAGTCATATACACAGCATAGTCATATGCATGGTAGTCATATACACAGCATAGTCATATGCATGGTAGTCATATACACAGCATAGTCATATACATGGTAGTCATATACACAGCACAGTCATATACATGGTAGTCATATACATGGTAGCCATATACACAGCATAGTCATATACATGGTAGTCATATATACAGCATAGTCATATACATGGTAGTCATATATACAGCATAGTCATATACATGGTAGTCATATACACAGCATAGTCATATACATGGTAGTCATATACACAGCATAGTCATATACATGGTAGTCATATACACAGAATAGTCATATACACAGCATAGTCATATGCATGGTAGTCATATACACAGCATAGTCATATACATGGTAGTCATATACACAGCATAGTCATATACATGGTAGTCATATATACAGCATAGTCATATATACAGCATAGTCATATACATGGTAGTCATATACACAGCATAGTCATAATATACATGGTTGTCATAAAACAGTTGTTTGCATTCTAAAACCTACAAGCAGACAACTTAAACATGAGCCAAGCAAACAAGCAATCAAGCAAACATGGACAACAATCAATACCTGGTTTTACTTCATTCACATTGTAACAGTAACCAACCACAGAGACCCTGTAGCCCTGCATACATGCACATACTCCTCCAGTGCATACACTAAATGCATCATTCAACTGGCATACTGATGGGGCATGCTCACAATTGGCACCATGTATTGGTGGCATTACAGTAGTCATGGTCAAGTCTAAAATATGATGCCATAAAATATCATTTTCGATTACAGTAGTGAACATGATGAATTACAATAATATAATGTTGCATAAACAAACACCCATTGAAAATACAACATGTCAAAAATGTATTTGAAAACTAAATAATCCAGTCTGAGAAAATGGAGCATTTCTTGCTGGTTCTACAGTGTTCAACCTACAGTACAGGGGTCTTTTAACTAACAATATTGTATTGTGTTGTGAAGACTGGCTATGACTCACCTGTAATACATGTGTTGTTCTTCTGTATATAGGTGTCTGGACAGACACACATACCTGTGTCCGCGTCACATTCTGCCCTAACATCCATCTCTTTACATATGCTAGGCTCTGTCAGGCAGTTCAAATCCCAAACTGCAATAACAATTGCCAACATAAAGCACATAACATGTATGTTTTAAACAGCAACCAGTCAATTTTTTGTTTAGTTCATGTACTAACTAGGCATTAACATGCAAAATGCCACCACCTGTTTTTGTTACAGATGCCAAACACCAATCGCTGAACACTGTCAAAAAAAAGTTGGAGCCTACACCCCCAAAATTCAATCTGATTTTCGACGCCATTTCGCTGCCAAATTTCGGTGCCGTTTCGGCACCAAATGGACTGACTAGTCCAGTAGCAAATTTTGGTGTCGAAAGGGTTCGGTGCCGAAACGGTGCCGGAACAGCGCCGAATTTTTCCGATGCCGAAACTGTGCTGAATTATATTGGCTGTGTATATGATGCACGTTCAACAACAATAATGTTTCCTTTTCAAATCACATTATTTTACAAACATACACATGTATTACTCACTCTGACTTGTTACACATATAACTGGTAGATATTTTCTATAGTTCAAATTTACATTTACATTACAGAGGTTAGTGCTGAGTTAGCGAATTCCGTAGCGGCCGTACAGCTCGATAGGTACTAAATCAGTACTGACAGTTTAGCGCTAATTCCCCAGTAAATTAATACTAACTTCACACTGATAATTTGATTGCGGATTGGGGGTTTATAGTATGATAGCATCAGATATATGGTTTGATTCTGGCCTTTGTGGTTCAATGCTTTACCTGAAATACACTGTCCTCCATTCATCTTGTAACCATGGCGACAGTGACATTCCCCATCTTCCATGCACTCACTGTGCTCTATCAGAACATCACAATCAACATCAGATGTCTTGCAGTTGAAGTCCTCAGCTATTCAAAAGTCATACAAATATTTTACATACAGCAATGAGGATTGGCTTCCAGGGTTCCAACTCGATCTTCAATCTCAAAGGAATTTGTTCAATCCTTATCGTGCCTGAATATTTCTATAGCAGGGATGATGCACAAAAGAACTCACAATTCAAATTCTGAAGTGAAGAAGATCCAGATGGAATGCTGGGAGCCAACCCTCCTTGACATACAGTATTATAATACTATTTTCATGTTCTATGAACCATTTTATTTCACTTTTTGAAATTTACTTTATCGAATTATACTTTATATTAGATTAAATTTTAAAACTGCTTTTGTAAAATTTTTAGAAATGGCAAATTAAGAAAACTGCTCTGACTTGGATATAAATTTATAATCTAGAACCATTTTTTGTAATCCAATCCACTTACAAAATGTACACATCCCAGCTGATAGCTCAAAAGAGAATTTACAAACACAGGTGCCATCCAATGAGCATTCAGTATTAGGGTCATGTGACGTACAATCAACATCATGCGAACATGCTCTTCTTCCAGAATCTAACAAAATATAGCACTGTAGTAACCCCTTTCTAGAAACTATATGGTTATAAACTATAATTTATAAACTACATTGGTTGATTCTTTAAATGAAAGCAATGTAGGTGAATTTCTTTTCCAATCGTAGTCTTGAAATCCATGGTACAATGTGAGTAACATGCATTTAATACTAATCATTTTATTAGATACATGCATTCCATACTATATTTTATTAATAAAATGTCTACATTTACATAACATTAATGTACTATATACTGTAATTAATATGATGATTTCATAACACCATTAAGATATATAAACATATGATTATTTACATATCAGAAAATGAATGAAAAACAGTGATTTCTAATGATTTTTAATGCAGCTCACAATACATTGCAAAAGATACTATAAACTACATGTATTCCAATGTAATCAAAATGCATAAATCGACTACAAAGATCTATGTATCTTAACACTACAGAGCACGGTTATGAATAATGAGTGTGTTGTCTTCAATTGCGATGTACTGACAGAAAGGGAAAGGATTTTAACACCAGGGATTTGAAGTTGGACTACACGTCATATAACTCACGTGGACTGCATCGATTGTTCTCTAGATTGTAATCAGGTTTACAAGTACATGTACCCTCTGGTCCACACACAGAGTTCTCATCAAACTTGAAACATAATGTTGGGTCATCACTACATAAGGCTCCTATCACTGAAATATAATGGAACAAACAGGGTTGAGTATAGAATTACTTTGGGTATTTGGTATATTCCAATGGTAACAAGGCATTAACATGAAAAATGTCACCACATGCCATTTGTTACATTTGTTATAAACACTGACTGCCAAACATGGAACACCAACAGCTGAATGCCATCCTGGAAAAAGTTTGAGATATAACAATATATCGCCACTTGTGACATAACAAAATATATGGGTGTGAGGGCATATTTCAGGTTAACGATTTGAATAAAAAAGAAACTGACATGTTTCAAAGTCAATAAAAGATATATAATGGAGAACTTCAATAATACTGTCATGCCATTTCTGTACATGGATGTGAGGGCATATTTCGGGTTAACGATGTGAATAATGAAGATTTTCAATAATACTGTCATGCATGAGTACAATTTCTATTTCTGCATTATTTATTTTTAAGTTACTTATTCCTGGACTACTGTCATTTCAATATCCATAACCTTAACAAAGGGAGGAAAGAGTCAACAATTTAAATTATTTTCATGGAGAAAACATGGATATTTTGGCAAACAAGATTTCAAAAAATAATGTTCATGGGTAAAATAGATCAAAATTACCAGATCGGCATAATCCTTTATTCATATAGAATCCAAGTTTGCATACACATCTGGCCAATGTTGTGTTACACACACTGTTGGGGTCATCAGCACAAGCCTCGGGCAAGTCTTCACCACAGCTAGCACCTATATCTGTAATAAAAATATACAAATAACCTCATTTCAAAGGGCAACATTGTGAAATTCTGGCCCAAGGGCTGAAAGCTGAAGTTCTTAAAGGAATATTCCTTGCCAAACCATCTCTCTCCTCATATGGTAGCTATAACCATATATATGCTTGCCATGTTTAGCAAAACACACAAAAATGTTTTGATATGGTCAAATTTGATCACTTAGAAATGTGATGCTCAATTCCAGTAAGCTGCCATCTTTTAAAATTTCACACAGGAAGTGATGTCATCGACTCTTAACTTTGCATATAGCATTAGATGAGGAGCTATTAAGAATTACAAAACCAGCTTAATATTCTTTTTCAACTTTGTATCTTATTTAATCCTTCTGAAAATCTCTTCTTTTATTCTAAGTTGACAAGCCCTGAAAATATTTTTGCACAGAAAGTAATGATCACTTGTCTAGAAGTGATTTTGTGCTACTTTCCTATAATTTTATGGGCAAGGTTATAGAAGTTGAGAGTTGATGACATCACTTCCTGCAAGAAATCTTAAAAGATGGCAGCTCACTGGAAATAAGCACTAGATTTTTAAATGATCAATACTGACCATATTAAAACATTTTCCCATGTTTTGCTAAATATAGAAACTATATATATGATTATAGCTACCATATCAAGAGAGAAAGGGTCTGGCAAGGAATATTCCTTTAACTGTGACTTTCCTCCTTTGAGAAAAGAAGGAATATATATGGCTAATCAAATAAGACATTAAGTATCTCAACCAAACACAGAAATAAAAAAAAAATAATAAAAAATACAGTGCCTTGTATACACATATCTCCATCTTGGTTTATATAGTATCCCCTCTGACAAACACATGAACCATCTTGGCATACGCTATTGACTGTACATAAAGCAGGGTCACTACTACAGTCCACCTCTGATACTGGAAAGTAAGAAGATATAGTAGATATGACATGGGGTATTCTTAAATATACGAAAACTAACAAACAAACATTTTAGGTTTTCATCGAAGCACTTTCTACTTACATGATATGCATTTGAAGCCCTGGGCTATATATCCAGTCTTGCACTGGCAAGTCCCTTCAGTACATTCACTATTGGAGTCAAGCTCCACACACAACTCTGGGTTACCTTCACAGCTAAGTCCTAGCACTGAAAAAATGATACCATAAAAGGCAACATTAAAAAAGATTTAAACAAACACAATCATTTGGATGATAAAGAAATAATACAGAATCAATGTTTGAAAAATGAATATATATTTGATGTTTCTAAATAGCATAGACACATTTTTGGGAAAAAATTAAAAACATTCAAAGAATGAGATGATTCTATTGTTTTTATTACCCAATGAGTAGTAGGTTAAAATGAAATTCTGGGTATCATTATATACATTTCAACCAGAACAACGGCAACGACAAAGCGTAGCGAATCCCATCGAACAGAAATGGCTGGCATTTTTACAAACGAATAGCAAATATCATAAAACAACACACCAGAAAGGCCACCATTTTCAAAATGGTTGCTCACTAGCCAAGTTGTCATCAGGAGAAATAATATGCTTTTAAGTAGCCACCTCTAAAATTTTTGAAAAATCGCACACATACTTGTAAAATAACACACATAAAAATGGTGGCCATTTTTCAAAATGGCCAACTACTCCCCAAAGTTTTATTAGACAATGTGCCATGCTTAAAGTATTCACATATCAAATATGAACAAAATTGCTCCACTACTTTTCGAGTTATAGTAAAATACGTTAAAATGGCGGCCATTTTTCAAAATGGCTACCTTCTACCAAAAGTGTCATTAGAAATAGACAGTGTGCCATGCTTATAGTATTCACATACCAAATATGAACAAAATCGTTCCACTACTTTTTGAGTTATAGTAAAACACGTTAAAACGGGGGCCATTTTCAAATCTTTTTTTTCAAAATGGCCGCCTTCTACCAAAAGTGTCATAGGACAATGTGCAATGCTTATAGTATTCACATATCAAATATGAACAAAATTGCTCCACTACTTTTCGAGTTATAGTAAAATACGTTAAAATGGCGGCCATTTTTCAAAATGGCTACCTTCTACCAAAAGTGTCATTAGAAATAGACAGTGTGCCATGCTTATAGTATTCACATACCAAATATGAACAAAATCGTTCCACTACTTTTTGAGTTATAGTAAAACACGTTAAAACGGGGGCCATTTTCAAATCTTTTTTTTCAAAATGGCCGCCTTCTACCAAAAGTGTCATAGGACAGTGTGCCATGCTTATAGTATTCACATACCAAATATGAACAAAATCGCTCCACTACTTTTCGAGTTATAGTAAAATACGTTAAAATTGCGGCCATTTTTCAAAATGGCCGCCTCCTACCAAAAATGTCTTTAGACAGTGTGCAATGCTTATAGTATTCACATACCAAATATGAACAAAATCGCTCCACTATTTTTTGAGTTACAGCAAAAATCGTAAAATGACGAGTAAAGGCCGCCATTTTTCAAGATGGCTGCCATGTGCTTCTTTAATATCTACATTTGTAGCATTATTAATGTCCTTTATAATTTTATACATTTAAAACATATTGCTATTACAGTTTTACATATTGCACCTAAATTACTGTAAAATCAGCACTAAAATGGCCGCCATTTTGAAATGAGCGGCCATTTTGAAAATCGGCTTTCAAGCAGAACTTCTACCCCCATAGGGTATATGTGTACAAAATATGAACAAAATCGGGCCAACGGTATTTGAGTTATTGCCCGGACGGACGGACAGACGGACGGACGGACGTACGTACGGACGTACGGACGGACGGACGGACGGACGGACGGAGGCGTTCCCTATATCCCTCCGAACTTCGTTCGATGGGATAATAAGGATGTATTAGCCTACCAGTGACACATATAAACTCTGAAAGTGTGTATCCAGTGTCACACATACAACTCCCACTGACACACACAGCATTCACATCCCCTGATTTACAATCGGCATCCCCGCTGCAACTTGCAGACGACACTGAAATCACAAGATATATTTGTAAAAAGATGTAGGTTTCTGTCATCAATGTTTTCCTCTTTCAAAGCCAATCATAAATATGTTATACATCGTACATTGCCTATGCATATAAAACTTTACTTAAATGTTAATACATGCAAAAATTCACAAAATGTTTATGTGCGTTTTTTATAGAAACTGAATAATCAAAATTTACTAAATCTACTCTTATATCAAATTCACAATGACATTTTATATAAAGAGTCATAGAATATGAAAATATAGCTCAGGATTTCATTCTGTGTTTTCATTAACTGTACAAGTATATCTATTATTAAAAAATATATAAAAAATATAAAGAAAAATAGTTATAATCTAATTGTTAATAATTACTAATTCTTGATTTTCTTATTTTATTATAGGCCTTTATCTAATAGAAATGGAGTACCTTCTATTTTGAACATTTAATCACGATGGAATAATTTTTCAATATAATTTCATATTTAATCATTAAACTAAATATAATACAGTCATGAAAGCCTGCTTAACTGACACTTCTTCATGTATTTTACTTCCGTCCAGTAAACATCACATTCACATAATTATACCAATTCAAAATACGTAAGTGACACCTTTTAACTAATGGGAAGTTAACCTTCAATGCCAAATCATGGTAAATTGTAACCACAGCCTATAAAAAGATCAATAGTCAGAGATACATAAGCCTCAAAGGATGTAAGCATCCTATTTTCCAGAAATTCCCTTGAGTAAGAAGTTATATATCATATAATATATGATGTGGTAGATTGAGAGATTTAAAAAAGAGCGTTTTATTATTTTCCTCTCAGAACCGTAAGGCTCTTACAAGAGTTATAGTATTTCAAAACCTCTTGTTAAAACACCTTCAGGAACTTAATCCAAGACAATGTGCCAAAGTCAAATTTATAGTTTCCTTGATTGATGTCAATGTGAGTGATCTCTCCATTGACAACTAGACCTACTCCATCAATTCTCTGAAATCTGTCTGTAATGCATCCATAATATTATGTGAGGAAATTATAATGGATGAAAGTTCCCATTTAGGATACTATTAATCAAATGATTCATTATAATCCACAATAACACGACAAACTTCAGCATTTCATTATTTAATAGAACATTTTTGCTTTAGTGTTTATCTCAGATCATGCATCAACATTATTTATTGGTGTATCATGATTTTTTATTCAATGGATTTATTATTCCATAAATCCTTTAAGTTTTCAATGCTCAGGCAAATGCTCATTGATACAAATATAGAGAAGGAAGAATGTTGAATATCATGTTTTAAAGGCCCTTGCAAAATAAATGTATGTTAAGCAGTATCAGCCTAGTATGCCAAAAACCTCTCTCAAAGAATTTTTTCTTGAAGGATTATATGATATTCCTTTCAGTTTCTTATATTATTTCAATTTAAGAGTAACAAATAGAAGAAAAACATGGTTACCTAACCATTTTTCAAGAGAACCCTACAAAACAATTAATTTACCTGCATTGGCCTAAGTACTGAGAATTTCAGATCATGTTTGCTTGAGAATCATTCATTGATCTTAAGAATACATCGACAAATGACTCATAAACTAGGAAAAAGTCTCTTTTTGTGTTATATATTTAGACATCAGTCAACATTGCTGGTACCCTTTGCATTCGTTTGACTTCACTTCTTAAAATAGAGCTTCGTCTTCACTCTTTCAAACTAAAATAAACCTGTGAACTCGCCGCGCCAATCAGTGTTCGTCGGCCAAATTTGACCGATGTTCTTTATATGGTCATTCCTTCTGACGTCATCGTTGAGCCCGGAATTGACCAATGACATGCGCATATTTAATAAGAACGCATTATGGTTTCTTCAAGCTCGCTGATTGATGGAAGGTCAGCGCGTAGGTCAAAAGTGATTTACCCTAACTGTCACCGGTACCCGTCGTGTGGGCGGGGCTACTAAACTGTAATATGGTCTCTACTAGGCAGAGTGTAGTTTAACTAGACTCTGCACGCAGGGTACATTGCTGGCACACACTCTCCCACTGATGTACCATAAAAGGTATATCAACATAAACAGTTTTAGAAGAAATACAATATCAATTTCAGGAATTGAGAATTTGACCACAAATTACTGCATGTATTTGCAGCTGTTTTGCTTGAACCAAAATCAAACCTTTAAATCAGTAATTTGAAACACATTCCTTCCCTCCAACTACATTGTAGAATATATGAAAACATGAAATAAAGACTCATAAATCTAGAATAGGTAGATGAGCATGTTATGAGTTCTTCATTTGGCACCAAGTCAGGAGCTTTAATAAAGTACTGTAATATAATTTTCAAACATTTTCTCTGTGTCTATAATTCAGACAATTCACTAAACTGCTTTTGTGGTTTGTCATACAGGTTTGTGGCATTTGTATAATTAAAAATATAATTAAAAAAGCTTGAAATTGTCAAATTAATATACAGTGTATTCCCTGAAGAAATTGGTTAATGACATTTTAAAAATAAATTGTAAACAGGTTGCAAGATTTTCCTTTAAACTGCACGACAAATTGACATTCACCAAAACCTGATTCTAATATTAATAATTTTCATCAACAATCCATTCCTGCAACAAGCAAAACATAATTACAATACAAGACAGGTATATATAATCTATGTCCAAACACAAGCTTAAGTACAAAAGTACGAATTCTGAGAAAATCTCATTATTTTGATGCTGTCATACAGTAGGAAACATTAAGGATGTAATTTGACATTGAAATCTGCGTCTCCCAATGCAAGCCGCATTTAAGCCCCATGGTCATTCTAATGATATATCTGATATATCCAGGGGGAGTTGACAACTGACTGATCATGTAAAACTTTGAAGTGAGGGGACTGATCAGGAAGATATGCTTACCTGTGACTCATGTCACATTATCAGGAATTACAGAACAAGTGGGAGACCTGATGAGGTCAGTTTCCTCATGCCGAATTACTATAAAAGCCCTGCAAGATCATGGTGGATAATTCAAATTGTAAATCTTTTGAAGACTTGGGATTGTCTAGAATTGCAAGGACACTGCTACTCTGATATTTTAGTTCGATTTTAAGAGGTAAGTGAAATATATTTATTTTTAATTTGAAGAAATATTGAATAATTATACAAGCATCAATTTTTACTGAAACTTTATTAGAAGTTTTCTATTATTTAATTTTTTCAAACCTATTCGTTTTTAAATAATTCTCCTTCTGAAACAATTTACTTATAACTTGTTTTTTATCATTCAAATTTGAATGGATATAAAGATGTTTAACTAACTGGAACCTTCAATATTTTTTTAGGAACAGGAATACTTGTTTTTAAATGATATTTGATAAAAAGTGCTTAGCCAGTACATGTATATTAATATGATCAAAATGACATATTTATAATCTACTAATTTTTCTATCATAAATTGATTTATTGAATATTTTCAGTAGATTTTAGTTTATTCTGTTTAGGTCTACTGTATGTGTGTATTGTGAATTGATATAAAACAGAAAATCAAAATGTTTATGGTGAAAATCATCTAATTTGTCACCTGTTAAATAGACCAATTTGTCAACAAAACCAGTTTTTTGCACACCTACACATTATCATAGATAAAGTGCTTATTTGAGTTTAACTGGTGTTTAGGGCTAAAAGGCACGTACATATGATGCTAATGGTCTGGTCACAACTCAAAATTGTACATCAAAATCTGATTAGTCTTCCGACTTCCAATGTCTGATTTTCATGTTAAATATTTGTTTTGAGGCAAATATGAAAAATGACACATTTATAAACTGTTATTTTCTGCTATTATGAATTGACTTGTTGGATTTTTTAATTGAAAAAATTAATAAATAAAAAATAAAAAGATTGTATTTATATTTATTTGAAAACAATGTTTATGAGTCAAAATAATCTACAAACATGACAATCTTTTCATGAGTGATTGCACAAAAATATTTGTTATATTTGTAAACTATTTCAGGACATTATGGGGTCACCTGACCACAAAGGACCAATCACACTACTTCTGTTAGTCGTGTTCTCTGCAAACACATACAGTCAGCTACAAACAGGTAAACCATTTTTAATCAATCTATATTTGTAATTACTTTGTCAGTCCCCTTTATCAATTCATATACTTCAATATAATTGTCACGTTTATATAATGATTGAACAAATTACAAGTTGGGACAAAAGTTGTTACTCAAAAACATTTTCTCCAAATATCGTATTTGTTAAAATACATTAAACACCCCTTTTCTCTTTCTATCATAAAAAATCGTCAATAAATCAAACATACTTTTAAGATTTCTGAAATTCTTCATATAATTTTTTTTACTAACATCAATGTTTTTATTTTTTATTTTATTTTTTTTATTTATTGATTTCTCAATTCACCCTTTATAGGGTATAAGAGTACAAAAGATGAACTTAACTAATACAGTAACAAACATTAAGATAACATTATAAATGTACATTTTTTTGCCCAGCCTCGATTAAAAATTTACAAAGTTTTATAAGTATATTTTTGTTTGAATTCATTGTTAAAATAATTTATTTGTGACATTCATGAATGGTACAATAATCAGAAATTATAACAATACACTCTACTTATAATAATATAATGACAAATTCTGTCAATGTTGTCTCAATAAACAAACTGAATGAACATAACAAACCTTGATTCCAGACTGTGGCATAGATATAGTGATTGCCATAGATACCTCGTGTAGTATAACAGATGAAGACAAGAACACGACCAGAGAGTTTATAATTGACCTTGCAAGAACCATCAACATTGGCCCTGGACCTACAGAAAGCCAGTTAGGTGTACTGACCTATAACGATGGCATTCAACATCAGTTCTACCTCAATGATGCCAAGACTAATGACGAGGCTATAAAGCTGGCTGAAAACATTAACACAACACCATTGGGATGCAGGTAAGTTAATACAGTTAAGTTAGATCTGTGAGTTTATATTCAATTAGTTCAAAATTTTTTCAAAACTCATAATTGTTGAATGAGTGATGAATAAACAAGAAAGACAAGACAAGAGAGGGATTTCATTTTAACAAATCGCCCAGAAACAAACATTCTATCATTCAAACCAGGAACAGTTATTTCTTTACCATTAATTCTGTTACTTCAAAATTTCTATTTTCCTGCAATATAACCCTTGAAATTGCATGATTTATGTTTTTAGGACCCACACTCACACAGCACTAGAGGTGATCAGGAATGATTACTTTACAGCAGCTAATGGAGACAGACCCAATGCTGCCAACATCGGTCTGGTGCTTACTGATGGTATAACAATCCCACCACGCTTTGGCAAGAACACAATAGCACAGGCTCAGCTTACCAAAGATGCAGGTACTGCTATAGTATATGTACATTGAGCTTATCATATCATTAAGTATATCATTGAATGTATCATATATGACATGTTCCCTCCACTTACAACAGCATGAAATACCAATAGAAAGATCAATGAATCAAATATCATCGGAATCCAAATGCAAGAAATATATTGGAAGGTGGGGCTTTTTGTGACCAGCATACATGTGGTTGACTGAGCATATAACTCGAACACACATTAATAATAGAACACAATGTTGTAGGTATAGAAATGTATGTGGTGGCCCTGCCCAGTGAGTCCAAGAGAGACAGAGATGAGTCTGAGTGGAGAGCTATCGCTAGTGATAAAGTAGAGGATCATTTCTACAATGTTGAATCATTTACTGATCTAACTAGCATCATTACAGATCTTTCAGTAGCTGTATGTGAAGGTACAATTATATTTTATTTTTAATGTCTTGTTTTTTATATTATTCTACATAAAATATTATTAAGATATAAACTTAATATTGCCCATGGATAATACTTTTAAAAGTATTACAACAAGCAAATGTTACATAATGTTTTACAGAAAAAACAACTGTACAGTCAAATATTACGACAGCAACTACAACTGAACCTACAACCACAACTGCCGAACCTAAAACTGCTGAACCTACAACAACAACAACTGAACCCATGACGACTGAACCTACAACCACGAGAACTGAACCCATGACAACTGAACCTACAACTACGAAGACTGAACCCATGACAACTGAACCTACAACCACATCTACTGAACTCATGACAACTGAACCTACAACCACAAAGACTGAACCTACAACTGTAGAACCTACAACCACAACATCTGAACCTACAACTGTTGAACCTACAACCACAACTGCTGAACCCATGACGACTGAACCTACAACTACTGAACCTACAACTGTTGAACCTACAACAACTGAACCTACAACCACAACTGCTGAACCCATGACAACTGAACCTACAACCACGAAGACTGAACCCATGACAACTGCACCTACAACCACGAAGACTGAACCCATGACAACTGAACCTACAACCACAAGAACTGAACCCATGACAACTGCACCTACAACTACGAAGACTGAACCCATGACAACTGCACCTACAACCACGAAGACTGAACCCATGACAACTGAACCTACAACCACAAGAACTGAACCCATGACAACTGCACCTACAACTACGAAGACTGAACCCATGACAACTGAACCTACAACCACGAAGACTGAACCCATGACAACTAAACCTACAACCACAAGAACTGAACCCATGACAACTGCACCTACAACCACGAAGACTGAACCCATGACAACTAAACCTACAACCACGAAGACTGAACCCATGACAACTGAACCTACAACCACGAAGACTGAACCCATGACAACTGAACCTACAACCACGAAGACTGAACCCATGACAACTGAACCTACAACCACAAGAACTGAACCCATGACAACTGCACCTACAACTACGAAGACTGAACCCATGACAACTGAACCTACAACTACGAAGACTGAACCCATGACAACTGAACCTACAACCACGAAGACTGAACCCATGACAACTAAACCTACAACCACGAAAACTGAACCCATGACAACTGCACCTACAACCACAAAGACTGAACCCATGACAACTGAACCTACAACTGCTGGACCTTCAACCACAACTGCTATGTTCATGACAACTGAACCTACCACCAGAAGAACTGATCCCATGACAACTGAACCTACAACCACATCTACTGAACCCATGACAACTGAACCTACAACCACGAAGACTGAACCCATGACAACTAAACCTACAACCACGAAGACTGAACCCATGACAACTGAACCTACAACCACGAAGACTGAACCCATGACAACTGAACCTACAACCACAAGAACTGAACCCATGACAACTGAACCTACAACCACACCGACTCCTGAACCGACAACAACTACTGAATCTATAACCACAACAACTAAACCCAAGATCACAACATCTGGACAACCCATTCTTCCAAAAGGTGAACTTTCTTAATACTACATGTTACATCTCTTCAAGTATATCTATGGGAGCCTTTGGTAACATTTATTATTTTGTTTATAGCATACATGAATGATGATTATTGTACAGATTTTTAATATCAGCACTGTCTCAAATTTGTTTCTTGTTATACATTGACTGTTTCTTTACCATTGCATTGTATTTCTTACCCAGATAATATCAAAGACAGTTTTATTCTTTCAGCTTGTGGAGTGGACATAGTGTTCAGTATTGACACATCATGCAGTATAAGAGACACTGACAAACTAATGGTGAGGGAGTTCATAGCAAAACTAGGAAGCAGTGTAAAGATTGGTGGTGGCCAAGATGAGACACAGATAGCAGTACAGACATTCAATGAAGGAGCCCATCATCAGTTCTACCTCAATGACTCTGCATCTAACAGTGCACTTGACAAACTAGCTAGAAATATTGACCTTGTACCAGCAGGATGTAAAACTCACACATTCGCTGCATTGAAGCAAACCAGAGATGTGTATTTCACCTCAGAGAATGGAGATCGTAGGAATGAACCAAACGTAGCAATCATCTTAACTGATGGTCTCACATTCCCAGGATCCCGTAAGAGGGCAACTTTGACTCAAGCCAGATTGTTGAAGAATGAAGGAGTTGAAGTATTTGTTGTTGCTGTACCAAACAAGAAAGACAAAGTAAAAGATAAAGCAAGACAAGAATGGGAAACAATTGCAAGTGAACCAGCTGATGAACACATATACGAAGTAAATGAGTTTGAGGAGCTTGTAAATCTAATTTACAAGATGACTGGGGATATATGTCCTGATGTTGCTAATCCTACTACTACCAAATCACCTAGAACAACACTAAAAGCTACAACCACAATAAAACCAAAGACAACTCAAGCTACTACAAAAGCACCTGAAGAGACAACAACTGAACTGGAGAAAACCACACCAGAAATATCTGTAACAACACCCCCTATGCTACCAAAAGGTGAGTGTTAAATTGTGAATGCCATACAAGTATGAAACAAAAATATGCAAATAATACTAGTCACTATCCTCCGCTCCTAATAATACCATACAAACAGATTAAAATTGAGGGGCAGATACACTGGGGGGTATCGTGATGCAACAACACCGTGTTGTTGCATCAAGATGGCCAGACTTCCGGTGATAGATTTTCGTACGATATTTTGTTTCCCCAGTTAAACCCATTTCTAGGACGAGTTGCTCAATAACCATACACGTGCAGTTAGCGCACGATCTATATTTAAAGAAACTGTCATTAGTATACATGTACCATCACCAAGAAGCAATAAGTTCACGGTTTTAGTTCCTCACTATTGATGCAACAACACCAAACCGAAGATGCAACAACACTCCTCTAGATTTGAGCAATGATGCAGCAACACCAATTGATAGTATAATTTCAGAAGACCATAAATCTCGAGAGGAACAGATTTTTAAATGCTACTGTTGCAACACCGTTACCCATTACCCATGCGTTCTTCTCAAGGCATTCAAAATACACGTCCTGCGGGCGAAGATCCTTTATGTATTTTCAAAAATTTATACTTTTAAATATTATAATGTACTGGACGTTGTTCTATAACATAGTTCAATCGCCTTTAACATGGCAAGCTTTAGTAACTCAATCGATTTTCATAAACCACTGTTCCATAGCTTGATGACCCTGACTCCAGTTAGTATCATTCAAAAAGGTTGACAAACATCTTTCGTTCTTGGTAAACATGATGAGCTATTGGAAATTATCTGTCATCCATCTGTGGAACAGTGATAAACTAGTAGATGTACGTTACCACTGTTTATCAAATATTATAACTAAAACAGTGACATTCGTGAGCTTATGTTGATGGGATGATTGCTTCATCTATGATATAATATGATATGATTCTTTATTTCCTCCAATTTGGAGAGCCAACATGTAAAAACGTCTAATTGACTTTATTAGATAGGCCGTTTAGTTACACGTTTAATGGAAATCTTGCACGACGCACATGTAGAATTACTAGTATTGCTCTCTTTGGATACCTTCTCTCCGACTGGGTAAAAAGGTAAACAAAAGTGATAAGATTAAGGGCCCAAAAAGGTAAATTGATAGGGGTACAGTTATCCCAGATATCCCGGGCCCTCGGGAAATATCATATTGTCTCTCGGAATAAAACCAATATTGAATCCCTCTCAGTAAATAACCTTTATATAATAGCATTGTATAACTGCAAAATCATTAAACCAACACTCATCCTATACAAATCTTGAGAACGATGTACAACTCCTCGATAGCGTTAACTCCTGAGCAGCGTATACAACTCTTCAACTTGATATATGACATCATACTTTGGGTGGGATAACAAAGGATATACAATATACAATTGTAGACCTCTCTTAAGGTCAACTGGCAAAATTGTATACCGATACTGTAAACCTTGAATGTACTGTTGATCAAGACCAGAGGTCGAGGACACTTTTGCCAGTTGACCGAAAAGAGAGGTTAACAATTCTTCTGTTAGTCCAAATAATATAATAATTGGACGAATATATAATCGAATATCACGTGAACATATTTGATAAGTAAAGGTATCATATTTTAGCAAAAAATCCCCAAACCGTGGAATACTTGTAATGTTTTACACAACTTATTTTTTCAAAATTAAAAAATTTCAACATTAAAAAAACAATTTTTCAAAAATAGGGGTTAACAGTACCTAGTAGTGGTCAACAGTTTACAATTGTTGACCTCCCCAGAGGTCAACCGGCAAAATTGTATACCGAGACTGTAAACCGAAAAACTACTGTTGACAGAGTCCGAAGGTCGAGGTCAACAGTAGTTTCAAGGTTTACAGTCGAGGTATATGATTTTGACGGTTGATCAAATGGAGAGGTCTACAATTGTTTTGTTAGTCCGAGTAAACTAATAATACACATATAGACGACAATCATCAATCGGAATGGCTTCATTTCACAACCTTTTCTCCGAACCACGTTAGCAATATTTTTTTAGAAAATATGGAGACAGTGCAAGTAGCTTAACTCTGTATTTGGCACATCACGGCGCACTCGTTAGTGAATTAATGTTAATTTTAAGTTTCTATTTGTATTTTTGTTATACTTGTCGCCTAGTAAAGTCATTTTCATCAACGTTTACAAAATGTCCGTCTTCCATGTTTTTTTGTGACGTCATGAAACTTTTTTTCACCGCTCATCAACCAATCAGAATTGAGTATTTCAATTGAGGTACTAAAAACACAAAATGACTGATAGCTGTTGTCTTTCCAAAATTATTAGTTATTTGTAAGCAATTTCCATACGGTAAATCAAGGGTATTTAATTTAGAAAATGTATAATCTTTATTTTTCAGATACAATATCAATGAGATTGCCTCCCAGGGATTCTGTACTCTATTTAGTTTGCCTTGTATATCCTTTTAATTTTGGTATAGACAAAGAAACCAAACAAAATACGTTTCGTTCATGGACCACTGACTCACGCGTTTTATTCATGTCCCGACCTACACCTGTAAACAGAACATAAATCAGTTTCTTTTGTTGTTCAATGATACGTCATATTGGCGTTTTTGCATCAGCACATTGGTGTTGTTGCATCATCGATAAGAAACAGAGTGGTGTTGTTGCATCAATAGTGAGGAATTAAAACCACGAATTTATCGCTTCTTGATGATGCTACATGTATACCAATGACAATTTTTTAAAATATAGATCATGCGCTAACTTCATGCGTATGATTATAGAGCAACTCGTCCTAGAAATGGGTGTAAATTGGGAAAACAAAACATCTTACGAAAATCTATCACCGGAAGTCTGGCCATCTTGATGCAACAACACGGTGTTGTTGCATCACGATACCCCCCAGTGAGATATCAGAAACAAAACATTTTTATTTTACTGCTATCATGCATTTCTCATACATCCAGATAACAAAGATGACCTAATTCTTTCAGCTTGTGGAGTGGACATAGTGTTCAGTATTGACACATCATGCAGTATAAAAGACACTGACAAACTAATGGTGAGGGAGTTTATTGGGAAACTAGGAAGCAGTGTGAAGATTGGTGGTGGCCAAGATGAGACGCAGATAGCAGTACAGACATTCAATGAAGGAGCCCATCATCAGTTCTACCTCAATGATTCAGCATCGAACAGCGCACTTGACAGACTAGCTAGAAATATTGACCTTGTACCAGCAGGATGTAAAACTCACACATTCGCTGCATTGAAGCAAACCAGAGATGTGTATTTCACCCCAGAGAATGGAGATCGTAGGACTGCATCAAACGTAGCAATCATCTTAACTGATGGTCTCACATTCCCAGGATCCCGTAAGAGAGCAACTTTGACTCAAGCCAGGTTGTTGAAAAATGAAGGAGTTGAGGTATTTGTTGTGGCTGTACCAAACAAGAAAGACAAAGTAAAGGATAAAGCAAGAAAAGAATGGGAAACAATTGCAAGTGAACCAGCTGAAGAACACATCTATGAAGTAAATGAGTTTGAGGAACTTGTGAATCTGATTCACCAGATGACTAGATATATATGTCCAGATGTAGTTGATCCTACTACTACCAAAGCACCTAGAACAACACCAGAAGCTACAACCACAATAAAACCAAAGACAACTCAGGCAACTACCGAGCCACCTGTAGAGACAACAACTGAACTGGAGAAAACTACACCTGGAATACATGTAACAACACCTCAAATCATACCAAAAGGTAAGTCATGCTTGAACTGCCAATGCCAACAAGTATGAAAGTATAGATATACAGGTAATCCTATTCATTATCATTTGCTTCCAATAATATAAAATCTGCAAATATACTCAAAGCAAATATCAGAAAAATAGAAACTTTTAAATGATACATATACTGGTACATATTTTTTGGTGTTCTTGTAGCTTGTGGCGTTGACATCACCTTCAGCATTGACACATCCTGTAGTATTCCAAATAATGACAAGCAAACAGTGAGAAACTTCATCAAAGAACTTGGACGTCATCTCATCATTGGTAACAAGAAGGGAGAGACGCAGATAGCTGTACAGACCTTCAATGAGGGTGCACACCACCAGTTCTACCTCAATGATGCAGTCTCAAATGATGCACTTGAAACACTTGTGAGTCACATTCAACTCGATCCAAAAGGTTGTAAAACTCACACATTTGCTGCTCTGAATACAACCAGAAATGTGTATTTCACCCCAAAGAATGGAGATCGTAGGGATGCACCAAACATTGCAATTGTCCTCACTGATGGCCTTACATTCCCGGGAACCCGCAAAAGAGCAACTTTGATCCAAGCCAGGTTGTTGAAGAATGAAGACATTGAGGTATTTGTTGTTGCTGTACCAAACAAGAAAGACAAAGTTAAGGACAAAGCAAGAAAGGAATGGGAAACAATTGCAAGTGAACCAGCTGAAGATCATATTTTTGAGGTAAATGAATTTGATGAGTTAATGAATCTGATCAACACCCTAACTGAAGATATTTGTGTAAAGCTCAATGACCCACCCACAACTCCTGCTTCCAAAACAACACAACAATATTCAACAACAACTAAACAACCATGGAGGACAACATCGAGGCAACCATGGAGGACAACATCGAAGCAACCATGGAGGACAACACCAAGGCAACCATGGAAAACAACAACTGGTCAACCTTGGGAAACCACCAAAGAACCAAAGACTACAGACTCACCAACAAACAAACCAACAACAAAAGAAATGAGTAAGTTCAGTACCTGTATACAAAGAAATAATTGTATATCTAGTTTAGTATACTTCAGTATGAATGAAATGTCCTAGGTCTTCTGGTCTTGGATTGTGATATTGATTCTTGAATGGTGGGGGGAAAGGGGGTATTAGACATTGTTTCTTTTCACGTTAGATCATGGTTTTGGGCTATATGGGGTTTGTTTTTCTTGACTGGTATGCACTTAGAGTTTGCTTTTTCTTGCTAAGTTCCATTACAACTTTTGGTCCTTTCCCTTTGGCACTAGTGCTTATATATTTATCATAGATATGGTTTTAATGTTGAACATTGATTATAAAGTCATAGTAAGCCTTACTATGTGATAAAATTACAGTGTTAAGTTGGTATTTCGATATCCAATTTGTGATATCTCAGTGACAAATATGATTCTATTATCACAGAGACCACACAAGTCACAACAACCAGAAGACCTTGTGTGAATGGTGGCTGGGGTCAGTGGTGTGGATGGTCTAAGTGCTCCAGTTCCTGTGGTACAGGAACCTCATACAGAGTGAGAAGATGTGACAGTCCCTACCCAAGCTATGGAGGACAGTATTGTAGAGGACCTAGGAAAGAAGTTAGACAATGTCACAATACAGACTGCCCAGGTGAGTCAATATCACATATGAGTACATATGACGTAAGTCTCAAAAATGTGTATTCACTTCATAATTCACCTAATTTCTATATTTTCATTTTTAATTAAATATCTTGTTTTTATCAATATCAATAATATGTATGCCCCCATGCCAAAAAGCTCCAATTAGAAAAGACCACTAAAGAGTGCAACCTACATCAGGCAAAAAAACTGACATTAATGATTCAATGTACTAGAAAGTTTACAACATTTCAGGAATCATTATACCAAAAGTCTGTATGTCATATATATTTGACATTTTGTTCTGGTTTACAGTGGACAGCATCTGTAAAAATGGAATTGGGAACTATGCCGACCCCACAGACTGCAAGTCATACTACTGTTGCACCAAGGAGAGGGTGACCCAGAAGATCACACCCCACAAGTTATCCTGTCGACCATACCTACTCTATAGACAGGACTGGAAGAGATGTGTACCATGGTACCAGGCCAGATGTAGTTCTAAGCGTACCAATGATGACAATGTTGGCACAAAAACTGTCCGTAAGTAGACAACATATCTGACTCATCTTACCCTATACATGCTGGGATAAAATTTCACCTAGGTTGTTAAGTTTTACAAATCTTGAGAATAGATTTTTGTGCATTATGTTATGTTCCACATATAATTATATTATAGTTGGAAATTACAAGATTAAATGAAACTTTATATTTCTGTATTCAGTCAACTCTGAATGCCCATTAGCTGTTAAAGCAATTTATTCATTATAAAGATGGCATCTATGTGGTTGGTCATGTGATCCTTTGTCAAGGATTCCGCACCATTTTGTATATGTTAGTGTGTAATATGTATAATATGAGTAATACTTCAAAGCTATTTTTATTGGTTCATTACTTTTCTTTTTCAGAATGCACTGCTGGTACAGAACACAAGTTCTTCGCTGACCCCAAGAACCAGTGTAGCTACTACTGGTGTGTCAGAGGTAAGGCTGTTGCCATGCAGTGTCCTAATGGACTAGGGGTCTCAGAGGAACTTCTAAAAAGCAGTACAGCTGTGATGTCAAGCCCATGTGACCAGCGTCTCTCTAAGTGTCTAAAAGGACATGGTCAGTCAAGTAGAGGACGTAGAGATAGTGAAAATAGCTCAAAACACCATAGTCGTCATAAAAGTAGTTCCAGGAGTAAAGAAAATAGTTCTAAGCATCATAGAAGAAGCCGTCATCACTCTGGTGGAAGAAGCAGTCATCGTCGTTCAGGTGGAAGAAGCAGAGGATAGACTAAATGAGATTAAATGGAGGAAGGAAATATCGAACACTCAGAACATTGGTAGTGATGAGTAAAATGGGGTATATTCTAGAAATTATCATCCACAACAAACAGACAGTATAACATAAAATATATAAGGGTTATGTATTATGAGGTTCTGGATACACATGTTTTCATTGGGATAACAACTGTATTCAAAACCAACTGAGATGTATCCTAAGAGGCGCTAAGTACATTCTACCTTTGATCTAAGGTTCCACATTTTAAAAAGTTCATTTTTAATTCTAAAACTTCAATTTTTTTTAAAAAAAATAGTGAGAAATATCTCCTGGACCTCTGTGATAGTGGGATATAGCTAAATCCATCCCACTCATTAGATCCACTTACTGTAGATACCAGAATATTTTTATATACAGGGTGGTCCAAAAAAAGTGAACCCCTGCAACTGGCCATCTTTCTCGTATAACTTGCAGGAATTCTTTTTTATTTTCACATGTTGTAGAGGAAGGTCTAAAATTTATGTTGGTACCATACATTTTTCTTAGTCTTGAAATTTGCAGAAATTATAAGCCCTAACCAAACATTACTGAAAATGGACAAATTGTGATTTTCAATATCCGCGATTCTTCAACCCTTTAACACCTTTCCCCTGAGAATTTTTTAAGCTGCAGTCTTAAAGAGCTAATATTTTCTGACTTTGTTTAATTTTAAATCCTGCACATAATGTCTTAAAACTAGCATCCTACATTTGTTAGTTGCAAAGTTATTGTGACCCAAAGAGATGTGCTAAGCTTCCAAAGACGAAAACATTTTCAAGTGAAATCATGAACATACCCCTATATGATCTTGTATTGTCAATATCTTCATAAATCATGGACCAATTCTAATGATATACTGTATAAGTGGTTATTTTGCCTAATCATTTAATTTTCCTATTTCCTAATTTTTGCCAGGTTCGGAAAATTAAATGTCGGAAATATTGTCTTTATAATGTTATCCAATGGGAGGTTTCTTGTCATTAGGAAAAATAAAATTAGGAAAATGATGAAATTTTACCATTCGGAAAATTAACCACTCGGATTAAATACCACTTATACAGTATGGCTCAAAACATTGAATATTGGATTTTCTTTTGATTTTTTAAAGATATTTGATGAAAGGGCTATCAGATTCCTGGTCACAGGGGGCAACTTCCTTCCATAAGAGGCCCCCCTCTAACTGTTGGTGTAGGTAACATACCCCTGAACTGTTGAACAGTTAGAAATGCTTCAAAATGATCAATGAAAGTGTGAAATGTGTTTTCTGCTTGAATAGTGTCCCATTTGTCATATGGTAGGGTTTTAAAGTTGTATCTCTAACTGGAAGCTGTTTAAGATCATCCAATGTGTTTCAACAATTTCCGTGAATCACATTTGTAAAATTTTGTACAATATCTAATTTCCAGGCATGTTTGTTAAACGCTTGTAGTTTCTTTAAAATTTAAGACTGGGAATAAATTATGGCATCAACCAAAATTTTAGACCTTTCTCTACAACATGTGATAATATGAGCCAATTCATGCATGTATTAAGAAAAATGTAGCCTGTTGCAGGGGTTCACTTTTTTTGGACCACCCTGTATATGTTTAATGCTCTCAGTATACATAGACTTTATACAGACTACATGCATATACATGTTACATATCAAATGTGCATAATGCAGTAATTTTGACAAGAAACTTGAATATATACATGTATATTATGTTCTTACATGAACTCTTTATCATTTCATATCTGTTATTACAGATACCAAACATATCTTACATTATCTAGTTTTTAATGATCTCAACTATATATATCAAATATATTATACATTTTGTATGTATGAATGTACAAGGTGGGCCAATTGTACTGTACATAATATAAGGGAAATATTGATTGTACAAATATATAATAAGGGTACTATTTTTGGTCCATCCTTAAAGATAATGAGTGTAAGAGTTTGATGTTTTTATGAGATAAAAGCAATGTCTTTGGCAATGGATATAAGAATAAGAATATTAATTAATCTACCCTAAATCATAGCATTGTGATCCCTGTGACAAAACTAAAATGCACACAGGGTAGACTTTAATATTATTGTTATTAAATAGTATGTGTATATTAAAAAGATGAATATGTATATTTGATGTTTTAATATTATCATTAAACACTTATATTTATAAGTATCAATGGAGTCTTAATCAGTTCAATACAACATTTCATTTCTTCACATGTTTCTAAATATTCAAGAACTGGAGATTTTATGAGTTTGTTTTTCATAAAAGATATTTCAAAGTTACTAACTTTATAAATTACCTTTTTTCATAATATAAATGTTTGTGCCATTATTTCTTGATAATGACCAGTGATGAAGCACATGTATGTATTAAAATGCTTTTTAACAATATGACATTATCATTATATTATATACATGCTGAATGTTTTTTTAATAAAAGTAAAAGAATACAAGAACACAAATGTGTACAAAATGTCCCCACCAAGTGGTGATCCCGTGAAATGGTTATCCTGAAAATGAGTAGACAAGACTTTACCAACACAATTTGAGGACGGAAAATCCAAAGTGGCCACCTTAAAATTTACCCAGAATGCCAAAAATTTAGTCAGTTCTAGATTTTCATACTAAGAACCACCCCTGAAAATTTGAAATTGATCCGTCACACAGTTAACCAGAAAACATGTAAACAAGACTTTACAGACAAGATTTCAGGATGGAAAATCCAAAATGGCTGCCTTGACATTTACCCAGAATGTCAAAAAACTAATCTGTTTGTAGATTTTCATACTAAGAATCATCCCTGAAAATATGAAATTGATCTACCAAACGGTTCACCTGAAAACGGGTAGACAAGACTTTACAGACAAGATTTTAGGACAGAAAATCCAAAATGGCTGCCTTAACATTTACGCAGAATGCAAAAAAAGTAATCAGATGTAGATTTTCATACAAAAAATCATCCCTGAAAATTCGAAATTGATCTATCAAACTGTTCTCCTAAAAACGCGTAGACAAGACTTTACAGGCAAGAGTTTAAGACGGAAAATCCAAAATGGCTGCCTTGACATTTACCCAGAATGCAAAAAAACTAATCAGTTCTAGATTTTCATACTAAGAATCATTCCTGAAAATTTGAAATTGATCTACGAAACGGTTCACCTGAAAACGAGTAGACAAGACTTTACAGACAAGATTTTAGGACGGAAAATCCAAAATGGCTGCCTTGACATTTACCCAGAATGCCAAAAAACTAATGAGATCTAGATTTTTATACTAAGAATCATCCCTGAAAATTTGAAATTGATCCACCAAACTGTTCACCTGAAAACGCGCAGACAAGACTTCACAGACAAGATTTTAGGACCGAAAAATCCAAAATGGCCGACAATAAAAAAGTCCTTATGAGTTTTTGCTGATTTCTTTTTACAAAATTATCACATATAACTACTGTTAACAATAAAGTAGGCTTTTACAGCAAAGTACATCTGAAATTATTTATAAAGCTACTAAATAGTTAAAGTATGAAAACTCAAAAACACCATTCAATATGATACAAAGTATTATCGCGCGCTAACTTTTCTTAAGACATTCAAAATGGCTGACATGACTGAGCTAGCAGGTCCAAAACCTAATCAGATCTAGAATGAAGTGAGCTGAACAAGATGTTAAAGTTTTAAAAGCAACTGTGAAGCAGTTTTTCTTAAAGTTTGCAGACAAGGATTTTAGCATTTGACTTCAAAATGGCCGACAGGAAGTAGGTATCGAGTTAATTTTTTTTCATCCACATCTGTATGCACTCATAAGTTATCCCTGAAAATTTGAAGGTGATATCTGTAGCGGTTTTGGAGAAAACTGCCGGACGTACGGACAGACGGACAGACAGACGGACAGACGGACAGACAGACGGACGGACGCGCCTAGGCCGACAATATGGCCCCACACTGCCTAGGCCGACAATATGGCCCCACACTATGTGGTGGGGACATAAAAATGCCTTTGCATTCTGTCATAATGTGAATTCAACTCAATCATATGTGAATGTGATACCCAGTTGACAGTTGTCTTTGGACAATTAATAAATTTGATCAATAATGTAATGTGTAATCCAATAAATTCAGATCACAGATATCTATAATACAGCATCTGGTACAATGTAACAGCTATCATAATTGGTTAAGCCTATTCACCCTACATGTCATTTCAGAAGTCAATATTTTACAACGAAGCCTAATTAATCTATCAAGTCTATTACGTAAAATTGACCAATCTCCGAGCCTTTCGTCCAGTGCAATCCGTACCTCCTGTGCCTTACCTCATGAGGTAGTGAAGGTACGCAACGAACGAAATGAATTTTGAGAATGAAAATAGACTTACCTGGTATACACATGCTGCCATCTATCAGGTATCCAGGCTTACATTGACATTTCCCGGAAGCACTACAGACCAGGTTCAACTCAGGCTGTGCTGTACATATACTAGCATCCTTACTGCAGTCTATACCAAACGCTACAATATAAGAACACTTGGTCATTAAAAAAGTGTTCATGGCATCACCAATCACAAAAAATGAAGTCTTAGATGCCAAGAGTATATAATAATAATTAACCTATACTAAAAGATGTAAATGTTACATATCAACTTTGAATTGAATACCTTCTTGACAAGTTTCTGTTGACCCAACAATATAGCCATCACGACAAATGCAGGTCAACTCAGGACCACATTCGCTGAATGCATCAAACCTCTGGCATTTTGTGGCATCATCTGCACAGGATGATCCATGCACTAGAATTATAAAGAACTTTGTAACCATCCATGTCAAGTTCATCATAATGATATATAAGTAATCTCAAGTCACCCATAACATAAAGAGAACATATTTGTAAATTTTCCCAAGTTATGGCTCCAAAAGTGATTTTTCTGATACAAAAGTGGTGCCCATATATTGATCAATCGTACCATTATATTTGAATCCATTTTAACCCTTAGAAAGACTCCCCATGATCGTGCTATATTTCTTTATAATATGACATCATAGACAAATGTTCATCAATTTTTAATACCTCAATTAGGCACCAGATAGATATTCCCAAATTAGTTTTATGAAACAAGTAATTTATTAAAATTTAAATGACCAGGCTGAAACAACAAACTTCACAAAATGTGAAATTTCAAGACAAGTAAAATGTTATTTGTGATCCACAAACCTTGCGTACACGTCCCCTCTATGTCCAAATAGCCCGCCCTGCATAAACATGTCCCATCTATACAATCACTATTTGGATCATACACAATGCAATCTGTGAAATCTGAACAAGACCTACCCAACACTGGAAATAAAGTGATCTCAAACATTAATGAAATAATTATATTGAAAAAATAAATGTTAATACACTGTATAATATACATGGTTACTATATAAATTATCTATAACGCTGATTCTAAAAACCCCAAAATGTTTAAAATTCATATTCATTTGTGACTTGTACCATCGATAGATTTTTACAAACCATATCTTCTGAAAATAGAAGATAGAAAAATCCTCAACTAGAAAGCAGAATGACATTTTCCAAATTGAATTCTACAACTCTTTACTTTTTCAGTTTTAAAAAGTTAAAGCTTTGTCACAGAAAAGAAGCTTGAAATCAAAGCCTATTGATGTAACACATTACATATCATTATGAATGAAAAACATTTTTGGGGGAATTTAACAACAGACATTTTTTCTAAAGGTTGAATAGACATTTTCACAAGATGCATGGAACATCAATTCATTTTAAGACTATTCTACTATCAAAATAAGGGATCAAATCATGCACCTATGTACATGTATTTCTATCTGTACATGTATTTCTATCTGTACATGTATTTCTATCTGTACATGTATTTCTATCTGTACATGTATTTCTATCTGTACATGTATTTCTATCTGTACATGTATTTCTATCTGTACATGTATTTCTATCTGTACATGTATTTCTATCTGTACATGTATCTCTATCTGTACATGTATTTCTATCTGTACATGTATTTCTATCTGTACATGTATTTCTATCTGTACATGTATTTCTATCTGTACTGTGCATACATCACTATACCTGAGACACAAACATCATTTTCATTTACGTCAAAACCGTTGATACAACTGCAGGCGCCATCTATACATGCACTTTTCCTGTCAAACTCTTCACATAACCACGGTCTGTCAAAGCAGTCAAACCCATGCACTGTAAATGGAGATACCCATGCATCATGCACATATAGACACATAAATATGGTACAATGCATAGTTTACCCATAAAGGTACATATTTAATCAAATGACTATGACATTTTGAGAACAGCATGCAAAATATTTTTTATCACAATGTTCATTTCTTGAAGGACAAGAAAATGACTAAATATCTCCAAACCATAGATTATCAACACTATGCAATTACAATGCTATATAAATAGGGGTCTGGTACCCAGATTCAGCTCTAGGTTGTGCAAGGTCATTTTTATTTCTAACATCAATTTTGATCACAATTTATATAATGTACATATATTAATAGAAAACTCAAACTCATAAAAATGATCAAAATTCCTCCATTCAAAGAGACACATAGTAATGTGTATCAAACCAATTTGAATTCTATATCCACTTTGAAAATTGTAGGTACTTCTGAAAATACTTCCCTAAAGGATAATATTTACATGATTCTATCTCTTACCATTGGTGAGCTGCTCGCAGAACCCATGATGCTCTGTAAATCCATCTTGACATTCACAAATGTCCTTGTCATTGCAGAAGCTATTCTCAACTTGCGCCACACATGATTCATTATTTTCACATTCCGAACCTACGACTGCAGTAAATTAAGAAAAGATAATCACAATAAGGTATAATTTTAACAATCCACGATTCATTTGAGATTAGATATTCATTTAGCAGGAGTTCAGGTAAAATGTCATAATACCAAAGCTCTTTAATTCCCTTTATATAACATCATAAATGAAAGAATCTGCATCAATTTTGAAGTTATAGATCTGTATGAAATAGCTGGTTAGGAAACTGTAATACTCAATAGAATTGTGGTATGATTACTAATTTTTGACAGAAACAGATTTGTATAATATTATAAGAAAATAGTGTAAGTAAAAAGGAAAAGTGAATATTTTGGACATAAGCAAGCATTCATAAGTCTTAACACATCTGTCGGAAAACACATCACCAAGTAAACATCACTGATACGACACATTAGGTCAAAATGCAAACCTGCATTTAATAATGCTACATGCAGACAGTGCAATTTAAGAAATACTTACTCTAAGAATGAAAATTGTGAACTTGTTATTTGCTTAATAACCAAGAAGTACAGTCTATCAAGTATTTGGCTTTTCAAATGTTTAATTTGTGCTAAAATTAAAAAAAATGATTGTTGTAAACAAATCATGCAGATTCATCTTCAATACAACTTGCAACATTTTAATGAATTATAATGCCTTGCACCTCAGAGATGTGCATTATAAAATTTAATCAAATCCTGTGTATAAATTGTTTTGTAAAGTCATATGTCATGCATTTGTTAATATAAACCAATCAAACATACTCATTCTCCAGTAACATCTGACCTTATTTGGTCATCATATCATGCCAACATGACCCTAATTAGTAAACTTTCTTGAACACATAACAATATTTGGTACATCATGACAGATCAATCAAATGTGGTGCATTCTCATATGTGGTGCATTAAGGTCAACAGTATGTGTTGTACACCTCACCACTTAAACAGGCACCAGTCTCCATGTCTTCAATTGCAAATGTCGCACATGTACAAAAGTACATATCTTCATCACAGACTGTGAACGGGTCATTGCGTACACATAACCCTTCATCCTCGTAACAGTCAGCACCATACACTATGTTACATAAAGCAAAAGCAAAGCAAGGTTAAAGCAAAGATAAATGGTTTGAATTGTATATATGTGTAGCTACTATTCTACAAGCTGAAAGAATAATATAAATACATACAAGTAAAATATATAATTGCAAAATCAGGGTAAACTGTATACCTCTACTTTAAACCAGATTGTAATGTTGAATAAGAATGTGAAGGTCAACATTTTAATCAAGGTTGATAGTAGGTATATACAATATCTATGTTCGTAAATAGAAGATTATAAGGCCACTACAAGTTATTGTTTGCTGTTCATCTTCTACATTGAAAAAAAATAAGTGGCAAAATATAGGAAAATTGTAAATCATTAATTTTCCCAACAAAGAGCAAATAAAGGCTTGATAAGTAATATTTTCTAACAGACATTTAATTTGTAGTCGACTACAAATGAAAACACATCACAACTGAAAGCAATGACACAATATAAAGCACTATATTTTCAACTGAGCTTTGGAAAAATACAACTGCAAAAGTTGCAAAAAGTAGGAATTGTAAGAGAATAAAATTAAAACAGAAATACACTTTCTTACTATCTAGCTCTGTAAAAGAAGAACAATCATAAAGTAGATTAGAACTGAATAAGAATCTTGTAAATCAAAGGAAAATCTTCTAGATTATAGAAGAATCTTGTACATTTAAGAAGAACCTTGTAAAATTATAGTTCATTCTTGATATTCTATATTATATTACCATTGATAAAGTTTCGTTGATCTCATATTTTGTTTACTTTTCATAGTTTGATTGTGCTTTAGACCCAAGATTGTTCGAGAGAGTATGTGGAAAAGGATGAGTTGACTAGGGATGAGTTGTCTAGGGGATGAGTTGTCTATGGATGAGTTGTCCAGGGAATGAGTTGTCTAGGGATAAGTTGTCTAGAGATGGTGTGTCTAGGGATGAGTTGTCTAGGGATGAGTTGTCTAGATATGAGTTGTCTAGGGGATGAGTTGTCTAGGGATGAGTTGTCCAGGGGATGAGTTGTCTAGGGATAAGTTGTCTAGAGATGATGTGTCTAGGGATGAGTTGTCTAGGGATGAGTTGTCTAGAGATAAGGTGTCTAGGGATGAGTTGTATAGGGATGAGTTGTCCAGGGGATGAGTTGTCTAGGGATGAGTTGTCTAGAGATGAGTTGTCCAGGGGATGAGTTGTCTAGGGATGAGTTGTTTAGGGGATGAGTTGTCTAGGGATGAGTTGTCTAAAGATGAGTTGTCCAGAGATGAGTTGTCTAGGGATGAGTTGTCTAGGGGATGAGTTGTCTAGGAATAAGTTGTCTAGAGATGAGTTGTCTAGAGATGAGTTGTCCAGGGGATGAGTTGTCTAGGGATGAGTTGTCTAGAGATGAGTTGTCCAGGGGATGAGTTGTCTAGGGATGAGTTGTTTAGGGGATGAGTTGTCTAGGGATGAGTTGTCTAAAGATGAGTTGTCCAGAGATGAGTTGTCTAGGGATGAGTTGTCTAGGGGATGAGTTGTCTAGGAATAAGTTGTCTAGAGATGAGTTGTCTAGAGATGAGTTGTCCAGGGGATGAGTTGTCTAGGGATGAATTGTCTAAAGATGAGTTGTCTAGAGATGAGTTGTCTAGGGATGAGTTGTCTAGAGATGAGTTGTCTAGAGATAAGGTGTTTAGGGATGAGTTGTCTAGGGATGAGTTGTCCAGGGGATGAGTTGTCTAGGGATAAGTTGTCTAGAGATGATGTGTCTAGGGATGAGTTGTCTAGGGATGAGTTGTCTAGAGATGAGTTGTCTAGAGATAAGGTGTCTAGGGATGAGTTGTCTAGGGATGAGTTGTCCAGGGGATGAGTTGTCTAGGGATGAGTTGTCTAGGGGATGAGTTGTCTAGGGATGAGTTGTCTAGGAGTTGAGTTGTCCAGGGATGAGTTGTCTAGAGATGAGTTGTCTAGGGATGAGTTGTCTAAGAGATAAGGTGTCTAGGAATGAGTTGTCTAAGGGTTGAGTTTTCCAGTTAACGATTCATTATTAATTAAAAATTATTCAAACACACTGATTGCAATGAAAACACAGAATCAAATAAGAAAATAAATATTAACAAAAATCAGAAATAAATAGTAACTTATAGAAAATTTTGTTCATCAAAGTTTGCATACACTCTTACAAACCAGATACATGTATGCAGTGGTCTCCCCACCAGCCCATTAAAGCAAGTGGGCGCAGCACCCACCTGAAAATCCATTTGCACACACTTGAAAATGAGATAAATCGTTAAAAATTGGCATATTTTGACCAAATTCGGTCAGAATTGAAAAAATGAGAATTTTGCACCCACTTGAGAAAAATCCAGGGGAGATCACTGGTATGTATATAGTCAAAACAATCCACCTTAACAAAATTAATGTAAAACAAAATAAAATCATCAATAGCAGAATAATGCATGCTCAATACATTAAATTATAACTCCTTTACAGTAAGATTAGATTTGGATCAAAAGATTAAAACAACTGAAGATATTATGGTCAGAGTAAACATTCTCCAAGCAGGATTGTTCAGTGTGTTTCTTCTTTCTCTCTGCAGATCCTTAATTCATTTATTCCCAGGTAACAAAGTCTCCATAAGAAATTACTTGTACATATTTTTTCTTGCACATTGGGAGTTTGAATCACACAAGTGATTTCTTCCAATGAATTTTCCTTTGTTATGACAACATTTTTATATTATTATTTTTTTTTAAAAACACATCATTTCTTTATTTCATTTACATGTTGATAAAGATCCATGAATTTTCAACCTGATGTATAGTTTACATGTACAATTGTATCAGTATTTTTTATAGAGAAATATCTCCAAAGATATAACAACATATAATTGATGAACTTTCAAGAAATCACAGTGCAATCAAGAATCTGCAGAGGTTAGGAGTTCTAACTGCACTGGATGAAATGCTAGGAGATTGCCCAAATAAATACAAAACAAGTAGAACATGATCATAATGCAATCTTGCTACAGACATCGGTATCTTCAAATCAATTCAAACTCAATAAATTCATTTTATATGTTACCTGGCATACAGTAATCCCCACTGAGATAGTAATGTGGCACACACTGGCAGGTCTTCCTATGTACATGGCAAGACGTGAATTCATCATAATAACTACACTCATCTGGTACAGTCCCTGGGATACATGTAGCTCCTATCACTACAACATGAAATACAAGGCATTAACATGAGTGGCAGGTCTTCCTATGTACATGGCAAGATGTGAATTCATCATAATAACTACACTCATCTGGTACAGTCCCTGGGATACATGTAGCTCCTATCACTACAACATGGAATACAAGGCATTAACATGAGTGGCAGGTCTTCCTATGTACATGGCAAGATGTGAATTCATCATAATAACGACACTCATCTGGTACAGTCCCTGGGATACATGTAGCTCCTATCACTACAACATGGAATACAAGGCATTAACATGAGTGGCAGGTCTTCCTATGTACATGGCAAGATGTGAATTCATCATAATAACTACACTCATCTGGTACAGTCCCTGGGATACATGTAGCTCCTATCACTACAACATGGAATACAAGGCATTAACATGAGTGGCAGGTCTTCCTATGTACATGGCAAGATGTGAATTCATCATAATAACTACACTCATCTGGTACAGTCCCTGGGATACATGTAGCTCCTATCACTACAACATGGAATACAAGGCATTAACATGAGTGGCAGGTCTTCCTATGTACATGGCAAGATGTGAATTCATCATAATAACTACACTCATCTGGTACAGTCCCTGGGATACATGTAGCTCCTATCACTACAACATGGAATACAAGGCATTAACATGAGTGGCAGGTCTTCCTATGTACATGGCAAGATGTGAATTCATCATAATAACTACACTCATCTGGTACAGTCCCTGGGATACATGTAGCTCCTATCACTACAACATGGAATACAAGGCATTAACATGAGTGGCAGGTCTTCCTATGTACATGGCAAGATGTGAATTCATCATAATAACTACATTTCATCTGGTACAGTCCCTGGGATACATGTAGCTCCTATCACTACAACATGGAATACTATCATGCAATTCCCACTTGCAGCTTTAGTAAGATAGCATTGTACAAACACTGTATATTGTATATCCTGTAAAGTATCAATAATTAAGCAAAAACACTATTTCATAGTTAAGATTTAATTTTCAGGGAGTATCCATAGTTTTCAATACCATTATGGCACAATAAACTTATTTTACCACTGTATAGTTTACTCATCGCAGATGCCTAGTATGTGAACTTATCTAATAAGAACTTACATGACTGGCATTTTCCATTGATGTGTACTAGTATGCCTTTACATAGACAGCGAGACTGTCCAGACTGCACCCTACATTCACTGTTAACATCATATCGCTCACATATCCCAGAATCCAAACTACAGTCTGCTTTGTACACTAAAACATAAACCATCATTTAACAATAGATACAATAAGGCAGAAGAAATGGTGTGACCGGTGACCATAGCTTGGTAACACTGATCCTGTTGTTGGCCATGATGAAGTCATTGACTCGAATTCCCCACATGCAGTATTTAATATTATAACCTGTGGTAGTGCTGTCTCTCATAAACCGGCTAAAACTGGATGCACTTTTCGTTTCACTATTTAGTATCGTTAAATACAACATTACAACAAGCATACAAACTATATCTATACATGTAGAAGTTTCTGTATGCTGTAGATGGATTTGATAAATGATGAGGTTACCTGATTTACAACCATCTTTAGAGCCAAAGTACCCAGGCAGGCAAACACAGCTGCCTTCCTCGCAAACACTGTTCACATCTCCCTCTGTGCATAGACCTGGACGCATGGAGCAGTCAACCTCAGAGGCTAAAACATAACACATACCATTAAAGGATACCATTGATACTGAAAAGGTACGTGTACAATTAAGTACCATAGAGTAACATTCCTAGAGACAATATATTACTAGCAATATCAGACACCTGATTATGTGTATATAACTAGACACTAGAAAATGGGTGTCTACGACTAGGTATTGGTTCTCAATCTTAAAAATCATAAAACATTAGTATATATATCTTTTATTGACTCTTTAGATGTCATGACCTGACATATTAGTCATTACAAAATGAAATTTCACAAAACTACACTACACTACACTAATATATACAATTTATACAAAAAACTTGTTATTTACATATATGTTATAATATACTTTAGGTGTGATGCATCCAAAATGTTAATCTCCAGGCAAGTTTAAGTTTTTGAATGATTTTGTAATAAAACTTCCAACTTGCTTTTGCACATATTTATCTTTTGAAGATATTAACATAATGAATGTATTTTCAGGATCATGTTGATCAACATTAATTTTGCTAGTGATGTTGTCAAACAATATTTTTCTATTTTCTCTATGTAAATGGCATTTAATCATGAAATGAACCTCATTTTCTATTTCCCCACAAAAGTTACATAATCTTTCATATTCAGGTTTTGGCCGTGGTTTTACATGTCTACCCAGTTCTATTTGTAATTTATGTGAACTTAATCTCAGTTGTGAAATTGATTGCCTGTGATTTTTGTTTTGAAGGCTTAAATATTGTTCTCTTTCAAAAGTTGTTTTGAATTTAATGTATGTTCTTAAAACTGGGTATAATTGTAAATCACACTTCCATTTCTCCTTATAATTTTGGTACAATATTTTAGTTAGGTTATTTTTAAATACATAGTCATCCTCAACAACTTGTTCATTCCAAGTGCTTTGGAGATTACAATCTTTTAAAATATTATGAACCTTACTTGACCAAGTATTTTTAAATCCTAAACTGTACATTTCATAATCATATAGATATGCTTTATAAAGGAGGTTATCTGGACAAAGTTGTATAAGCCGTATCCAATATTTAATAAGATGAATATCAAAGCACAAACTAAGTGGAAAACGACCCAGCTCTCCATAGACTGCAAGGGTTGCAGTTGATGTTTTCACACCAAGGATGCTTTTTAAAAAGGACAGGTGAATAGTTTCCAGTTACTTGATATGTTTTTTACTTGACCATATTTCTGAACCATACATCAAAATTGGTTGGACAAGTGAATCAAATAAATGTAAGGCAACGGATATGGGAATGTCATTAAACTTGTGATATTGTTGCTTTATTTTGAATAAAGCTTTTCTAGATTGTTCTTTAAGATAGCATATTTGCCAAGTACTTACTGAGTATACAGGCATCATTGATTCCTATATATCCAACTTTACACTGGCAGACACCATCCACACAAGTACTGTTCTCATTTAGGATCACACAGATGCCAGGGTCTTGGTCACATTTTGCTTCTAGAACTACAGAACACAGTCAATATTAGTGAAACAGACATCATTGATTCCTATATAGCCAACCTTACACTGGCAGACACCATCCACACAAGTGCTGTTCTCATTTAGGATCACACAGATGCCAGGGTCTTGGTCACATTTTGCTTCTAGAACTGCAAGACATGGTCAATATTAGTGAAACACAAACTGACCAATACATCCCTGAACAAAGAATAATGGAAATGTACATTTCATTGCAGAGCATCAACTAGAGGTGTGAATTTTTAATCGATCATCGATTAATTGATCGACAAAAGTTTAATCGATTAAGATTCTTAATACTCAATTAACTGATTCTCAAAAAGATAATCTTCAGCATCCTGCCGTGAGTAAGCTTACATGATGTCACTGACTGATTGAGACCTAATTTGTCAGGTTGACATGCCAAGCTTAAAACTCAAACTGCCAAACCAGCTAATTACCCTAAGCCAGACGCTTACCTTTGTTGTTTTTGTGTTTTCTGATACATCTTATTGATATATTTTATTCAATAGAGGTATGCAATCAAATCAAACGAATGAATAATCGCCTACTACTAAAGAATTAGAAAATTTAAGGGAAATTATGTCAGTAAAAATGATAATCAAATAATCAACACAATACACTAACTGTTTTATAATTAACATTCATCAACAGGCGATTTCAGATTCTATATTGTAAATCTTTTAATATCTAAATTTACTTTATATCATTTTGAGACCTTATATTTAAGCAGTAAATGACACATTAGTAAGAAAATCATACCTGCAACTCAACTCAATATTCTACAGAAAATAACTTACGTGTGCTGCATACACCAAGGATAAGATGTGTTGTTGGTTTACATTGACAGGTCCCTTCTCTACATTCACTGTTCTCATCAAACATCTCACATATACTTGAGTTACCAGAGCAGTCATAGCCCATCACTGCAATACATAAAATGGAGATGGGCTGCTATCTTCTCAGTCTATCAATTCCAAATAAATATTTTTCCCAGTAAATATTTATGAGCAGACAAAGTGCCTCCTTAATGATCAATAAAGTGAGCCTTAAAGCAAAAATGATGGCGGGAAAAGACTAGTCTCGGTTTAGAGAACAAAGTTCATCAGTCTACTGCATGTTATGCCTGCATTGGACAATTTTGATATTTTTACAGAATGTCCTCTTTTGAATTCTTTAATTTGGGTGATATTTCTATATTTTTCATAAAGAAAGTATTAGCTCAGGAGACTGTACTCCAAACGGAGACTTGTCCTTTGAAACTGACAGATAGATTGTGGAGATTGTTCACTGGTTATAAAAGATTGCTACTTAGCCATTGCATTGTTTCATACTATGGCACATGGCACACCCTTGATACATGATACACAAGGTGAGAGCCATTAAAAAATGTTCAATAATGTAATTCAGAATCATTTTTTCCAGCTAAAATATAATGACTTAAAACATGAGAAAACATGCAGTCCTCGTCTTAGACAATGTAGCATATTATCTTACCTGGCACACATTTCAAATCTACTGTAAAATAGCCAGCCTTGCAGCTGCACACATCATTGACACATTCACTGTTGATATCTCCCTCTTCACACATAGTTGGCTTAAGGCTGCATGCTGCCCCAACCACTGGAACACAAGTGTAGACTAGACATTAACATACGAAATGTCACCACCTGCAATTTGTTATAAACACCAACTGCCGAACTATCCACAATAAAGTTGGAGACTATAACCATATGTCATCACTTCTTGTGGTGACATAAAATGCAGAAATGCAGATTCAAAGTTCAATTTTTTCAAATTCCCTGCTATAACTAAATCATTATAGCCACAATGAACTCCCCCAGCAGAGCTGTAGATGTCTCATAGAGTCACCTATTGTCACAGCGTAGCCTCATCCTTCAAAAACCCATAATTGACACTTGGTAAATTGACTAGCAATGTACTTACGTGTTACACACATGGATCCTGAGTTGACATAGCTAGGCAGACATACACATGTTCCTTCTGTGCCACATTCACTGTGCTGGTCCACAGCAGTGCATTCTGCATTGGTAGAGCATGCTGAACCAAGCACTGGAGATAAAATAGCAAACAATCAGATTTTCTATTTCATTTTGGTTATTTAATGGAGATTATAGTAATTAATCAGTGCACTATGTATATTGAGACCTATAGGGTCAAAGTGAGGATTTTGAGATAGACACATTTTTGAGACACCCAAATAAAACAACAAGTGTGTATTGTGACTTAAATCTCACAGGCTGGTATCGAAAGATTTGTCCGCTGTGACGGAGCATGCTATTTTTCATAAAAACACTAAAAATGCTTCACAATTTATTTTTTAACTCATATGTTTCGTTATATCAAAGATAATTACTTTCTCCATGCAATGGATATATCATTTGCGTGTAACCTTCACTTCTGTTTGAAGTCCAATAACGCTAGGAGTAAAATCTATTGAAAACGGCGCCAGAGTATCAAACTCTAAAATGTACCATTTCTTTTTTAACTAATTAATGGCATGATATAGTGACACGATAATATTAACATATGTTTTCAGCATAACTCTGAATGTATTAATGATATATTAATGCATTGGGTCTTTTTAATTTTTTTTATAAAAAATAATATTAATATTTTTTGTCCGCTGTGACGGAGCATTTTCACAGTTCACATTTGCAACTGCTCCGTCACAGCGGACAAAAAAATTAAACATTATTTTTTATAAAAGAATTAAAAAGACCAGATACATCAACATCTCATTTACACCTTCATAGTTATGCTTGAACCATGTGTAAATATTATCGTGTCACTATATCGTGCCATTAGAAAGTTAAACAAGAAATGGTACATTTTGAAGTATGATACTCCGGCGCCATTTTCAATAGCTTTTCTTCCCAGCGTAATTGGACTTCAAACAGAAGTGAAAGTTACCCGCAAATGATATATCCATTGCATGGAGTAAGTAATTTTGTGTGGTATAACGAAACGTATGAGTTAAAAAATAAATCGTGAAGTATTCTTAGTGTTTTTATGAAAAATAGCATGCTCCGTCACAGCGGACAAATATTTCGATACCAGCCTGTGAATCTGTGCTAGAGCTTCTTACTATGAACATTTTTTAATGTTTGGTCTCATCCTGATTCACAAAAAATGTTGCATTTTACAGTAATTATAAAGTATTGAAATAACTAGCTTATGCTTACACTGTACACAAATATCATCCTGGGGAAAAAATCCTGGTTTACAGTAGCACTGCATGAATTTGGTACATTCACTGAACTCATCTATGGCTCCACATAAATACTCTTCATCAGAACAGTCAAGTCCAAGCACTAACAAAAATAAAAGATATGAATTACATGCAATTTGTATTGTTTCAAAATAAGTACTGTATGTGTGACCCACGCATCAGAATAACTGAAATCACAACCATTAAATAATTTAATACTACATATAGATGTTAATACTTACACTTTGTGCAATTTTCATTGAATTCAAAGTATCCCTGTTTACAAACACATAACTGGTCATCTCCACATATACTGTTGTTGTCATTCTTAACACAAACATCTGGGTCTGAGCTACAATTGGCCCCTAGCACTGAAATGAATAGTATATATATTAGGGGCTGAGCTACAATTGGCCCCTAGCACTGAAATGAATAGTATACATATAAGGGGATGTCTTATATGTTCCACACTAGATTTGACACAACATTACTTTCCATTGGTGTCTGGGTGGTCTGAGGTTCTCTAAAATTGCAAGTGTGAAGATATCTGTTTTTGCGATTTTTGCAAGTTTTATAAACATTGATAGATGGGTGTTTGGTGAAGTCAAAATTTTTTTATATAGGATAATGATGTGCTACAATGTATTGTTAAGAAAGTAAAATAATGTTACATACTGTAGCCCCACTAAGATTTAATGATTATTGTGGTGAACAAGGGCCAATATCACTGATTATTTTGGTTTATCAATCTTTAAATAGACAAAATTCTTAAATAACTGTCAAGTAAATTTAAATCACCCAATCTAAAATAAAATCTTTCACAAGAGAAATTATGACAGTATACATGTACAGTAACATGTTACAGTCTTCAAACATGACATGCTAATGAATCATTTATGAAAAATACTGCATTAGAATAAAATTCATGATATCTTGATTCTCTGAAGTGCTGGTCTCACCATGAACCAGTCATAATAATATGTAATTCAGTCAGATTGTGCATTTATTAATAAATCAACAATACACTCAAGTTTTAGGTTATTACTTTTTTAGCATGATGGTTGCATGACTTTTGTGGGATAAGATTGTTCTTGAATGGTATGGTATTTTCATAATTTAGTGAGGTATTATCAGGACGCTTATCTGAGCAAGTGAAACATTCTTATGACTCATCACTGAATTGTATGAAAGACTGGAGCATTGTGATATTGTTTAATATTTAATGTGTTCATGAAAATGAAAAACTGTTTCCTGCCAACATGAGCAAATTGAGACTGGCCGACATGTAGTTTTATAAACATTGATAGATGGGTGTTTGGTGAAGTCAAAATTTTTTTATATAGGATAATGATGTGCTACAATGTATTGTTAAGAAAGTAAAATAATGTTACATACTGTAGCCCCACTAAGATTTAATGATTATTGTGGTGAACAAGGGCCAATATCACTGATTATTTTGGTTTATCAATCTTTAAATAGACAAAATTCTTAAATAACTGTCAAGTAAATTTAAATCACCCAATCTAAAATAAAATCTTTCACAAGAGAAATTATGACAGTATACATGTACAGTAACATGTTACAGTCTTCAAACATGACATGCTAATGAATCATTTATGAAAAATACTGCATTAGAATAAAATTCATGATATCTTGATTCTCTGAAGTGCTGGTCTCACCATGAACCAGTCATAATAATATGTAATTCAGTCAGATTGTGCATTTATTAATAAATCAACAATACACTCAAGTTTTAGGTTATTACTTTTTTAGCATGATGGTTGCATGACTTTTGTGGGATAAGATTGTTCTTGAATGGTATGGTATTTTCATAATTTAGTGAGGTATTATCAGGACGCTTATCTGAGCAAGTGAAACATTCTTATGACTCATCACTGAATTGTATGAAAGACTGGAGCATTGTGATATTGTTTAATATTTAATGTGTTCATGAAAATGAAAAACTGTTTCCTGCCAACATGAGCAAATTGAGACTGGCCGACATGTAGTTTTATAAACATTGATAGATGGGTGTTTGGTGAAGTCAAAATTTTTTTATATAGGATAATGATGTGCTACAATGTATTGTTAAGAAAGTAAAATAATGTTACATACTGTAGCCCCACTAAGATTTAATGATTATTGTGGTGAACAAGGGCCAATATCACTGATTATTTTGGTTTATCAATCTTTAAATAGACAAAATTCTTAAATAACTGTCAAGTAAATTTAAATCACCCAATCTAAAATAAAATCTTTCACAAGAGAAATTATGACAGTATACATGTACAGTAACATGTTACAGTCTTCAAACATGACATGCTAATGAATCATTTATGAAAAATACTGCATTAGAATAAAATTCATGATATCTTGATTCTCTGAAGTGCTGGTCTCACCATGAACCAGTCATAATAATATGTAATTCAGTCAGATTGTGCATTTATTAATAAATCAACAATACACTCAAGTTTTAGGTTATTACTTTTTTAGCATGATGGTTGCATGACTTTTGTGGGATAAGATTGTTCTTGAATGGTATGGTATTTTCATAATTTAGTGAGGTATTATCAGGACGCTTATCTGAGCAAGTGAAACATTCTTATGACTCATCACTGAATTGTATGAAAGACTGGAGCATTGTGATATTGTTTAATATTTAATGTGTTCATGAAAATGAAAAACTGTTTCCTGCCAACATGAGCAAATTGAGACTGGCCGACATGTAGCAAAGGAGATGAAGAATCTAAGAAGTGTAAATCTCAGAAAACCTTTTACAATATCACACAGATTTCGAGAAATTAACAAACATAGTGAAAATGTCTAGTTTTATCTGTAAATATTTAAATATTGCAAAATTAATAAAATGAAAAAACAAAGGATTGTACATGACAAAAATGGTTAGAGGCAATTTGTTACAGACACCAACCATCTTTGCAGAAAGCCAATCCCAAAAATGAAGTCTACATATAACAATAAGATACAACTTCTTCATGACAAAAAACTAGCTTGATTGCACACTCATCCGATATCACTTCAAAGTACATGTAATTCCATTTCTGCTACGGTAACGGTGTACTCACCCGATCTCACTTCAAAGTAATTCCATTTCTGCTATGGTAACGGTCAGTCTGGTAACGGTGTACTCACCCGATCTAACTTCAAAGTAATTCCATTTCTGCTATGGTAATGGTCAGTCTGGTAACGGTGTACTCACCCGATCTAACTTCAAAGTAATTCCATTTCTGCTATGGTAACGGTCAGTCTGGTAACGGTGTACTCACCCGATCTAACTTCAAAGTAATTCCATTTCTGCTATGGTAACGGTCAGTCTGGTAACGGTGTACTCACCCGATCTCACTTCAAAGTAATTCCATTTCTGTTCCGGCAGCAAAGGTGCAACTTTCCGATCTGCTTTACTCAAGATGCATGTACTGTTCGCTTCATTGTAGTCCACAGAAATGCATTCAAACTCAGTGTGAGTTCGACAGCGTTCCAGACACTCCTCCAAGGTCAAAGGGGAGATGTTCTTGTGGTTGTGTTTCTTTAGGTATTTGTCTTCAACCCCAAGCCATGGCTTTCCATCAATAACAAGAATCTCTTGACCTAGAAAGCACAATAAGCACACTGTTGAGTACAATACAATGAAGACATCCATTTTCTGATGTTTGCTGCATTTTTAATGAAGCTTGGTAAAAATAATAATAATAATGATTTCATGTATAGAAAATAAAAGAAAGGTTTTGAGGATTTTTTCATCATCAACCTTGAATGTTATACAGTCCAAATTCAAAGTGAACTATAATTTGAATTTAATGTAACAGACCTGGATGCTTTAGGATTTTGAAAGTTTTGATAGAATCTTACTGTGAACAGAGTATACTAAATTATTGCAGACCACAATACAGAATGTGGAAACCACCAACAATCTGATAGTAACAATAAGTAAGCAATTTTGTCATAAACACAGATAAAGTTCATGTACCACTCTTTGTTTCACATGTCTTGCCAGTGAACCCCACAGGGCAGGCACAGAAGAATCCAGGAATTATGTCCACACAAGTCCCACCATGGCCACAGGGAGAGTTGTAGCATTCATCCTTGTCTGAAAATATACTTAAAGGTTATATAGGTATGAACAGTATGTATTTATGGGAAGGTTATGCAGAAGCCATTGGGCTGTGTTCAACCAATTGTTGTCAGCTGATAATCATTCCCTTTGAGATCCTCGAAACACAATCTACTTGCTTCCCATTATTTGGAACAAAATTGTTGGAAGGGAGATCAGAATGATAAAGAACAATAAATGCAACTGTAGACCTTACCTGCATTTTTCTTGCAGAAGTATGAGTTCAGATCACTACAAGGAAACTTCCTCCACTTATATTCTTCCTTTGATCCCAGCATACAAGCACATGAACCTAGTAATCATATGTGCAAACCATTTGACTTGAGATAATACTGAGAGAAATTATCCTAAAATACATGCATGATCAACCATATCCTGATTTTGAGGTTTAGATATTACACACAAATGTATATGCCATATATCAATGGAAAGACAATTCAATTTCCAACAAAATGATATATAATTCATTTCATATAAAGGAGTATTCGTCTTAAAATATAATTTCAATTACCACAGGTGTACAAGGGGTCAAATCTTGATTAACCAATTGCTGAATACAAATGCTAAGAATTGACCAGACAGATAGAACTCCTATGTCAGCTTTGGGGATATAATTCCAATTATAGAAAGTCACAATTGTTGATTTATGATGATATGAAATTAAATTGATTTACAAATGCAATATTATTGAGTTCTTTTGCCATTTTGATAGGTATTGGTAATCAGTAATATAGCCTAAATAATGTAGTGAAGTCTGTATCAAATAGTTGAACATTTACTCAATTTTCAAGACATTTTGGACACAATGCGGATTTAAGGCTGAAATTATCATGAAATTGGCAATAATGATGTTGTTCTTATATAATTTAACTTATCTGACATTTTAAATTACAAACAATGTAATTATAGACACCAGAAGTGGAAATAATAGAAATTTATTCCATATTATGGGTTATGGCAAAATTTCAACTGAGTTACTTTGAGAAACGTGTTTGAAGCAAATATCAATGTATCAATCAATCTAACTTTATAATGGACTACAATGCATAAAAATAGGTTATATTCAGCTATAAAATGACTTACAAACAATAAAACTCAACTCCAATACTTTTTCTTTATATGTAAAAGCCTAAAAGTGTTGATTAAGCCATGTGATATATAGAGGATATCCTATGATTTATGAGTAATATGATTTTTATCCCAAATGGATATGATACCTGTAGATATCAATATCCATGAATGGATTAAAATCATATCACGAGTAAATCATAGGATGTTATTTTTATTCCATAGTTAAAGTCAACATCCGAATCGTCGGAAATAAAGTGATTTTAATTCGAATTTTCCAACGATCTGGCGATGTTTACACTTACAAAAATATCATATTTTACCACTGATAACAAAAATACCCTTTTTATTTTGACATGTTTCTAATGATATATAATTTATGGATATTCTCAAAATATCAGCAAAGATATTACAAAAATAAAAATATGGATGTTTTTTGCCCCCACCCCTGTATATTGAATCTTGAGCTTCATTTCAATAGATATACCTGATCCCTGCTCTTGGTGCCAGTTGGAGTAATGATAGTAGGAACCATCAGACCAAGTCCATCGAGGGTCGCTGTAGTTCAGTCCAAGCCACCTGGAACCACATGAATTACATGTGTTAAACATATTGTAAATAAATACTTGGTAGGTACAATAGGCATAATGAATAGGGGGAAGTATTGCTATCAGACCAAAGTCATCTTGAACCACATGAATTAAATGTGTTAAACATATTGTAAATAAATGCTTGGTAGGTACAATAGGCATAATGAATAGGGGGAAGTATTGCTATCAGACCAAAGTCATCTGGAACCACATGAATCAAATGTGTTAAACATATTGTAAATAAATACTTGGTAGGAAAGTATTGCTATCAGATCAAAGTCACCTGGAACCACACAAAGTACTATATCTAGTACATGTATGAAAAAATTTGTGTATACAAGGTTTCTATTTTGTTGTACATCTGAAAATGAAAATGTAATGGTAGCAATATTAACAAGGCATTAACATGACAAAATGTCACCACCTAAAACAATTTGGTCAATTTAAAGCAAGTTGGAAAATACCTTTTGACCTTAAGAAGGTTTTTGAAGATTTGAGCTTCTGGGATCTTGTAGATGATTTTGAAAAAAGAAATTATTCAATCTGAAGCAAGTTGAAAAAATACCTCTTTGACTTTTTTTGACATTGAGAAGGTCATTGAAGGTCAAATGTCAAATGTAAAGTCAGATTTGAACTTCTGAGAACATGTAGATGATTTTGAAAAAAAAATTAAGTAAATTTGAAGCAAGTTGAAAAAAGACCTTTTTGACCTTGAAAAGGTCATTGAAGGTCAAATGTCAAATCTAAAGTCAGATTTGAACTTCTGAGAACATGTAGATGATTTTGAAAAAAAAATTAGTCAATTTGAAGCAAGTTGAAAAAAGACCTTTTTGACCTTGAGAAGGTCATTGAAGGTCAAAGGTCAAATCTAAAGTCAGATTTGAACTTCTGAGAACTTGTAAAGTCAAATTTGAACTTCTGAAAAGATGTAGATGATTTTGAAAAAAAATTTGGTCAATTCGAAGCAAGTTGAAAACAGACCTTTTTGACCTTTTTTGACCTTGAGAAGGTCATTAAAGGTCAAATGTCAAATCTAAAGTCAGATTTGAATTTCTGAGAACATGTAGATGATTTTGAAAAAAAAAATTAGTCAATTTGAAGCAAGTTGAAAAAAGACCTTTTTGACCCTTTTTGACCTTGAGAAGGTCATTGAAGGTCAAATGTCAAATCTAAAGTCATATTTGAATTTCTGAGAACATGTAGATGATTTTGAAAAAAAAAATTAGTCAATTTGAAGCAAGATGAAAAAATACCTTTTTGACCTTTTTTGACATTGAGAAGGTCATTGAAGGTCAAATGTCAAATCTAAAGTCAGATTTGAATTTCTGAGAACATGTAGATGATTTTGAAAAAAAAATTTAGTCAATTTGAAGCAAGTTGAAAAAAGACCTTTTTGACCTTTTTTGACTTTGAGAAGGTCATTGAAGGTCAAATGTCAAATCTTAAGTCAAATCTAAAGTCAGATTTGAATTTCTGAGAACAAGTATATGACTTTGAAAATTTTTTTTAGTCAATTTGAAGCAAGTTGAAAACAGACCTTTTTGACCTTTTTTGACCTTGAGAAGGTCATTGAAGGTCAAATGTCAAATCTAAAGTCAGATTTGAAGGTCAAATGTCAAATCTAAAGTCAGATTTGAATTTCTGAGAACATGTAGATGATTTTGAAAAAAAAATTAGTCAATGTGAAGCAAGTTGAAAAAAGACCTTTTTGACCTTGAGAAGGTCATTGAAGGTCAAATGTCAAATCTAAAGTCAGATTTGAACTTCTGAGAACAAGTAGATGATTTAGAAAAAAATTGAAGTCAGTCTAAACAGTATTTGTTAAGTTATAGGAAGTTGTAAGAAATTGTTACAGACGCCGGACGCCAACCGCCGGACGCCGTCGCAAAAAAACGGAGACCATAACAATATGTCACCACTTTTGGTGGTGACATAATTGACCCAAACTAAATGATCTGTTTTTACATGAAGTACTATATTACTATAGTTTCTTTCACACTTCTGTCTGTAAGAAATATCATGTGTCCATATAAAAGATGGCATTGGTTGCTGTATACTGATTGATTTAAACGTTTATCAAGATAAATTCTCGGGGTGAATTCAAAAAGTTAATTTTTTCCCTTTTTAAAAATGTTATTCAGACTGTATCTTCCAAATTATTTCCCAGAGTTTTTCTTTCAAAATTGATGAAAGAGAGTCATATGGATGTCACATGCCTGATCTTTTATTCTTTTAAACTTATTAAACACTTAGATTTTGATTTGCTCCCCAGTGTGTACAAAGTACAAACACTTAAAATTATTGATTTTCTGATACATGCATATTCTTTTTTCAATGCTTTACACTGTGCATATTCTTTATTCAATGGTATTGATTGATGTTGTGTTATAAGCAAAAAGAGTGTAGTTTGTAAGTGTAGTCAGCTTTAAAATATATAGGCTAAGAAATGGCAGCTGCTAAATCATTTATCGAGGAATATACTGAACTGTTAATGTGTCCTATATGTCTAGACACAGTAAAGACACCAAAGTCTCTAAAATGCCTACATTCATTCTGTGAAGGATGCTTAGATGAATGGATTCAAACTGAAAAAGACAGCAGGAAAAAGAACTATCCATGTCCAGTATGCAAGTGTGACACAGACATCCCAAATGGAGGTGCAAACTCATATAGGACTAACTTCACCATGAAGTCAATGGCTGAAGCCCTGGAGAGAACCAAGAAACAATTGAATGAATCTAGCATAAACTGTGACATCTGTGTACAGGATGACCAACATACACATGCTGTAGCCAGATGTATCGAATGTGCCGAATATTTATGCAACACTTGCGACAAATCTCATGGTAGGATGAGATCCTCGAAATCTCACAAGCATGTTAAATTGACTGGAGATACTGAGAAAGATTCAAAGATTGCTATAGACTGTCTGGTTCAAAGAAATATTGATTGCACCGAGCACAGCGACCAACCCCTGAAGTTCTACTGTAAGACTGACAAAGCCATTGTATGTAGAGACTGTTGTATTACTGATCATTCTGGGCATTCATGTGTGAAAATTGAAGATGTGGCAAAGGAAGAAATACGCAATGTGTCTGCATTGATTGGATTAGCCATCCAAAGGAAAAATTTACTTGAAAAGCAACTCAAAATCTCAGATAACTTGACTGAAACCCAAGGGCAAAAGCTCCAAAAACTTCTCAGTTCAATAAAATCAGATCGCAGAGCTATGCAAAGTGAACTTGACAAGTACTTTAATAAACAAGAAAGGGATGCTAAGGAAGCACATAATAACACCTTGAAGCAAGTTGAATCTCGAAGGACCGATATAGAGCTAAAGAAGGGCATCACTGAAAGTACATTACTTCATCTGATGTCACTACAAAAACATGGACATCCTGTTGAGATAGTTAACTCAAGTGCTGATATCAAACAAACACTACAAGATTGGAGTTCAATGCCTTTAAGGGTGGACTCTGAACATCAAGACAAATCTCTTGACATTGGTACATACAAACCTGGTCACTTGGACATATCTCAACTAGGACACATTGTGACATCTACTGATAAGGCAAGTGTTAAAGCTTCAGCGACATCTTTACAATGTAAGGAAAGTCCAAAACTATGTATGCCAAACTTACACAGAACTGAGCATTTGGTAGATAAGAAGAGTGAATCATGTGCCATACAGGATATATGTGTGGGTGAGAATCAAAATATATTAGTGGTTGAATATCCTGAGAATAAGCCTAAGTTTGTGACTTATGAAATCAATCCTAGATCATTGAATAAAAAGTCAACAAAGGAGATCAACTCAGTTGGAGTGTGTACTACCAAAGACAATTGTTATGCCATATGTGATCTAACGAACAAATGTGTGGCTATTTACAATCAAAACTTGGTGCACAAGAGAAACATTGGCACTTTCAAACATCCACATCGTTTATGTATGAATTCTAAAGGTGAACTGTTGGTCACTGACTTTGCAGTCAAATGTGTGTACATTGTTGACTGCAATAATGGTTCAATACTGGGTACAATAGGTGATGGTGTATTAGAGAAACCAAGATTTCTCACAACTAACAGCAAATATGCAGTCATTGTATCAGATGAAGGAGGACACAGTGTAAAAATGTTCAACAGGAAGGGAGACCTTCTAAACACCTATGGCACAAAGGGTAGTGGCAATAATCAACTCCATCAACCATTTGGTGTCTGCACTGACTCACTTGACAACATCTTCATAGCTGACAATGGTAACAGCAGAATCCACATGTTGGATCCCACTGGGAAGTTTATCAAGTACCTCCTAACCCCAGAGGACAATGCAGGGCGCCCAGCTGCAGTTGCCATTGATCATAATGGTGACCTATTGGTTGGCACTGGTAGTGGAGACCTCCACTTCATAAAATACATGGCTTATCAGTAATAGCAAGGACATAGTAGTTACAAATGACAATAAATTAGTTATAAAGCATGATGAAGGTGTCATTAAACAGTGTCAATTCATTCCTTGTAATTTATTATGAACACATATCTCTAATTACTAAGTACTGAATAACTATAAATATACACGTTAACATATCCACCAGTACAAATATAATTGGTTCTGCTTACATTCTAATTTACCTATTAATCAAAAGATATGAAATAAGGAATAAAGTAAATAACATTGAGAAAAATGTCTCTTAGCTTTTTCCAAATTATAATGCTATTCACAGTCTTGCAGAATCCTAGTTTTCAATCATGAATGTTGGTATATATCAGACTTTATTTCATTGTTTTAATAACTATAATACTAGTAGGTGATTGGTAGTAGCAATCTTTTGTAGATTTACATATTGTTTTTCATCATGCAATTCAACTTGATTCCAATGGGATAATAACAACACTTACCCCGAAGCAACATGAGACTGTACAAAGTTCTGTTCCGCCTGGCTCAACACACTTACAAGTCCCCCGTCCCTGTTCTAACACAACTTACCCTGAAGCTACATGAGACTGTACAAAGTTCTGTTCTGCCTGGCTCAACACACTCACAAGTCCCCCATCCCTGTTTTCACACAACTTACCCTGAAGCAACATGAGACTGTACAAAGTTCTGTTCTGCCTGGCTCAACACACAAGTCCCCCGTCCCTGTTCTCACACAACTTCTTACCCTGAAGCAACATGAGACTGTACAAAGTTCTGTTCTGCCTGGCTCAACTCACTTACAAGTCCCTCGTCCCTGTTCTCACACAACTTACCCTGAAGCAACATGAGACTGTACAAAGTTCTGTTCTGCCTGGCTCAACACACTTACAAGTCCCCCGTCCCTGTTCTCACATAACTTACCCTGAAGCAACATGAGACTGTACAAAGTTCTGTTCTGCCTGGCTCAACACACTTACAAGTCCCCCATCCCTGTTCTCACACAACTTACCCTGAAGCTACATGAGACTGTACAAAGTTCTGTTCTGCCTGGCTCAACACACTTACAAGTCCCCCGTCCCTGTTTTCACACAACTTACCCTGAAGCAACATGAGACTGTACAAAGTTCTGTTCTGCCTGGCTCAACACACTTACAAGTCCCCCGTCCCTGTTCTAACACAACTTACCCTGAAGCTACATGAGACTGTACGAAGTTCTGTTCTGCCTGGCTCAACACACTTACAAGTCCCCCGTCCCTGTTCTCACACAACTTACCCTGAAGCAACATGAGACTGTACAAAGTTCTGTTCTGCCTGGCTCAACACACTTACAAGTCCCCCGTCCCTGTTCTCACACAACTTACCCTGAAGCTACATGAGACTGTACAAAGTTCTGTTCTGCCTGGCTCAACACACTTACAAGTCCCCCGTCCCTGTTCTCACATAACTTACCCTGAAGCAACATGAGACTGTACAAAGTTCTGTTCTGCCTGGCTCAACACACTTACAAGTCCCCCGTCCCTGTTCTCACAATCCTTGTGTGCTTCCCACTGGGTGCGAGCAAAGTTCAGTTCATCAAAGTACTTATAGCAGTGAAGCCCATACTGAGTCCACCTGTCTTGACATGCTGAAATAAAAGGAAAATAGAATGTATATACAAGGCATTAACATGCAAAATGTCACCACCTGCTATTTTTTACAGACGCTGAATGCCTACCACTGAACACTAACCACCAAACACCAACTGTCGGACGCCAAGCACTATCCACAAAAAGTTGGAGATCATAACAATATGTCATATATTTAACACATATATTAATAAACTTAATCCTGGGTAATTATTCCAATGTTCTTAGGTGAGGTTTAGGCTTCTTTGAAGAATCACAACCACTGCAAAAACTTACTGAGGTCCAAATATTTCACAAAGTAGTTAATAGGTTAGTCTTAAAGTCATTTCCTATGCTTCATAGGTATTTTTTAGTCACCAAGTCAACAACTGATCATTAACATATTGCACAGGAAGAATTAGTTTCAGAAACTCAGAAATCTTTGTGCGAAGATCTAGAAAGTCAACGTAAACAAAATATATTCACCTGTTAAATTACAGCGGCCAATGGTCATTGAGATATCATCTAGTCCTATATCTGATCTAAAGGAGTCACCTCGGACACCTTCAAACACAAGACGGAAGTTCTCGCCTGCACTCAACATGGTCTGACCTGGTACCCATCTAGAGATCAAAAAGTTAGACATTTGTTAAGTAAAATCTAGCAAAATGGCACACAAGTAAGATTACCAAGTCAAAATGAACTGTTCAGTCATAAATATAGGTATCAGTATGAAACATTCATAATTTAGATAAAGAGTTCCAAAATCTGCAATCCATTTTCAGGGTCAGAGGAAGTGAAAAAGTGGCAACATAGAGTATGAGTACCTTTCTCCCTGTGCAGTAGCCTCAGTCCAGAGCAGTCTAAGTGTACCTGGGTCTGTCTCTAGCTCTAAATAGACACTCAGGTAGCCCATATCCCAATCCTTGCTAGAGAACATGTGGTACCAGAACTTAAGGCATATGGGAACAGGGCGATGAACTTTCATCAGGGGTGACACCAGTTGGGCCTTGTCACCTTTCTGTGCTTCATGGCTGATCATTAACATGTATGATCCTGATCCACTGGAATGAATAGAGGGCTATATATAATAGCAGAACTTAAGGCATATGGGTACAGGGCGATGTACTTTCATCAGGGGTGTCACCAGTTGGGCCTTGTCACCTTTCTGTGCTTCATGGCTGATCATTAACATGTATGATCCTGATCCACTGGAATGAATAGAGGGCTATAAATAATAGCAGAACTTAAGGCATATGGGTACAGGGCGATGTACTTTCATCAGGGGTGACACCAGTTGGGCCTTGTCACCTTTCTGTGCTTCATGGCTGATCATTAACATGTATGATCCTGATCCACTGGAATGAATAGAGGGCTATAAATAATAGCAGAACTTAAGGCATATGGGTACAGGGCGATGTACTTTCATCAGGGGTGACACCAGTTGGGCCTTGTCACCTTTCTGTGCTTCATGGCTGATCATTAACATGTATGATCCTGATCCACTGGAATGAATAGAGGGCTATAAATAATAGCAGAACTTAAGGCATATGGGTACAGGGCGATGTACTTTCATCAGGGGTGACACCAGTTGGGCCTTGTCACCTTTCTGTGCTTCATGGCTGATCATTAACATGTATGATCCTGATCCACTCGAATGAATAGAGGGCTATAAATAATAGCAGAACTTAAGGCATATGGGTACAGGGCGATGTACTTTCATCAGGGGTGACACCAGTTGGGCCTTGTCACCTTTCTGTGCTTCATGGCTGATCATTAACATGTAAGACCCTGATCCACTGGAATGAATAGAGGGCTATAAATAATAGCAGAACTTAAGGCATATGGGTACAGGGCGATGTACTTTCATCAGCGGTGACACTAGTTGGGCCTTGTCACCTTCTGTGCTTCATGGCTGATCATTAACATGTATGATCCTGATCCACTGGAATGAATAGAGGGCTATAAATAATAGCAGAACTTAAGGCATATGGGTACAGGGCGATGTACTTTCATCAGGGGTGACACCAGTTGGGCTCTGTCACCTTTCTGTGCTTCATGGCTGATCATTAACATGTAAGACCCTGATCCACTGGAATGAATAGAGAGATTTAAACAATAGAAGTACTAGAACCAGACAAATGAGTACAGAGCATTGCTCCTTCGACCCTACAACAATGGAAATACTAGTCACGTTTATCAGCTTGGTGTCAGTTATTTTAACATGTATGTAACATTACCAATAACGATGTTATGAAACATATTATTCAACCCCAGATAAGGTTCATCAGCCCTCACTGGAATAACCTCAGAACATTAATTATTCAAACCTATTATGTAAGGTCTATTATTAAAGCCTATGAGCCTAATTCTGATTTTTGAAATGAGCAATAATTGTGTAAAAGTGACACAAGGCATTAATATGCAAAATGACACCACCTTAGACAATGACTGCCAACCACCAAACATTGTCCACACAAAAGTTGGCTACTATAACAATATGCCACCACTTGTTGTGGTGACAACATATATAAATAAAAAATTAAACTTCTAGCCAGGTGACACTAACCTATTGTCTGTCTGTGGTCCAGTCCCATTGTTCACATACGAACCCGGTCCTGTGGTCAATGTCCAATCCAATTCATCCAAATCCGAGTTAGTGAATTCACAAATACTATCATCCTCAAAATCACAATGGAAGTCTAGAATATAATAATACAAATATATTTCTATTGATAATGGAGAGACAGACGGACAAGTGTGTGAGGCATGACAATAATTTTGGAAATGACAAAGGTTTCTTCATGAACAATATTTTTCTTTAATACTCTTACTGCTGTATGTATTAAACTTTGCATGTTTTGTAATGCTTTAATATCAATCAAAATGAAGATACAATAAACATTACTCACTTATTCTGGTAAAACCAAATTACTCACTTGTGGATATTGCTCCTTCCATGTGTGAAATTAGTTCCATAATTGTTGCAACAAAAGGCACCTTTAGAAAAAATGAAGAAATTTTTTTTTATTCATCTTAAAACTTGGAACACCACAGATTATACTTCATTATATCCCAATTATATTGAGATGTGTTTGTTGGGGTGATAATACATAACTATTTAATAATTGTTGAATATACTTGTATCTCTATGTAATTGTTTTGTTTTGAAAAATGTTTACATTAATTTGTTGTGTATAATTCCTTCCTCATGTTCCTTGCACATTACTATTGCAAGCAATTAGCATGAATTGTCAATAAAATTGAGATATAATTATATCTCAATTATTAAAATTAAGAATAAGATATGAATAACTTTATTATGTTGATATAAATGTCCTAAAATCAATTTCAGTGTGCAAAGTTTAAAATAAAATAAAAATTAGTTAATACAGGGTAACCTCCAATATGCAATCTCCAATTCTTTGGATGAATTTAATAATGATGGAATCCTCTTGATATTTCTTGTGTCACCCTCAATCAAGCTAAAGTAATTATAAAATCCCAAAATATAAACATTTTGTATTTTTGTATAGAAGAGGAATGAGATTTTCCTGCTTAGAATTTAGTTAGTTAGCTCTGTAAAATAAAATACATTTTCTAACAAAAAATGAAATATGCTTATTTAATTTCCATAAATTGATTTATTACAAAATCTGAAGAAATGAGAGAAAATTCGAAATATCTTATTTAATTACACTAGCAGTAGTTAAAAATATAAATACTTACAAATAATATATAATTCCACGTCATGATAATATTACAAATCCACCACTTCTCTTCAATAATTATAATTGTAACAAAATATTAATTATATCATCAGCCTTTCTTGGTCTCCATGTTTCATCATATATCCATTATTCCTTCCTTTTCTTATATTTTCATAACGTTAATCCAGTAATAACACTGACGTGATATAATGAATCCTAGTCATGCTGACTTTTCATTTTTCACCTTGCATAAATATGCATTATATCCAACTTGACGGGTTTTATTCTGACTTGAATTCCTCCAGAGCCAATCACCTGTGTGTGATGATAAACATAGCACTATACTTCAAAAACATAAACCTTACATTTGAGCTCGCTGTTTACTTATATCTCGTGTCTATCATAAAGATTCAAAAGCAATAAGAACACAGATAATTTAATTAAAGAAAGTATAGATACTCCATTCTATAAGGACCCAAGAGACTCGCAACAAAATAAATTATTTAGACATGTGGTATAAGACGTAGACATCACCATTAATATTTCAGTATGTAATTACTTTTATTTGACAATACGAGAGATAAATTGATGGAATTCCATACTAATCAAATATTCCTGTCAGAGGTCAGATGTCATGAATAAGTAAATACTGGTCATCATTGCTCTCTGAATTAATAAGTTCAAATTAGGTCAAATATGAGAAAATAATTTCTCCACACTAAATTCCATATTGCATCTATTCATTAGTATAAAGATATTTTGAAATGAACATATGTACTGCATTATCAGGTAAAATATAACCAGAACAACGGCAACGCCAAAGCGTAGCGAATCCCATCGAACAGCCATGGCTGGCATTTTTACAAACTAAGTATATAGCAAAAATGGCAGCCATTTTTCAAAATGGCCACCTTCTACCAAAAGTGTCATTAGACAGTGTGCCATGCTTATAGTATTCACATACCAAATATGAACAAAATCGCTCCACTACTTTTCGAGTTATAGTAAAATAAGTTAAAATGGCCACCATTTTTCAAAATGTCCGCCATTTTTCAAAATGGCCACCTTCTACCAAAAGTGTCATTAGACAGTGTGCCATGCTTACAGTATTCACATACCAAATATGAACAAAATCGCTCCACTACTTTTCGAGTTACAGTAAAAATCGTAAAATAACGAGTAAAGGCCGCCATTTTTCAAGATGGCTGCCATGTGCTTCTTTAATATCTACATTTCTAGCTTTACTAATGTCCTACATAATTTTTTTTACATTTAAAACATATTGCTATTACAGTTTTACATACTGCACCTAAATTACTGTAAAATCGGCACTAAAATGGCCGCCATTTTTAAATGAGCGGCCATTTTGAAAATCGGCTTTCAAGCAGAACTTCTACCCCCATAAGGTATATGTGTAAAAAAAAAATTGAACAAAATCGGGCCAACGGTATTTGAGTTATTGCCCGGACGGACGGACAGACGGAGGCGTTCCCTATATCCCTCTGAACTTCGTTCGATGGGATAATAATGCATATTCCAAAAAGACAAGAGAATACCCCGAAAAAGTGCGAGACTTTGAAAACATACTCGATCTATTCTTTAAACTGAAATGTCATAATAACAAATATTCAAAATAAAACCATTTTACCACTTCAACATTTCTATTGCTATCACTGAATGCCATATTTCAAAGCAATCAAGAATCAAGCTCTATCACAGCATTAGTTAGTTCATATCTTTTAGAGTAATTGTCATGCAATAAAATCAACCATTTTCAATGTTGCTTTGGAAATGTACACACCTTGAGAGCAACTCAATCACAGTTCATGAAAGGGGAACAAAGAACATTTTAAGTTTTATTCATCAAGAATTTTCATATATGAAAACACTTTTGTGGTATGTATTATTTACATTTGTCAACCATTTTTCATTGAAATTGTTTTTATTGTATCTAATAGATGTAAATCAAATCCTGGGAAATATGTATGTTTCCAAGTTCAAAATGTCCTCACTTTATGTTTCTTTAATAAAATATTCTAAATATTTTGGAATTCAATTTGAAAAAAGATGAAATCCAATGAACATAAAACCACACTCTATAATTGTTACTTTTTGATGCAATTACCTTTTTCTTGTCAATCAAATAAAACCACATTGTTTTCATATTTTTAGATTACTCTAAATCGTTACAATATCAAACTAACACAAACTAAGTTTTTAATAGAGGTAAAGCAAAACAATGTTGTATTCTCTGCATATATTTATTAGATCAGTTACTGCAGAGCTTTTTCCTTCAAATAATTGGCTCCTTTTAAACATATAAGTGGATGGACAGGACATCTGTTTTTTCTTAATCTACTTTATTGTTATATTTATCAGGATGCCCATTTATCAAATAATTGTGTTAGAGTATTAGTCCTGGCCAGATCTCTGGCTAGAGTTCCTTGTAGGTTAGGTGTGTCAACTGCCCCATGTTGAAGTAATATCTCTACACTGTTCATATGCTGACCCCCTGCTGCCATGTGTAATGCTGAAAGTGGGAGACAAATGTGTATATATATTGGTAGTGATAGCAAATAGCCAGATGTTATAAGTAATACGGATAATGGCACTCAAGGATAATGGCACTCAAGGAAATGAGGATGATGCTGAGATCAGTTTTGTTTTCAGGTTGTCTCAAATTACAGAAATGAATAAAAATACAGTAATAAAACTATGATTAATGTGCACTGTCTTAAAGTATCAGGATGGTATTTCAGATTATGCAAAACATGCAAAATGTAGCCACATGCCATTTGTTACAGACACCATTTGTGATGGTGACATAAGATATGTCGCTACTTTATGTTAGTCAATAGAGATACTACGAAGTTTGAGTAAGTAACACCTTGCCTAAATTATATTATAAGAGAAACATGTGTATGAATGTACCTGTATGTCCTTTATGATCCTGTATGTTCACATCACATTGCAGCTGGATCAAGTACTGGATTATTTCAACCTGATTTTCCTACAATGAAATCATAATTTGGAGTGAAAATTACAATGCACAGAAAAATTAATATCTGTAAAAGGATTGAGATATCTTCACCAAAGAAAAAGAAATCCAAGGTGCACATTCCACTTCTTCATTTTCTTTGCACCAAATAGCATTTTGCCCAAAATAATAACATTAATGAATTTAAAATTAATGTCTGAACAGTAAGACTTTTTAGTTTAAGAAACTAGCGTAACTGGAATGATGAGAGCAAAAAATGAAAAATTGCTACAATAATTTAGAAACAAACGCCTAGCTTTAAAACTGAAATTGGAAAAGTTCCTTGCTGGATCTGATTTTGCTTCCAACTTCAACAATAATTTGTTTCTATACCTTTGCAGCACAATGCAGATTAGTCAGACCTGTAGATGTTGGTTGATTGACTAGTTCTGGACATAGACCAATCAAATACTGCATAGAATTCACTGCCCCAGCCTGAGCTGCAAGGTGCACTGCTTCACGTCCCATTGAATCTGTTTTGTGAAGATTTACCTAGAAATAACCCTTCTTGGTCATCTAACTGACAGTAAATTCTGTCCTATCTGAATACCATTGGTCATTATAATAAAAAAATCCATTTAAAATGAAAAATGACACATGTAAAATATCTCATTTTAAAAATGGTGCCTACTAGCCAAAGTGAGCCATACTTATGAGTATTCACATATCAAATATGAATAAAATTCCTCCATTATTTTTCTGGTTACAGCAAAAATCGTAAAGTAGTGTGTAAGAGCTGCCATCTTTCAAGATGGCCACCATGATTATTAAATATTTAGAATATGATTTTTTGCATTTCAGGGTTCTCACTAGGCTTTTAGACTCCTGAGATTCTCTGGAGTCTAATGTCTTAAAACCCTCTTGCTCCAGAGTCTAATAGCTTTTCCAGAGTCTAAAGTGTTTTTTCTGGAGTCTAATTTTACATTTTTGTCACATTATTTGTGGTAAAACTCTTGAGAAAATACACAAAACTGGATACAAACAAGGAATAGGAAGTCAGAAACCTTTTAGAAATAAATATTGGGATTAAAATAGCAAGATAATCTTAAGAAGTATGTTGAAAAGTATACTAATAGGATATCTCTGATCTCATATGGGGGAGAAGAAGTCGCGATACCGCGAAAAAAGGAGTCACAATACCGCTAAATCTGGGGTCTAAAAATTTCCTGATGAGAGCCCTGCATTTTAACCATATTAATATTTTTTTTATTCCATAATTAGCATGATATTCATAGGATAACATGTCAAAATAAAAACGGTATTTTTATATCAGTGGTAAAATATGATATTTTTGACAAATTTTCATACGGTGTTTTAGCCATGACATACGGCGCCGTATGCTATGAATTATTGGTTTTTGCTACTTCAGACTCAAAATGAGGCTAAGTGTCAATATCGCCGGATCGTTTGGAAAATTCGAATTAAATCACTTAATTTCCAACGATTCTGAAGATGACTTCAAATATGGAATGAAGGACCCACGGTCCTGTGCTCACACAGTTTGGAACCTTCAGAGGAATTTATATCCTGACTTTCAAACAAAAATATTGATTTGGATTTGTAGTCTCGAACTTTGAGAAACTTTGAGTTTGATGACCTTTGACCTTGAAAATTTTACTTATTCAGAGCTCAGTAAGGTCTTTTGTGATTAAGCTGACCAAAATTTACATCCAAAAATCAATTTGAAAAATCAACTTTTTTGACCTTTCGAAGGTCACTGAAGGTCAAGTAAAGGTTAAATCCTAAAACTAATGTCAGATTTGAACTCCTGGCAACTTGTAGATGATTTTCCAATTTGGTCAAATTGAAGCAAGTTGAAAAATAACTTATTTTTACTGTTTTTTGACGTCAAATATCTCAAAAACTGTAACAAATTTGATGCTGACATGTATTGAGAAATATGTAGGGAATGCTTAAATCTATTAATGATGTAATTTATTGCAGGAAATGATCAAGTATAAGGCAAACTTTAAGAATCTTGTCAATCACAAAACCTGCCCTTGACTTTATACATGAGAAAGTTTCCTGAAAATGACCAAAGTCCTACTTTTTTTCAAATTTTATGGAGTAAACACCAAAAACCGTAATTCCAAGAGCTTTGAAATCTTCACAGGACATAAGTTGCATATACACCAACTACTTAAAGTTATTTGAAAGTTCTACTTCAACAAAGTGTCTAGTATTTACAGAAAATTTGACTTTTTGACGTCAAAATCCGCAATTTCTCGGTAACCGGGCGAACTTGGGAAATGGCGATGATAGGTCAAATAGGCATTATGGATATGCATAAAATGAATGTGGATATGACTCAATCCGAATAGCAGTTTTAATTTGTGCGGCCAATGTTGACGTACGGACGGACCAACGGACGGACGGATGCCTGGTCAATCCCATAGGCGCATAAAATGAATGTGGATATGAAGCAAGTTGAAAAATAACTTATTTTTACTGTTTTTTGACGTCAAATATCTCAAAAACGGTAAAAAATTTGATGCTGACATGTATTGAGAAATATGTAGGGAATGCTTAAATCTATTAATGATGTAATTTATTGCAGGAAATGATCAAGTATAAGGCAAACTTTAAGAATCTTGTCAATCACAAAACCTGCCATTGACTTTATACATGAGAAAGTTTCCTGAAAATGACCAAAGTCCTACTTTTTTTCAAATTTTATGGAGTAAACACTAAAAACCGTAATTCCAAGAGCTTTGAAATCTTCAGAGGACATAACTTGCATATACACCAACTACTTAAAGTTATTTGAAAGTTCTACTTCAACAAAGTGTCTAGTATTTACAGAAAATTTGACTTTTTGACGTCAAAATCCGCAATTACTCCGTAACCGGGCGAACTTGGGAAATGGTGATGATAGGTCAAATAGGCATTATGGATATGCATAAAATGAATGTGGATATGACTCAATCCGAATAGCAGTTTTAATTTGTGCGGCCAATGTTGACGTACAGACGGACCAACGGACGGACGGACCAACGGACGGACGGACGGACCAACGGACAGACGGATGCCTGGTCAATCCCATAGGCGCATAAAATGAATGTGGATATGACTCAATCCGAATAGCAGTTTTAATTTGTGCGCCAATGTTGACGGACGGACGGACAGACGGACCAACGGACGGACGCCTGGTCGATCCCATAGGCTCACTGTGTGAGCCAAAAATCAAGAAAAAACGTTAACCGGGTGAACTTGGGAAATGGCGATGATAGGTCAAATAGGCATTATGGATATGCATAAAATGAAAGTGCATGTGACTCGATCCGAATAGCAGTTTTAATTTGTGCGGCCAATGTTGACGGACAGACGGACGGACCAACGGACGGACCAATGGACGGATGCCTGGTCGATCCCATAGGCTCACTGTGTGAGCCAAAAATTAAGAAAAACCTTTCATTTCATTAACAAGATACTTTTTTAAAATCAACCAAAATTTCCTTTGTACGATTACAATATTGAGAGACCTAAACATGTTGTGTTTATGTTGTTTTGTTCCAATGAGGTTCGGAAAGATGTTTCATTTCACTCTGGAAACATGATACCAAGAACAAAACAAGTGTTTGATGTTTTTTTAAATAATATAGATGAAAGTATGTTTATCTATTTCAAATTATATTGTTACCATTCAAAAGATGGCCATTAAATTGACAATTTGTAAGATTTTCAGAAATTTTTGATGACTGGTTTAAGAGAAACGTGTGTTCAAAAAGTTCGCCATATCGATACCCATTCTTTGATGGCATATTTGAATTATGTGTGTAATTTTCTATCAAAACAACTTTGATTTGTACCATTATTTACCTTTATTCAAATTCTAATGATTTTCTAGTTGTCTAAAAAAGGTCAGGCTAAATCCCCATTGACACAATGCTGAAATACCTTTAAAAGTTCATTTACTCTTACAAGGATCACAATTCTAATGTAAAATCACAATCCACATGTCAATAAGATCATATTGTAATATTCTAACAGTGTTTTAAGTTGATCCAAATGGAATTACTTCTTAAATCAAGAAATTAAGTGACTCTGGCAATACATTAACATGTATTCTAGCCCTACCCTAGCCTTACCAACACCCATGATGCCATCTATTTTCCATTAATATGGAAAGAAGTCAATTGAACAAGATCGCTATCAGAACAAAGAAAACAGAACGAAGAAATCGGACATTTCCACCTGCACACTTAGGCCAACAGTGCCTAAGTTACACAAATTGAGTTATAGTTAAAAAAGTATGCACAGTGAACAACTTAGAGCTTTATGAACTGAGAAAATGTTAAAAATGATGTGTTTAAGCAATCAAATTAAAAGTATAGTTTTGCGGCATTAAAATAAAATATAATACACACTTAGTTATGACATTTTGTTTACTGTAATAAATATATATTTGTGCTAATTTTGATGTATCTTTCTGAGGGGTCATATTAAAAACATAGTTATACAGGGTGGTCCAAAAAAATTACCCATTCTGATTTTAAACTACTTTTAAGATGTGAATACTTAAATAAATTTTAAAAGCACAAAGTATTTATTGATACATGTACTAAAAGTCTACAATTTCAAACTCTTGTGGTTACATCAAAGTTCAATATCAAAACTTGACAATTTTAGTACCTTCCTGGCTTACCTATGACATTACACTCAGCTAAGCATTAAGAAAACCAATCAGTTGACTTACCTTGTATTCGCGAATGCAACTAACGCTTGTCAGCTACCGGATTAACCTATTATTTTATGACCAACTCATTTAAATATGAATGGAATAGTGGCAGGTAGTATTCATATTTAAATGAGTTTCCAATAAAATACATGGTTAATCCAGTAGCCGACAGGTGTTGGTTGCTTTCGCAAATACAAGTTTAGAAAAATAAAGAGTTACCTCATGAAGGGAACCCTCACAGGTAGTAAACACTCATGAATGTAATCTAATAGGATTAATCTTGTCAACAATGCCTTGATGTGTTTGCATTTAGACTTTTTTCAGACACATATGCTATGTTTTTGAATCGCCCGTGTAAGTGGTGCATTGCATAATAGGTAATGAGATTTCCCCCCAGGCATTAAGAAAAAGAACAAAAAGCCCTGTAGTGCAAATTACATGGTCGCATACTTTCAACAACAAAAAAACTTATCCGAGCACAAAAACACTCACATAATTCTTTTGAAAGACATCACGGTTTGTTGTGCACTAGCAACAAGGCGACGCAGTTGACATACGCTGTTACCCAACAAGTTTAATACATCATAATTAGCGCTAGCGGTGTACGTGCGCTTGGATGAACTGCTTTTGTTGAAACCTGTGAGCATGTAATTTGCAACGCATGGGCTCATTGTTCTTTTTCGTGGCACCTAGGGGAAATACTTATTATATATTATGCAATTCACTTACCCGCGGGTAGTTCAAAAGCGCAACCCAAATTTAGTCTCTTGTAATAATCTCAATAATCTTTTGTACATATGCAAAGTGAGATAATGTCAAAATGATGAATATCAAAATCCACTTACATTTTGATTTGAAAGCAACCAGTCTGCAGTTGCCACATGTCCGCCACGAATAGCATCCATGAAAGGTGTTGAACCACAACTATCAGGGCTGTCTATATTGTACTTCCCCATGGCAACAAGCAACTCTGTAGCCTCTAGTTTACCATGTAAAGCTGAAACGTACAGTTCAAAAAACATAATTTCAGAGGTTGACTCAAATTCTCAAAAAATGACTTGACATTAACAGCCTTAAATGGTTTCTGGGGTCCAGAGTTCAGAGCACATTCTTTACACTAAGTATATCAGAAATAATTATTCAATCTACATGAAATTCAATCTAACCACCAATCAACTCCTTTCCTTTCTGATAAAACAAACCAGAATGTGAATCGCATGATAACTCTGTGTACTACCTGAGAGCAAAGAATATCACTATCACCAAAACATATGTTCAAATAATATATTGTGATACATAAACACTACAAAATGCTAAGACAGCTGACCCTGTGTGATTAGGTTTACTCATATTTTCATACATCCAAGTAAACTAGGAAAAAGTAACGATGTGGTGCTAAAGATGATTGCTTCTATTTATTTGTTCCTTTGTTAAGTTTAATGAACTAAAACATTACAATACTTAATAATATACAAATTATAATGTTATGATTAATTATATCCATTTAAACTATTTACATCATAGGAAATAATAGTTGTCATCGAGAAAAATGAAGATAAATTACAATAATCAAGTTCAAGGTTTGGTGTATATGGCGATGTTTCAGTGACAACATTTGATTTAGCTGGAACTTTAAAACATTAGTACTCTACCTGTTCCACTTTTTGCATACGGTTCTGCGTCAGAAAAGTCTGCTTTACTAGAATAAGCTTACAAGAAGACTATTATAAACAACATCTCTGCCATTGAGCAGACGTTAACGAGAACCAAAGGAGCTGACACAACATTTAGGATTATGTACAGGTAAGAATCATTTATATACTGGCAGTCAAATAATGGCTAATTGATATTGATTCTTTCATTTCAATGGTTTCAATACACATTACAAAATACATAACCAAGAAAGGAATGAGATGAAAAATATCCAAGTTCAACAGAATTGAAAATGACTTTTGTGAGCAAAAAGTCATGAAACAGAATGATGAAAGTAAACATCATTTTTATGTTATAAGATTGTGACAACTTTTTCTTGATTCATCTCTTCAAATTCCTTTAATCTTTGGTTCTTTCATTTTTGACATTCCAATTAATAATGTTTTCCAAATCAGATTTTCAGTAACATGACAGGGACCTTACGAAAATGGCCAGTGCAACCAATATTAAAGGAGGTGCTTTAAAGGAGGACTAAGACTTCCCACCATCAAACCATTTTCATTATTTGCTTTATCTCAAAAGAGGTCCTACATCCATAAGGCCAATAAAATTTGAATCAAATCTATCAACCGGTATTTGACTCATTGCACACCCAGACACACGGATGAACTGACGGACGAACAGATGGACAGTTGGCTTTTCTATATCTCCCTCGAATTTCGTTCAGTAGGAAAAAAAACTGATGACTGATAATATTTTTTTCAGTATTGTGTCCACCTTCCACAGTGAAAAAGAGAGAAGAAAAGGGAGAATATTGAAGATTAAATACTGGGCTGACAACAATGTTCTGCCACCTCTACCTGCTTAAGCTGTTTCATAATGTGGCCAAAACCAACCAAATAACCAACATATAAATGATCTTAAATACAAATTCATATTTTACAAGGCCTTATAAACCAAAACATTGTTCATTTTCTATGTACAACATAGACCTTTTGAATACATGTACTTTTAAACTGAGTGTATTTTTATAGTTATGATTTTACAATCTACAGTCTGCACATGACTAAGATGATGAAAGTTAGAATCAGTGAAACATCTTAACTATAAAACTGTGTTCAATGTGAAAACAAAAGGTAAAGCATTTTTTGTGATATTTCTAACATCAAGAATTAGTGACCGCCACATTGTTGCATGGAAATTTCATAATATGCATCGGTAAATGTATTTGAAAAATATCTAAATCACAAAATATATTGAGAAATGATTTTTTCTTGTAAACTCTTCATGGGTCCTTAACTTGTTTCTACTTTGCATTTTGTACATGCCGCCATTGTTTTTTCATGATAACAACCATTTGTTTTTATTAGTTAGAGCACTCATATCAACTCTCAGCGGAAGGTTGACTATGAGTCACAACTCACAAAAAGGAGCAAATATTTATCAAATATAACTTGGACAGTGATAACTAGAAAACAGCAACTCCACAGAGAAGCAAATGCAACCAAACAAAAGAGATTTTGATAAATAGCGAAATTTCTTCTTAAACAGAGCTCCTCTACGCTTTTATGAAAAATGGTGGCCATTTTAAAAAATAACCATCTTGAAAATGTCTTCTGGAGCAGAGATCCTTTGTCTTTCAGCATCAGCATGTAGAATTTATCAAAAACTATGTTTTTATGAAAAATGCCAGCCATTTTAAAATTCAGCTGCCATCTTGAAAATTCCCTTTTGAGCAGAGCCCATTTGTCCCTAGGCATCAGATATAAGATTTAAACCATATCTGTCTGCTTGTATTTGAGTTATCAAAGATTGTGTTTTTTACTAAAAATGGCAGCCATTTTGAAGTTCAGCTGCCATCTGACGGACAGATGGACGGACGGACGTGTGTGACTGCAAAAGCTCACCATGTGTAGCTAACACAATTAAGGGTTGAGGGTATATAATAAATGCAGCCCCAAACTGTTGCCTCTCTACCCCCATTGTGCCTCGGTATCCTTTGCCTCACTACCTTAACTGTACCTGCTGTGTGGAGTGGGGTTCTTCCATTATTGCTGACAGTATCCCAGAGTCGATTGTCACGGTCAAGTAAGTACAACAAGATGTCCCTGTGGCCCTCCCTGTAAAACACATACAGTACATTTTCAAAATCTAGAAACTTGATCATTCTTTACCAGACAATGCACGCACTTGCTCAATAAGTGAATTTTAAAAGTATAGCATCGATCAAAATTAGCAAAATATATAGACATATGGTAACTGATGTTGCAAAATACTAAAATAATTAAAATGTGATTTCTAACTCATTATTGGGTGTTGGATCGGCCTTTTAGTATTGATTTGATATTTTTTCATCAATATCATATTGGCCTTTGGAATGAATCCATCCTGGGAACAATCTATTTATTTCAAGGAAACAGGTCAACTCTATAATGATTAGGTGACACAAACAAAAAGTCAGACATGCCTCATTCTTACAGAACCAATTGGTTTGAATGAGTCACTATACCACAGGCTTTCTAGCCCATGACTGTATACAGAATGATTTCGTTTGATTTCCAAATACAGAGAGATAAATATTGACTTTCATGATATTCAAGTCCTGTATCAAAAATGTATCACCTTGTTTATTCATGGATCATATAAGACGCCAACTAAAATAAATGAAATGAGACTTCGTACCTACAAGCGATGTGAAAGGGAGTCCAGCCATCTTTATTCTTCAGAGTCACATCCGCTTCTGCATCAACAAGTGATTTTATGACATCAAGGTTACTCTTGGTACATGCCAGCATCAATGGGGTCCTAAACACAAAATAAGACCTGGTTATTTGAGGTTTTGCATGTTGCGTCAACTTGGTCACACCAATGAATGAATAACAACCATTGTAGATGGACACATGAACTCACATTTTAAAAAGATATACAGTAGTATATGAAGGAATCTTTAACTGTATAAAAATCTATTGAATACATGAGTGGTAATAAATCTTAAGCAAAGCCAGAATAAAGAGACATTTGTCCAGAATATTGCCCCTCCCCCAAGGAGAATTGGTAGCCATTATTCGAACTCAATCATCCATTGCCTGGCAAAGACTGTGGTAATGTTAAAGTCTGATATGACCGTGAGAATGGTTGCAAGGCCTGTCATGACCGTGGTAATGTTAAAGCCTGATATGACGGTGACAATGGTTGCAGGGCCTGTCATGACTGTGGTAATGTTAAAGCACAATATGACCATGACAATGGTTATATTAATTGACATTTAGTAGCATGAGAATACTGTAATGAAAAATTTCATTGTTTATCTACCTTAAATATGTAAATCTAAAGACTTCTACATCAGTACTACTACTTTAACTCATAATTCATTTCCACAAAATATAGTTCTTATCTCATTCAAGAACGTGAACATTGTCACGGTCATATCAGGATTTAACATTACCACGGTTATAACAGGCCTTACAACCAGTGCCACAGTCATATAAGGCTTTAACATTACAACGGTCATGACAGGCCTTGCAATATAATATAGCATTGTCACGATTATACCAGGCTTTCATGATAACAATACCACGATCATGGCAGGATCCTTGCGAAACTTAAAAACACTTATTAACATGGTGATGGTTGTGCCAGGCATAAGTCTTGCAATAGATAGCATGTGAATATTTTGTTGAAAGATGGACATTATGTATATTATGGCATTCAAGCTTCATTGGCAGTTCTAGTCTTCAAAATATGAGTAATATTTTTATTGTTCAAGTTTTGTAAACTAAGTTACCTTTTATACAGTAGTTACATAGAACCGAACCCAGTGAAATATTTTAATAAAATTTACGATTAGGAGATCTCGGGAGAATGGTACGTTGCACCCCAACCTCTATTACATCGTCATTTTTGGTCTAATTGATCAAATGTACCTGTGTAAGAGACATTGTTCTTATATCCTATTTATTGCCCAATAACACTTGACGACCGTTTTACACAAAACGAAATGCATGGTAATAGGTAGTAACAAATCCCTGGGATTTAATTAGCAAATTTTGTGACGATTATTTTTTGTGATTCTACCGCAATCACAAAAAAGCACAAAACTAAATCGCACGCGAAAAATACCGGGAGTACAGTATGTAGAGATACCTTGAAACAGAATGCACCAGAACAGATCTGACCAAAATGAGAAGCCAATTATTCCCCTCCCTGTATACTAACTACTGTATACCAAGGAGAAAAGATTATGCGTTCAGTTCTTGTGGCATACTCTTGTCATTTTAGTTTGAGCGCCATCATTTCATTTTCTATTGTACCAATCAACTCATTTATTGGCTTTTCTCGAAGCCATCTACATCTACAACAATAATCTGCAAAAGGCTAATAAGCCCATTTAAAGCAGATATATAGTTTAACAGTGATAGAATTTGAATAGAATGGTATAATTTACCTTCTTCTAAGGCCACTGTATCGTGGCACAGATATATTCCTGCATGAACAACTGGTCATGTCGTAATCATAAAATTTGAAATCATATGTCCGCCATTTTTCCATATCACAATTTGAATTGCGAGTTTTGGTCTTATTACCTCACCAAAAATTCCAAAAACACACATAAAGTGATCAGTGTAGTAGTTCACATCTTCTGGATCGCTAATTTAGAATTAACAGCCATTTACTTATGTCAGATGTTAACGACATTTAGTCCAGTTTTCGAACATCGCCATTTTTCTTGAAGCCATTTTGTTTTAATTTTAGACGAAATCCTGATGAAATCATGTCACATCTCATCAAGGAGCCGAGCTGGGTCCGGTTTGATTAATGATTTATTTATCTGGCGATTTTTAAAATATTCAATAAATTTATGACACCACGGCCAGCTTTTTTCAAATAGAGTTCACAGTATTCCAGATGAAATCCCCTCGAGTAAGGTACAATGTATAATAACAATGTGAATATAAAAAGCCATGACCAATCAAACAGAACTTACCAATCAGCTCTTTTTAAAGTATCAATTACTGCTCCATGATGAATCAGAAATTTCACACAATCTAGATGCTCTCCGAGTACAGCTTCATGCAGGGGACGTTTTCCATCTAGATTTGCAACTTCAAAATCACCGCCATATTTTCCAAAAGTTTGCAAAATACGTCTGTGCCCTTCTCTGGCCGCTATGTGCAAAACAGTATCGCCGATTTTATTTGTAGGTTTTCTAAACCAAACAGGGTCATAAATTTTACATTCCAAACTGTTCTCCACACCGGCAACGTCTCCAGATTGAACGTATTTGGCTAAAATGTCCATCGAAATTTTGATTCGGAAGCACTTTTTCTTTTTGTCGTTGCAGCAATAACAAATGGGGACTTCGCTAATTTGTTCATGTTCAAGCGGCATTCTAACTTCCGGTTATATTTTTGAAACTTTTTTTATTCACATTGTTATTATTGAACAATGCATGGCATTTTCATCATTTTTTGAGAGCATAAGGAATTATTTTATGCCTATTGATATGCCTAGAACACGATCTGAACACAATGAGACGGAATCTGCCAGTTTTGATTGGGGCCATGAAGACAGTTTCACTGCAGCAGAAATGGGTCAGATTTCTGACCTCGAAAAAAGCAACAGCCCTGATAAAATCAGTGCTGAGTCCAAGTTGGATAACACCTCTAAAACAATTGTTAATGGAAGCTTATTTTGCAGTGGTGAGAATGATTCTGTGCATACTTCTAAGAGACGGAGAATCCACATGGATGTACAGCAATGTATGAACCACTCTAATACGGCTGAGGGTGCTTCATCTCTCACTCAACCAGCAAATGTTCAAAAATCAACAAAAGATTCCAATCGGGGCCTTTATCCCAGAATTCCTAATAAGGGTTCGAAGATCTATCCAAAGCTACATGGTCGTTTAAATCCACCAGCAGCGTCATCATCATCTGGTATTCCTGGAGGTTTCCAGTCAGCAAGTCACCTTCTCGCATCTTCATCTGTATTACCTTCACCGAATCCACAATCACCCCAAGAAGACAAAACTTCTGTATCTGCATCCAAAGACAATACGAATGATGGATATTCTCAGCTGAAACCCCGTAGTAAACCAAAACTTCCAATGCAGTCAAATACCCTGAAGGATTATCCATTCTTTCATGTTACAAAGCAAATTACAACAGTGTCTGATAATCCTCATCCAAAGACTCCAACAAAAACTCCACCAAAAATAACCATGATGCATTCCCCTATAAAACAAGTATCTGACTCAATATATATTGATGATGGTGAGAATCCTTCATGTAGTCAAGGTGCGTCCCAAACTCAAAAGGAACACAAATCATTTAAAGAGTTATTTAAACCAGAGAATGCATCAAAGAAATTTAAGAGAAATTCCAAGTACTCTAAACAAACCCCATATAAAAACTCAAATCATGAAACAAATTCAAACGCAGTCACTGAACCGAAGCCTGATTGTCCAGAAACCAAACCAGCTATTGAAGACAAATATGGACTATTAGGGACAGGGCAATATCCGGAAGATACAACAAATCATTTCCTCTCATTACCCGTTGAAGTGCTTGAGAATATATTCTGTCAGATGCCAATGCTAGACTTATGTTTACATCTTAACATAGTTTGTAAGCAGTGGAATGCCATCATCTCAAATGAAAATGTAAGTTATCAAACGAAAGATCAAAACTAGATCCCATATTGAAACAATGTACACTCAGTTGAAAATTTTGAAATTTTCTTGAGTAGTATGATGCTAATCTTAATCCATTTGCACATACATTACAGTTCTTGAATTGAGAAAACAAGCCCCTAACCAGCTTTTGCCAAGGGGGGTTCACATTTTAAAAAATTCCAAGGTGTTTCACGTCGACAATATTGGTCCAAAAATGGCTCGTAATGGTGAAAAACTGCGTGGTTTTAACAGAGTCGCTATGGGCCTGTAAAATCTTATCAAACCCTCTTTAACTTATATAATTTCAGTTTGTGCCATGGAAGAAGAAATATCACATGTTGAAGAAAAGAAGACCTCAAAAGGAGCTTGAGATACGAACTATAATGAGTGAAAATGGCATGGCAACCAGAGATAGCTTCCTTTTGGGACTTGTCAAGTATGTCACAATGACAGTTTGAGGTGGCTGGGATTGAGTCACTTACACTGTTCTTATTAAGATCTTATTAAATTGTGACTCATAAATAAAATGCAGATATTGGGATTCATATTAAAGATCAAATAGTGGTAGTCGTTGATCTAATTTTACAGAGATTAGAATGGTAGAAGATTAGTTTCCCAAATATGTTCTTGCATTACTTAGGTATAAAGCTCAGAAGGATAAGATCATTTTCATGTTCACAAGACTGTATGAAACAACTTCTGTTATCAAATCTATTCTCAAAAATGCTGTATATACTAAATTGTACTATTTTACAGGTACATGAAGGGTTTCAAACTGGTCACGAGGTTCAATACAAACAAAGACAGGTGTCTTCAGAAGCATCCTAAATACAGTTGGGCGTTAGCATTGATGAAGGAGAGAATAAATGATGTCATCACAAATGATGTAAGCGTATCAGTGTATTAATGAGTAGTTTAATGAGAGAAGTGAAACTGGTTGATTGTTATCAGATGGCAAACAGATTAACTGTAGTGTCACTGACTTCAGATCTGATCGCTAATTCAGCCGAGTGGAAATCATGCAATTAGCTTCTTAAAATTATGGTTTTACGAATTTGTAGTATTATTACCTTCTCAAGTTTATCATCTGTTCGGTGGAATTAAATCATAAACAAAGCCATTGTAATTTAAAGGCATCTTATAATTGTACATATTATTGATGATGATTTTTTGTATTTTAAAGGTCCCCAATCCCTGGTGTATGATCGCTCTCCTCGTGGTTCTCAGTGAAAATGTCCAAGACTGCCAAGAAATAATTAAATGTCTTCTAAGCAAGGATTCACAATGTTCATTGATGGAGTTATTAGATTGTCTCTACTGCATTCTAGCATTCCTATACACATTCAAGGCAGTGCAATATAATGAACCCTGGACTGGGTAAGCAATTTTGATTTTTTTACAATATCTTTTTTAATCATATATACATGTACTTGTAAAGATATATATTATGTATATTGCATCATGTGATTTATATCATGTAATAAAAAACTCATTTGTAAGGTTCATTGGCACCCTGCTTTAAGAATAGCATGTTTGTTATGTGACCACCAGTAGTGCTGACATATTGTTACAGTCTCAAACTTTTTGTGGACAGTGTTTGGTGGTTGATGTTTGGCACTTGGTGGTTGGTGTTTGGTGTTAGGCATTTGGTGTCTGTAACAAATGGCAGAGGCCAGCCCGTGATGACATTTTGCATAATAATGCCTTGTTGTATTTATTAAAAGATTTCATTATTTTCAGGATGCATTACAGACTCTATTACGCACTGTACCTGTTTGAGAACACATCTTGTTCCAAGTATGGACAGCTAGCCAACGCTCTTTCATCAAAGTCAGGCCAGCAATCTATACTCAAATATGGGTAATTTTTTATGTTATTATCATGATTTCAATAAATGATATTTAGCTAATTAAACTAAACTATGCCTATACCAGAATGTCATTTCTGGACTATGTGATCAGAGTGTACTTCACATGTCTTCACTGTATCCCTCTATAACTTATGTAATTCCACATGTTACAATGTGTGTTGACAATGTGGGGCCATAAGTTTACAATGTGGTGCAATGTGTTTACAATGTGGCGCAATGTGTTTAAAATGTGGTGCTATTTGTTTGCAATATGGTGGCATGTGTTTGCAATATGGTGCCATTTGTTTACAATGTGGTTCCATGTGTTATCAATGTGGCCCATGTGTTTACAATGTGTTGACAATATGATATAATGTGCTTTCAATGTGGTAAATGTGTTTACAATGTGTGCTGTGTGTTTACAATTGTGCCACATGTTTACAATGTGTGCCATGTGTTTATAATGTGGAAAATGTGTTTACAATGCGTGCCATGGGTTAACAATGTGTGCCATGTGTTTACAATATGTGACTGTGTTTACAATGCATTCTATGTGTTTGCAATTCATTCCATCTGTTACGATGCATTCCATGTGTTTACAATGCATGAGATGTGCGTACAAAATGTTACATGTGTTTACTATATGTGACCTGTGTTTACAATGTGTGCTATGTGTGTTTACAATGTGTGACCTGTGTTTACAATGTGTGCCAATGTTGTAGGAATATGGAGAGCAGTGTCCGCCTCACTCATGAGCAGATGAGGATTTGTAATCACAATGTTGCTCGTGGAGAGATCATCAAGATTGTGGCCTTCGCAGGTAAATATGCAGCATTTTCAATGTTTCTCCAGAAATTATTGTTCCTTTCTAAGTCAGCCAATTAACCACTGATTTATGTCAAAGTACTTAAAATTAAAATGAACTGTTCTTTTTAATCTTTGATGGAACAAAAGTTAATTAATGACAACTGAAGTGTACCACATAGAGATGAACCAGGGTGTGGCCTTAGCAGAATTGTCAGTGATTACCCCTTTGGTCCAGATTACTAGTCCATAATTTATTTTTGACCAGTATTCCCAAAGTCTTTGACATGCCCTGAGCTTAAAGGCACCATATAAAGTTTAAACCACTTTGGCTTTGCATTGGGAATTTAACCTCTTGACTACCTGGAGTGACGAGATTTCTCTAACCTCAGAAATGACCTTGAAACCCAGAGAACATGAGAGCCTGACGAGAAAATCCATCGCAATTTTTATACATTTGCTTATGTAGGTACTGGTAAGACGACAACACTCATCAAGTACACTCAACTCCGTCCTAGTGAGAAATATCTTCTAGTCGTTTATAACAAGTAAGTCTTGATTTCACATGACAAGTGAATCTTTATGAATTAGTGCCACATTTAAGTGCTTACAATCGAGGCCAACCCTTTTCCAATTGATAATAGCGAGATAAATAGTGACATAAAAAAGGGTGAAAGCGCCGAAAACGGAACAAATCGTGGAACTTTCCATATATGACCAGACAACCTTCCTGGGTGTAAAAAGCAACTGTGCCGAAAATTTCCTCCATTTTTTATATACTTTTCGCAATTTTTACCCCTACCTCTAAAGTTTATAGGGGTAGGCTTAATGACCATCCATAACATTTTATAATTATCATTAAATAGTATCATAATTTCAATGTTGGGACCTTTTACCATGATACACATGATAATGAGTGAGATTTTTAGCAAAATGAATATTTACTTATCTTTAATTAATTCCTTTTATCTCTTTTCCATAGTGGCATGTACTTCGACATGATAAACAACGTAATTTTAATTGAAAATAAAGTTTGACAAACTATGTGACATCTGATGAGTGACTTGAATGCAAATACAGAATAATCTAGCAAAAAGTGTATCTTTCTTAAACAACTACCAAAATCACTTCTTGTTTTTGACAAGGTCATGCTTAAGTGACAATGAGCATCAACGTTTGTGATAGGATCTAGATCAGTTTTTGTAAGTATGATTTTGACCTACATGATTAATAAAAATAATCAAGAAGTTGTTCTGCTTATTTTGAATAAAGAGGCTCTATGCCATAGGATAGCAAAATCAAGAACCCTCTGGACTTTTTGCATATTGAGTTTCACCACACATATACCCATCTACTTACCAAAGAAGAAGTCCCAAATCCCCCTCTTTCAGTGTTAATTTGCGATTGTGCTGGCCGATCCAATTATTTTCGAAGAAATTAATTCAATCTGAAGTGTGAATATACCAGGAAGGTTGTCCTGTTATCTGATTGGTCATTGGATTTGTTAATCATAAACCTGATTGGCTGCCTGGTTCAAGGCACTTGTGGGCACTTGTGTGACTCAATGGGGATTCCTCTCGCTAGCTGAGGAATCGATTGTGTTTAATTCTGGAGTTTGGTTGTTCTGTTGATTATTTCCGATATTTCGGCAATGATATACCCAAAAGTTATTCTCAAGATATATCTATGGTATGTGAGATATTATATGAGCAATAACAATAGGACATCATTGATTGTCTGGGGGAGAAACCTATGGCATAATGCATCTTTAACTGTTATGTTTTAAAATATGATATTGTTGGTCTAATAAGGGCAGTTTTGAATTAAGAATGAGTGTTATGTGTATTGGGAGGGGGTCTTGTTACTTGGGTAGATTTCAGGTAGATTACCAATCAATACAATTTTGCCTCTTGATTTTGAATCTTTGATAGATACACAGCAGAGTGAAGAAACATGGTCGCCTATATTCAAATTCTGGTACATGGTACTCCAATTACAAGTTCTGGGTCTAACAAATGTTAGAGCTGTGAGACTTGGGGACTTCAAGCTCTACAAAGAAACTATCATGGAAATCATGCCATGGTTTGTCTCCCTGGATCATACCAATTATGCCCGCTAGGTACCTGTCCATGTAAGTGATATGGTTCAGCTCAAGGAAACCCAACCTGAAGTTCATAATGGTTTCATGAAGGGGCATTTCACTGTCAGCAAGTCAAGAAAAAGCTTCTCCTCCATGTCAATAGACCAAGCCCATGAGCAAAATAATAGTGTGATCAAAAGTGAGGGTGGAGCTGTGGGGTTGTTCGACAATCCAACCGCATTACAGAAGTGGATGGTCGATGGTCCAGAGATCGCAAGATTGTTAACTGAGTTTGAGGATGAGATGAAGAATAATGATGGTCCTTGCAAACCATGAGCACAGTGTTAGTTATCAAACCAGTTTCAACAAATATGTCTATTCCCTTACTTAAGTTATCAATGATTTAGGAAACCCCTTTATTGCAACACTTGATACTAGAGATGTAATGTCAAGCAGTGCAGTTGACACATTGAACACAATTGAGAAAAGGGGCAAAAGTCAATGTGAAGTATATATAATAAGGAGAGAATTATTGAAAGATCAAAAGCCATCACTAGACCCTATCAAGAGAAACAATTTCAAGATCTTCCAACAAATCTAAGTCAAGTTCAAAGCTAGCAAGCTTGAAAAATGACACTGCCCTATTTTCACAACTAGACATAATGTGCCAGAATAGAGACGGCAACTTAGATGAACTTTTCCGACATGAGAACCAGGCATTCCCTCCATCCCTTTCACAAGATGGCACAATCAAGACTGGACTCAAAGCAAATATCTTAAAACCAATGGAAGACCTTCCAAATAGAGAGATCAATACACCAGATGTCGAAGCCCTGTTTCTTGATGGTGCCGTAATAGTCCACCTGCTGAAAACTCAAGAAGCAAAAACCTTCCTACAATACTCAAATGACATATTTATTTAATAAGTATACTGCAGATCAACTTAATAGAGTACAAAGACTTAATATTGTATGGGATCAATATATACCAAATAGTGTCAAATCTTCAACAAGAAAAAAGCATGGATCTGGAAAGCGTCAAATAGTTTATCCAGAAAACAAATTGCCAGGGAATTGGCCAGAATTTCTACGCTCTGATGACAAGAAAAGTGATCTCTTTACCATCCTTGCATCAAATGTCTCAGCCATTCCAGTACCAGAGAATAAAATCCTGATTACAACAATTGGGAATTCTGCAGAGGCATATCCTAAGCAGCATGTTTCTGAGATTTCACCATCATCCCATGAAGAGGCAGATTCCCGAATCTTTCTGCACATATATGATGCAATGAAAAAAGGCTTCACAAAAATGACGATTAGAACAGTTGATTCAGACATTGTTGTTCTGGCAGTTAGTACAACTTAACATTCAAAGCTGACTCACCTTTGGCAAGGGAAAGTCCTATAGATACCTTCCAGCCCACGAAATTGCCCATGAGATGACTCCTCAGAAAGCCATGTTTCCCAATATTCCATGCTATGACTGGGTGTGACACCACATCAGGCTTTAATGGAAAGTCTAAGACATCAGCCTGGAACCAATGGAGTACCTACCCTGAATTGACTACAGCATTAACAGAAATCTCAATATGACCCAATACCCTGCTTGATGCCTATTTTAGAGCTGTTCATTATTCTGGTCTCCAACTTAAAACAAGCAATGAAACATCAATCAATACTGCGAGGAAGGAGATGTTCACAAAGAGAACTTCAATAATATCACACATTCGTCCAACATCAGATGCCTTTTTACAGCATATGAAGAGAGTCATATACCAAGCTGTATTTATTTGGGGGCAACCACTTACAGCGAATCCTCAAGTTCTTCCCCAGCTGAGTGAGGCTGGATATTTGAAGACACCAAATGGATACCAAGGTGGACAACCTTACCCCAAGCATCAGACACTTGCCAGGCTCTCATAAATGTAGCTGCAAAAACCAATGCATATCAACACGATGCAAGTGCCTGAAAGGAAATCTTGTTTGTACAGCATTATGTGTGTGTGATAGCAATTATTCTTCATAAGGACACTGCAACATACCAAAAAGTAACTATGATACTGATAGACACTAGTATAAATCCTTCTATAAGATTAATAAAACTATGATTTAAAAATATGTGGAAAGTGAAACTAAAGGAACTATGAAACAGATATAGATAGTTGATATATGGAGTCTAACTGCACTCAGAAGCCAAAAAACCACAAGTCTACCCACTTCGACCATTTTTTCTGAATATCTAAAAGATGGGTGTGACTCAAAACAAGCCTTTAACAGTGAAAAAGGTGAAAAATAATAGTCATGTGAAGCATTAGATATAGATGTAATTTTAAAATCATATATCACTTATTTGATTTACTCCTGCTACTGTGATATGGTGCAAAATATTCAATACAAGAAAAGTGGGCGTCGCCCATCACCACCCTTTAACATAGCAATCGAAAATCAATGGTATTTCATATTTTTACTTCAACATTGACTTCTTAACATGATAAGGTAATATTAAATTTGAAGTATGAGCATAATTTAGTAAAAAAAATTGTGTCAAATTTTTTTTAGCCCCCCCCCCCTCCGTGACCATGGGGGGGGTAAGAATTGTAAAATTAGGGTAGTTCCTATGGAGCGATTTTTTGGCACAGTTGCTTTATTTGAAGAGTAGCAATCAGTGATCATTTGAGGAAAGTTTCACGATTTGTTCCGCAAACGGCGATTACTTTACACTATTTATCCCGCTATAATAATAATCAGATTATTTTTTTCTGGACCACTGATTGATTAAACTCCTTATCCCTTTAAAAGTCTAACCATCCATACAATTGAATTTCAGGATACAAAAGTACTTGAAGCATAGTCCTGTATGTAATTGGATTCTAATGAAGGACCAACATTTTTCTTCTAAGGGCTCATGATCAACATCTTACATTCAAAACTATGTGAAATGTACATAAGTTTATGTTTCTTTATTTCCACCTTTGGGATGAGTACATAAATTATTTTAGATTTTAAAAGTTACAACATGTATACAATAGCAAAATGATAGAAATAGGAAAATATAATAATATATAATAAGTGTATCATGTGATCTTGATTCTTTTGAACATGTTTTTTTTTCAAAAACACAAATACAAGACAACTTGTCATAATAAAATAGTTTGTATCTCCAGTAAGTGCCTAATGTGTTGAAATGTAATATCACTTCAGGTCAGTGAGAGAGCATGCTAAGAGTAGGTTCCCCAGTAATGTCAACTGTATGACTGGACATGCTTTAGCTTACAAATATGTAGGATACAAGTAAGTACTGATATATCTGCATCACATATGTAAATCGCATGTGATTCACCTATTTTTGTTTTTAACTAAATTAAATGTGCTTTGTTTATGGGTATCTAAAGAATTCTTATTATGATGCAAAAAAACATGAATCTTGTGAAGATATTGACATCTTCATAGCACTAAAAGAGGTATTTTGGTATGACTGGTATCTATTTTTTCACATTCATTTCAGTTTACCATCTTTTGAATTTTGTAATCCTTCACAATTTCTAAGGTTCTACATGTGGTTTCTCTCTGTAGGTATAGAGCAGCTGGGAAATTCATAGGCAATCTGAAGGTCTATCCCATTACACAAATTTTGCCCCAAAGAAAGGGAGACAATCTCTACTCCCGTGCAAAGTTTGTGAAGGACACCCTTGAGACATTCATGGCATCTGCTGATGACTTCATCACAACACAACATGTACCAGAGTATGAAGTCACTGATAAAAATGAGAGGAAGGCCATTCCACAAGATGCTAGAATGGTAAGCCATAACCTTAAAATACATAAATGGTGTATACTCATGCAAACATGAGCATATGATGGTAGAACTGTACGTCATTACTCTTTTGTGAGTGGAGGCTTGATTTGCTGATTACTTTTTATCCCATCGAACGAAGTTCAGAGGGATATAGGGAACGCCTCCGTCCGTCCGTCCGTCCGTACGTACGTCCGTACGTACGTACGTCCGTACGTACGTACGTCCGTCCGTACGTACGTCCGTCCGTACGTACGTACGTCCGTACGTACGTCCGTCCGTCCGTCCGTCCGTCCGGGCAATAACTCAAATACCGTTGGCCCGATTTTGTTCATATTTTGTACACATATACCCTATGGGAGTAGAAGTTCTGCTCGAAAGCCGATTTTCAAAATGGCCGCTCATTTCAAAATGGCGGCCATTTTAGTGCCGATTTTACAGTAATTTAGGTGCAATATGTAAAACTGTAATAGCAATATGTTTTAAATGTAAAAAAATTATAAGGGACATTAATAATGCTACAAATGTAGATATTAAAGAAGCACATGGCAGCCATCTTGAAAAATGGCCGCCTTTACTCGTCATTTTACGATTTTTGCTGTAACTCAAAAAATAGTGGAGCGATTTTGTTCATATTTGGTATGTGAATACTATAAGCATTGCACACTGTCTAAAGACACTTTTGGTAGAAGGCGGCCATTTTGAAAAAAAATTTGAAAAATGGCCCCCATTTTAACGTATTTTACTATAACTCGAAAAGTAGTGGAGCGATTTTGTTCATATTTGGTATGTGAATACTATAAGCACGGCATACTGTCCTATGCCACTTTTGGATTTGCAAGTTAAATTCTAACGTATTTTACTATAACTCGAAAAGTAGTGGAGCGATTTTGTTCATATTTGGTATGTGAATACTATAAGCATGACACACTGTCCTATGACATTTTTTGTAGAAGGCGGCCATTTTGAAAAAAAATTTGAAAAATGGCCCCCATTTTAACGTATTTTACTATAACTCGAAAAGTAGTGGAGCGATTTTGTTCATATTTGGTATGTGAATACTATAAGCACGGCATACTGTCCTATGCCACTTTTGGTAGAAGGCGGCCATTTTGAAAAAACTTTGAAAAATGGCCGCCATTTTAACATATTTTACTATAACTCGAAAAGTAGTGGAGTGATTTTGTTCATATTTGGTATGTGAATACTATAAGCATATATGGCACACTGTCCACTTCTAATGACACTTTTGGTAGAAGGTGGCCATTTTGAAAAATGGCCGCCATTTTAACGTATTTTACTATAACTCAAAAAGTAGTGGAGCGATTTTGTTCATATTTGATATGTGAATACTTTAAGCATGGCACATTGTCTAACAAAACTTTGGGGAGTAGTCGGCCATTTTGAAAAATAGCCACCATTTTTATGTGTGTTATTTTACAAGTACGTGTGCGATTTTTCAAAAATTTTAGAGGTAGCTACTTAAAAGCATATTATCTCTCCTAATAACAACTTGGCTAGTGAGCAACCATTTTGAAAATGGTGGCCTTTCTGGTGTGTTGTTTTATTGCTATTCGTTTGTAAAAATGCCAGCCATTTCTGTTCGATGGGATTCGCTACGCTTTGGCGTTGCCGTTGTTCTGGTTTACTACCTATAGAAAGTTCAGTTACAACCAATGTAAATATTCTCATGGTTTCAAAGATGAAAAAGTTAATAGACATGCTTTATGGAAATGTCAACAATATGGAAGAACTACAGAGCCTTAAACTTAATAGTTTATACCCATAAAACCATTAGTATTACTAACTTTAATGTATGTTTTTGCAGAGGTATTCTGAAGATGCTGAATACATCTGGGAGAGAATCAAAGATAAGAAAGACAAGGGCATCTGCATCCCTTTTGATGGTTTCCTAAAGCTTTACCAGTTGAGTAAGCCAAGGATTTGGGACTGTGATTGCATACTCATTGATGAGGCACAGGATTTAACACCAGGTAAAGAAACAGAGTTTTCCTGTATGTAGTGACCATTAACACTATCTATGTATCATATACAGGTACATGTATTCCTTCTCCATAAGTGCACCATATTGTCTATAAGCTACAAAGCTAAATACAAGAAACAACATTGTATTGAAACGGCACTGGACCAAATCCATTTATCCAAATTTTATTTTTAAGGCCAACATCAACTTTCTCTTGAAATCCATGGTTTGATTCAACCACAGCTAGTATCCTTTGATATATGCCCTCTCCATTCACTACACCTCTCAATGTCAGTCCTTATAAATCGCTCATATTTTCGCAAGATGGTAATATATATATGCTACAAATCATATGTCTCAATCACCCATACATACTTTGCACATACATTCTATGTTACTTTACTCCAAAATGAACATTGATGGTAAGATAAGTGATTTGTTCCTCTCATTTTCTATGATTGTGTTAAATTATGATATGATGGAATAAAACAGATAATAGAGAGATTTCGCACCTAGTGAAAGTACAACTTATAACGTATACTTATACTTATAGGTAAAAGTACAAGGTGTTTCATAATGTGAGCTTTTCGTCAGGAAAGATCTTCTCAGACTGTAATAAATACAGGTCAAAGGGATGCCATTTGTACTTTCTTGAATTGTAGGATGTTTAGTTGATCCAAATGTGTTTGTCTAGAATAAAATAGGCTCATATATAGTACATATGTTATAGACCCATCTCTTCTCAAATTGACTTTTTGGAGATGCTCGTTATGAAACACCCTGTATGTCGTATGATGAGCTACTGAATGGATTGTTTCCAGGAATTGCTAGAACCTACTGGTTTGATTGGTGTTTCAAATTGATGGTTAAAGTATTTGATTGGATACTGTTCCCACTCAGCCAATTAATTTTTAAAAATGCTTGCGGTCAATTGTTCCACACACATGTAGGCAAATCTTTATACGGAGATCCAACTGTATACGTTATCATCTACGTAAATATACCGTTTTTTAAGTTCATTGAACTTATACTGATCATGAAAACATTGAAAGAATCAACTTGTTTATGTAATGACTCACTTTAAAGAATCATGACTCCCTTTAAAGGATCATGTTTTTAATACACTACAACTACAAGGACACGGAAGCAAGCATTTAAATATAATGTGCATAATCTACACGTGCAGATGACAATGCATTCATAGTCTCAATGCATCATAGTTGATGGAGCTTTTCTATAACGGGAATCGTTATGTTCCATTAAGTACAATTTAAAATTGATTTTAGTAAATATAATAGTTCGACATGACCCTTTAAACTATATGTATACGTATAAGTTGTACTTTCACTTATGTGCGAAATCTCTCTAATAAAAGATACTGCAGATCAATGTCCCATGCATGTAGTTTCAAGTTTATATTGCAGCTTTAATGCACAGCTATGTGACATCTTGTTTCAGCTATAACTGACATCATGTTGCGCCAGTCCCAGGCTAAGATCCTAGTTGGAGACCCACATCAACAAATTTACTCCTTCAGGGGAGCAGTGAATGCCATGGAGAGAGTACAAGCCAGTCATATATTCTATCTGACACAGGTACCCCAATTATACACTAGTCTTTCTTATACAAGTAAATCTAGTGTATCACCAGCCTGATCTGCCTTTAGCTTTTTACACAGAAGGGTCATCCTAAAGCAACACATCCAGACCTCTTCCACATTATTTAGATAAATCAAATAGGATTTGAACTTCTTTTTCCAAAAGAAATCAAGGGGACACATGTTACTTATAAAACATCTCCTTAGTTTTTCATTATTTTCTCAATAAAGGGCTTTATCTCTAATAAATATACATTTGTTCCAGTCATTTAGATTTGGACCTGAAGTAGCATTTGCAGCCTCTTGTATCTTGGAACACCTGAAAGGAGAGAAGACAAAGACGCTAGTTGGAAATGGAATACCAGGTACGCTAAACTTCAGGTCATGTTGGAGTTTATGTAAATGAATGTAAGGTATGAATGTGCGTAAGAATTTAAAAGCATTACTGAATATGTGTCTTGTACGTAATATTATATATTCTGGTACATACATAGATTGACTATTAGGACATTCTAGGTAAACTTGTTATTGCTATGTCGTTCAACCTTGCAACTTCTCCATTTGAAGTAAATCAATTTAAAGAAAGTGAATCTTTAACCTTTCTCTGTTTATAACTCTGGCATGTGTGTTATACTTTTGGGTCAACCCTCATACATGTACATATTATTTTGTTTTTAAGGGAGTGTACTGGGAGAGTCAAATGGCCAGATAGCTATAGTCACGCGTACCAACTTCCAACTGTTCCAGGAGGCCGTTGGATTATGTAGCTACACAGAGAACATCAGGATTGCATTTGTTGGGGTACGTATGCACATCAGGATTGCATTTGTTGGGGTACGTATGCACATCAGGATTGCATTTGTTGGGGTACGTATGCACATCAGGATTGCATTTGTTGGGGTACCTATGCACATCCTACTTGTAGCATATTATGCTCAACCTAATTTTCATCACACTGCATTTTCAAAAGTAAAAGGAAAAATGAAATAAATAACTTGGGTCCTGTTCCTCTTTCATTGTAAAGTTAACAACAATAAATGGGGCATTTAACTTCAATGAATAAACAATAATACCATTGTTAATTTGAGAATAAATATATTATATTTCTTCAGGGTCTAGAGGGATTTGGATTTGACATAATAGATGACATATACACCCTCACCTTATCACCCGAAGAGAGGATAAAAGGTATGAAATGATTACATTCTAATTATGAGTGACCTTATAATAACTTACCTGAATTATTTGTACATTTTTTATGAGATCACTTTGATCTGGAAACTTAAATGCATACTATATTTGTGACATTTTAGTTAAGTTGTGCCCAATGATTTGAAAAGTAAACATAATATTATTGTTCTGTTTATCAGAGGCCACTCATGAATAAATATGTCTCTGCTTGCCTTTCAGAAAATAAGAAAATACACAGTAAGTTTATAGGTGGATTCCAGTCATTAGATGCATTGGAAAAATATGCAACAAAAGTTACGGACCATGAACTTAAAGGAAAGATTCAGATTGTGAAGGTGTATCGTCATAGTCTACCGATGCACATTAGTAAAATACGTAAGAAGGCTACATCAATTATCGAAGTGGCAGGTTAGTTTAAAATATGTGTGATAATGACTTTTTATGTCACTCCTTGGTGACATGTATCATAGATACATGTATTGTTATATCCTTCAACTTTCTTTTTGTTGATGGTGTTTGGTGTCTGTTACAAATGCATTCAGTGGTTAGCATCTATAACAAATGTGTTCGACTGTTCGGGGGTTTAGCATCTGTAACAAAATACTGGTGTTGACAATTTTGCATGTTAACAAATAGCTGCATTATATCTGAGATGTTTTAGATTTTTTTTTATTGTAAGCCTACATTCAAATTTTGATTTTCCTATCATTCAGTTCAACTTATATTTATATTTTAGACTATGTATTAACAACAGCTCATAAGTCAAAGGGGTTGGAGTTCAACACTGTGAGACTGACAGATGACTTCAGCATTGTTCCTCATGGACTTGGTGAACAGGATGAGAATAATCTTCTCTATGTGGCAGCCACAAGAGCAAAGAAATGTTTACAGATGAACAGGTCATTGCATCTGGTCTTGAAGCGTTCTGGGGTAGGTACAGGGTGGCCAGTCATTGCATCTGGTCCTGAAGCGTTCTGGGGTAGGTACAGGGTGGCCAGTCATTGCATCTGGTCCTGAAGCGTGCTGGGGTAGGTACAGGGTGGCCAGTCATTGCATATGGTCCTGAAGCGTTCTGGGGTAGGTACAGGGTGACCAGTCATTGCATCTGGTCCTGAAGCGTTCTGGGGTAGGTACAGGGTGGCCAGTCATTGCATCTGGTCCTGAAGTGTTCTGGGGTAGGTACAGGGTGACCAGTCATTGCATCTGGTCCTGAAGCGTTCTGGGGTAGGTACAGGGTGGCCAGTCATTGCATCTGGTCCTGAAGCGTTCTGGGGTAGGTACAGGGTGGCCAGTCATTGCATCTGGTCCTGAAGCGTTCTGGGGTAAGTACAGTTTGCCCAGTCATTGCTTCTGGTCCTGAAGCATTCTGGGGTAGGTACAGGGTGGCCAGTCATTGCATCTTGTCTTGAAGCGTTCTGGGGTAGGTACAGGGTCACCAGAAATGTTGTCAGGACATCTTGGTGTTCTGGATGTTTTATTTATGCTTGAATTAGGTGTTATGTTATTGCAATATTATAATCTTATTTGTTTTACTAATTATATTCATATTATTTTCATGATGTACATTAACGTTTAGTGAAAATTTCTGATGCATCAATTTCCAATTTTGGTACATCATGAGATGTCTTAAAATACCTATCATTTCACACTGGCTTAAATATTTGTAAGTTGGCCACAATATCTTTAATTATTACAATCTTCAAGGTAAGTTTTCATGTATATGTTGGTATTTGGCGTCTGTAGTAATACACCTGCAATAACGCAGATGCGAGTAGGTAGTAACCAGTTTCACCACCAGGTGGCTCGCTCGGGTCAGATAGCATGGCGGGTATAGTAGAAAGTTCCCTTTAACTTAAATTACATCTGTTTTAGTGGTTCAATTTTCATATAACCCTTATGTATCTAACAGTTATGCAAATCAAAATATGTCCAGTAAATGAAAATGTTATCTGACCAATACAAGAAAAGATATTTTACTTTTTGTGATTTTGTAACATGGGCTCTATGGAGAATCAACCCGAACTAGAAGTCACACTTTCAAAAATAATTAAATTTTCAAACTTGATAAACAATTTTCGAAACCATATTTCTAGACGTAATTTTACATGTAGATTTCAAATATAACATCGCTTTGACCATTTGACTGGATTTTGAATATTTAATGGCGTAAATCAAGATTTTTTCTACTCGCATCTAGTCAATTGCAGCTAGATGGTGACAATTTGTTGTTACATGCCTTGTAAAGATGATGCATTTGTCAAATGAAATTAAAAGTATATTTCACGAAACTGTAAACTACTCAAATTGTATGCAGTAATTGTGTATACTGATATGACAGGCTTGTTCATTTTTTATAGGAAAACTTCCAATATCCTATGTGTACCGAAGCATACAAGGAGATGAAGAAACCCCCTGGAAATGTATTGAACTGTTTTGTCACAGGGACAGACTTCGAGCCACAAGCACTGGTTCTGGTCAGGAAATCTGTTAAATTGGTAAATGTCTTGATTCTTTTAAAATGATTTTGAAAGACCAATTAGAAAAATTAGTTTCATGTTTATGCTGTTGATCATTTTGTATTCAGTGTATGAGAGTTTTAAAAATCCTTATATCCTACAAAAATGTGAAATTCATGTTTAAGCGAGTCATCTACATTATCTTGATAACTCCCTCCCCCTGGCACCCACATACACATGCACGCACACACACACTTTTGTAAACAAGATTGGACTGACACTGCAAGCAATTGGCTTTGTGAACCATAATCCAGACCTGCCATCCTTCCATTTTTGTTTTGACACTCATAATCACACTTTGTTATGTCCTTTCCAGATGAATGATGTTGAAATGAGTGGAGGTCCAATAAGTCCACAATGCATCAGTGAAGAATACCCAAGCTTACGTCAGCTGATTGGTCATCCCAACACAGCCCCCTCTAATGAAGATGATGCATATGGAAATTAATTATCCAACTTCATGCACCAAAATGTACCTAATTTCATTAAATTCATGTTTGAATAAATCTACAAAACATTTTGCAACAGTTTTGATGCCTTGTATTGATATACTAGGTGACAAGGCAACAGTTTTGATTCCCTGTAAGGACAATGATAAGTCATTCTACTGTCACATAAAAAATATTTATTTGATCTCCATCATGTAATGCATGCCATATCATACTAAAGTAAAACTTGGCACTTTTGGCAGACTTTGCCCATTTCACATTATAAGATTATACAAAGACACTCATGTTCGTGTGTGTAGTTATATCATACCAAGAAAGTGCATGAAATGATGGTGGAGAATACGAGTCTTGGTCCATTTATACATTTGTTTGGAATGGAAATTATATGAAATCCAGATTATTTCATGCTTAAAGCCTGAAAGCTTTATGTTTGCATTTTGTATCATCATGTCAACTTCAGAATCAGTCTGAAAGTATTAGTAAAACTTTGGGTGCACTTTATTTATGATCTCAACAATTAATTGGTCTCCAGATTTTGGGGAATGTAAACATAAGTTATTGGATCCTGAAGTTTGTTTTTTGCAAATTCAGCTGTTCTGATTGAATTATATCAGGATATTTTGTAGTAACTAGATAATGCAGCTGTATATTTTAACAAAGAATATAGCCTACTTCATATGCTTTTAAGAAAATAAATGAAAAACTATTGTGTATATCTTAATTTGAATTTGTGTACTTTATTTGTTTACTTTACAATTTACAATTTTGTTTTTGTAAGACTTTTTATGTTGATTTTTCACTGACCCCCATATTGATTACTGGCTAAGGGATACATGTCATGGGAGAAGTAAACTTGCAGTATAAACAGAATCCTAAAAAAGATAACATGTACTATTAACATAATTTCAAACTGGTATAATTGTTTGATCTACAATGTATTTCCTCTGTTCCATCAAACAGCCATCTGTGTTGTACCAAATCACCAAATGATTTGAACTTGTTTTGTTTGCTTGTCTGAAATTCTAATTTCTAATGTTTGGACAAGATTTTGGACCCAGAAATGACATCTGGCTTTATTTGATACAGTTCGAGTTCAGAACTTGACTCTAAAGCAGCATCCCATCCAATCAAAATCTATGATTCATAACATCTGTTAATCTGTGTAATTTGTATGTTTGGTGTCAGGGGAACTATTCCAATACCAATCTAATTCAAAATGACTAATTAATTCAGCTAAATCCAGCCTTCATCAACTTCTGTATCCATACATATATCCTTCATTTAAAGCTCTAACAGGGTCCTTGGAGCCCTTCCTGGGTATTCTGCCAACAGGTTCTAAGTCATTATAGCATTTATCAAATACACTGTCCACTATTTTTGAGGCTTCTTCTACGGGGATATTTCTGACTAGCACTACAGATGATAGAGCCTTCCTCTTGACACATGTCTGAAAGTAAATCAAGAAATATAGACTGAAGAGCAGTAGTAGTAGTAATATAATAACTTTTTTAATGAAGTTATACAGGGTGTCTCAAAAAAATGTACCCAAAAGTATATCAAGAGCACAGATAAACCAATCAATATTTTTTGCATGGTCATGTTGCCAAAACATGAAAGTTTTCTCCCCAATACACCATTTTTATTTCAGTCTTGTCTTTTTGATGCTTTAACCCTTTATCTTATACACCACATAATCAATGTAACCTCATATTTCGATGACAGCCTGTATCATTACTGCTACATTGTTCATCACATTTGATAATAATTCCGGCGGAATGTTTTGGATTTCTCTTTGGACGTTGCCCTTAAGTTGTTCTAGGTCTTTTTGCTTGGAATGAGCATTAAAACACTCCTTCAAATAGCCACAGAGAAAGATGTTTGAGGATGACGATGGCAGAAAAAACACAGATAATCAGGTCAATTCTTGGCAAATGATTCAGGAGTTACCTTCCAGAGTTAGGCAGGCTAGCATGGAGACCAAATCATATCCAAATGAAAACACAGTGGTCTCAAATTGATACACAAACAAAAGCTACACTAGAATCCCAAGCAATGCAGTTTCTTGAACCTCTGACCTCTCTGTATAAGGGGGCTATAAGACATTGTGAGGGCCTTCCTATTCACCATATTTGACGGCCCATACTTTTTTCTCTGAGGCTATTTGAAGGACCATTTTTATGCTAAACCCAAGCTAAGAGACCTAGAACAACTTAAGACCAGCATCCGAACAGAAATCAAAACATTCCACCAGATATATCAAATGTGATGAACAATGTAGTAGTAAGGATGCAGACTGTCATCGAAATATTAGGTAACATTGAATATGTGGCGTAAAAGGTAACAGGTTAAAGCATCAAAAGGCAAAGCTGAATTAAAATTATAGGAGAAAAAACTTTCATCTTTTATCTACAAGACAATGCCAAAAATGTCTGAAAATATTGATTGGTTTGTCTATGGCGTTGATATACTTTTTTGTACATTTTTTGAGACACCCTATATATTGTTATATAACTTCAGTAAAAAAAGAATGTATAAGACACAAATGCACCATGTTATTAAACGGTAGATATTACTGTTGCTAGTTACTGGAATATGCTGTAATTTCATGAGAAACATACCCACCAGGCAGATGTACAGATATTTTTAAACGATATTTTGTACATGTACATAAAAAAATATTTTAGTATATTATGTAATGTTTATGTCATTATCCTTGGATATATCTTCAGTCCATCTAGGTTTACCTGATGTGCTGCTTTCAATCTCTCCCCAAACATTGCAGCATCCCCCTCTGCCCACGCAGCACTAAATGAACAGTGGTTGAAGTTGGCAGCTCGAATCTGAAAGTAAAGAACATTGTAGTCTGAGAAATATGGATTGACGTAAGAAATATCTATCTAAACTATAGAAAATCATCAAAACTAAAATAAACTCTTTCTTTTTGATAGTTTAATTTTTAACTATTTTATTAAAAACTTTTGCTAATTTATATGTCACATTGGAGTCCACCAAAACATTGTAAGCCATGATTGAAGTAAGTTTCATTCTGCAATAATTTTGAAGAAGCTTTAGCAAGGAGTTCCAGCATTTAGAAAATATAATATTGATGAAGACTAAAAAAGTGGCAATAAACCAGTCAACATACCTCAGTACATGCTAAATGTCTTACATCCTCAAAGTTAGCCTTGGCTCTACACTGATCAAATGCATGAGTCAGTTCATGGGCAAGTACACTGTAATTTACCAGTCAACATACCTCAGTACATGCTAAATGTCTTACATCCTCAAAGTTTGCCTTGGCTCTACACTGATCAAATGCATAAGTCAGTTCATGGGCAAGTACACTGTAATTTACCAGTCAACATACCTCAGTACATGCTAAATGTCTTACATCCTCAAAGTTTGCCTTGGCTCTACACTGATCAAATGCATAAGTCAGTTCATGGGCAAGTACACTGTAATTAACCAGTCAACATACCTCAGTACGTGCTAAATGTCTTACATCCTCAAAGTTAGCCTTGGCTCTACACTGATCAAATGCATAAGTCAGTTCATGGGCAAGTACACTGTAATTTACCAGTCAACATACCTCAGTACATGCTAAATGTCTCACATCCTCAAAGTTTGCCTTGGCTCTGAACTGGTCAAATGCATGAGTCAGTTCATGGGCAAGTACACAGTAATTTACCAGTCAACATACCTCAGTACATGCTAAATGTCTCACATCCTCAAAGTTTACCTTGGCTCTGCACTGGTCAAATGCATAAGTCAGTTCATGGGCAAGTACACTGTAATTTACCAGTCAACATACCTCAGTACATGCTAAATGTCTCACATCCTCAAAGTTTGCCTTGGCTCTACACTGGTCAAACGCATGAGTCAGTTCATGGGCAAGTACACTGCAGCAAACACCAAGAGCTGTGGAGTTATTGTGGCATACTACAACCTAGAATATTACATACAAAAATATTGCATGAATGTGACTTAAGATATGAACTGTATTGAGATGGTTGAATGAGTCATTGGAAAACCAATATGTGTTTAGTTTCAAATCCTTGCCTAACATATCTTTGGATTTTAGATTTGAAAATGAACTGACAAGTATCAAACATTTATTTTGCTGAACAACAAAACTTTATCCATCTAGTGACACTTTTTTAAAAACATTTTTTAATCTAAGATTATAAGCATAATTATATCTCCCTACCTGATTATTTTTGGGGTCAAAACCTCCATTTACTTTTGACTTGCACTTTTCACATGATACATGCCTCTTCAAATTCACTGGACTGAAAAAATATAATATCAGATTACATTCAGACATGTTAGATTCATGAAAACCATTTGATAATTTTACTGTATGGTGATGTAAATTTTCACATTTATAATAAGCTACATGGTAATACATGTATTTTTCAAATAACTTCATTTTATCATAAATAACATAATTGGTATCAAATGATGATTATGTAGATCCAAACACCATGCAATTATTCTATACAAATTCAGTCTGTTGCATTATGGCACAATACTTACCATCCATGTGCTTTTAAGGCTCCTGCCATAAGACGAACCATAGGATCTGAAAATTGCAAGAACAATTGATCAGAAATACATGTAGCTTAGTTTACTGTAGATGCACTAAATTTGACGCTACTTAATTTGGTGGATTTGCTCAATTTCAAATATTGGCGGCTATTTAATTTGGTGAGTCAGGACTGAGCTCAACTTTTATCATTGAGATCTGGAAATAAGCATTTCAGATTCATGTGTTCTACTTACCGTAAGTCTTGGGTCTTGGTATAGCACTGACATCCAAATAGGAATACTTACAAAAGTCAAATAATTGTAAATTACAAATTCCCTGAGGATTTTCCAAAATAGATCTGAAAACTTTCCCGAACTTATCCATACATGAACAAGTTGAGCCCAATTGGATTAATTTATCAATCTGAAATTTCTTGGGCCAGGACTACATGTACATGTAGGTTTAACTTCTATGCTATGTATTCATAAACCAAGGTAAATTCTTGATCAATTGAAACCAATTTTCCTTGATAATGTGGCAGATAATTGACAATAATAGAAACACCTTTAGCAGATTATAGACCTAGGGAGCTATCCCTGTAAATGTGGGGTTGATTTTTCAAATCACCCCCGTAACTGCTTCTGTATTGATATATTTGTTGAAATAAGCTGGATTAGTGGTTAATAAGATAAAATTCAGCTTTGTGTCTACTACTGACACAGTTTTTCAACCCCAAGTTTTCAATACACCGGTAGTAGTGGGGGTGATTTGAAAAATGATTTATGGGGGTGCAGAGAGCTGATGCAACAATTGTCCTCATTGTTGATTTACATCTGAAAGTTGGATGTGGTTTCAAATCGTTATCGTTTGCCTACATATTTTAGCAACAGTCATACTTTAAAACACCAAAGGACGAAAAGAAAAGTGACATACGTTTATCCATGCACCACATGACATTTCGTTCACATTTCAGTTTTCTTGCAGCTCCTCGTCCTTCTAAAATTTGTCTCCACGTAGATGTTTCCTGACCTCCTTTTCGGTCGGGGTAGAAGTAATAGCCATAGTCTTCCTTGTCTGTCTCTTCATAAAGGGTTTTTTCCCTTGGTGGCGCAGATTCAGACGATTTTGTTTCAGAATTTTGATTTGAAGATTTTTCAACTCCGTCCGCCATGTTGGTGTTTCCCCTAAATTAAGTGCTGCCACCTACAGGGGATTCCTGAGAACTACGGTCTCTGAAATATCTTTTGTAACAAAGTATTTGATTGGTTAATCATCACAACATTCTGCATTCTTGACCAATCAGATATGTTGTGACATTATAGCTCGGCAAGCCCTCTAAATAAGGATGTAATAATTTTCGTGAATTTATCCCAGATTTTGCTACAAAATCTCTGACTTACCGTTAGTATTCAATGGCTAAGTCACAAATAAATGGTGATGGGGATATAAAGATTGAAGACATCCACTTTCTGCTGGACAGTTTCTCAAAGCAATCTTACAAAGCCAAAGATGATAAAAAGGTAAGATCCACAAATGAAAAAACTCCAAACATACAGTTGGGGACAAAAATAAATGACAGGTCGATTTTCGATCACCATTTCCTAATTATGGTCGTCTGAAAGCCCATAATTTCCAATATTGTCAAGACACATATCCCTTAAAATTTGTATATTTCACATTTTGTATAATCTCATCCACTGATGTATGGCCTCTTGAAAATTCTCTTATTTTTAACATGGGAAATTCTCACTTCAGCAAATCCACCTGTCATTTATTTATGTCCCGAACTGTAGAACTTCTATATCTACATGTATATCTATAATTCTGGAAGAAGGATAGTCCTGTATAATCCAGATCTTTTTATTATGTATTATTTTCATATCATGTAAAGGGGGGCGTTGTTTATTTGCTCACTGGACATGGGTTAGTTGTGGTGAAGAAATTTCTGTCTCATCAGGTGCTTATCAATTCCATTCTTGAATTGATTTATATCTTGTTTCAGTTTACTTCCTGGGAAAGCTATGTGGATTTTGATATAATAGCTTTCCCACAGCGCACTTGGACAGCAGAATAATAGTGACTTTTGAAACACGAATAATGAGATCGGCGTCTTACTTTAGGTCACTAACTGTGTCTTACATCAGTATCATCAATCCGTGCAAGTATTGGAGCGCTGAAATACTTCTTTTTCGATCAAGACTTGTAAATTGTTCATCGAGTGAATGTTTTTTCAACCCATTTCCAATATGGCGGTTTGCTAGGAGCGAGATACGCAACGAACGAAATGAGTTTTTGAGAATGAGTCAGGTTTGGACAACCTCCGGAGATTTACGAAAATGTCCGAGCAGAAAACGCCATATTGGAATTTGGTAGAAAAAAACATTCAATCGACTAACAATTACAAGTCTTGATCGAAAAAGAAGTACTTCAGCGCTCAGGATGATAATGATGTATGTCATAGTTAGAGAACAAAAGTAAGCCCCGGACAAACTCGTGTTTCAAAGGCCACTATTATTCAGCTGTCCATTTCTCCGTTGGAGAGCAGTTAGTGAGTTTAAGTGCTTTTTTCTCTAAGTGATTCCTCCAGATGGTTGATTAGTTTCACATCCGGTGAGTCAAAGGCACTTATAAGAAAAATAGTCCTGACCAAAGTCCAAACAAAGTCCATCATGCAGAAGATTAATTTTTATCTCGTAAAGTGTACCAGTTTCATCTATGAACTGTAGCTCTGGAGCCTTTTAGAAATTCTGTACAAAATTTTGAGTGAAAGTTGAAGGATGTGCTAAAAAAGCTACATGTATTCAGCATTGATAACTGCATTGCTAAGAAGTGTAATCAAGGTACGAAGTCAACTAAAATACTTTGATTTTTTCAGAACAAATCCAGAGATGTTTCTCGCCATACATGTTTTTATGCATTTTTAGTTGAGAAATTAATGTCTTGATACCGTCGCCATATTAAACCTTTCTGTCCCATGTCCCAAACTGAAATGTCTTGACCAAAGTACGTGTAAGGTCCAATATCGTTAAACCATGACACCTCTAGTATATACAAAGAAACTGAATAATCTCTTTCTTTTGTCATTTCAGTCAGACGTCTTCATAGATAACTGCCTCAAACTCTTTGGGAAGGACTACAAATACTCGGTAAGTTTGTGTAATTTATTATAAGGTCATGTAAAATAGTCATTTACACCTTATAAAAGAATCAATTGAATTAAATAATCAATCAATGTATTTGGACATATCATCTAATCAGAAATGTGCCATCTGTTTCACTCTACTGAACTTGTATAGCTGCAGGTTGAGAAAACCAATTTATATGAGTTTTAGATATTATTAATTGAATTAATGACATACCTTTCTAAATGAAGAATGTACATGTCTACTGTCCAGGTTGACCAAAAATATGCAACGCTCCATTTCTGGAACAACTATATCAGTTGTAATGGGATTTTCGTGATTCTTTATGTTGGTAAAGTGTTTAATGTTGCAAACTTTCACATGTAACATCAACCATCAACCACTGAGAAAATACATTTTCCATTGTGGCATGATCTAATGACTCACTCTGTATACAATGTAGATTCATGGAGGGTATTAATGATACAAATAATTTGTCCATCTCCTGCTGGTATATCCAAAGAATGATTTGGATCTGGTCTATATTTTGAAATTAGTGTTTCTTTCTTCAATTTTAACAGTCATAAATCGGGTTGCCTGTTTCAAAGATCAATTTGTATAAAATAAACCAGATTTTATATATCACTAAGCCTACCAGAAATCAAAACCAGGAGACACTCAGAAAATTAATTCATATACAGTGATCATCAGCAGAATATTTAGTGATCCTGTATGTTCTGAAAAAATATGTTGCATGTTTTAGGTCATTGACAATATCAATGGGGAGCTGTGTAGTCACTACCCTGCAAAAATAGTACTGCTGGAGTATGCTTCCACATGCCAGAACAATGAAAGGTAGGCTCAATCACAGTCATATATAGTGGCTCCATGATGAAGACTCTCTGGATAGTCACTGGATAGTCTGAAAACCAAAAGGGTGCTTGGGATATTCAGAGGCTTTGAGCAAGACAGGCTTAAATCACTCCCGGTGATCGTACAAAAATGATGGAGGGGGGGATTAGGCGATTTCTGCAAGAAAACTCAACAAATTTGGAAGATTTATTTTTTCAAGAGAAAATTTACAACTGAATTGCCAAATGAATAGGCGCAGTTCATGGTTAAATATGTTAGGTCATCTAGTATTTTTTTTGAACTGATACCCCTCTAAGGTATGAGATCTATTAAAAAAGGCGCATCATCACCAACGTGATAACTAGGTGTTCCATACTGCTTTATTTTAGGTACACTGTGTTTCACTATGTGCAAAGTAAATGATGACCCTGTTCCATAATTTTAGGGTTGAGTCACTATATGATCTACCTCGTCTCAAGGAGCTATTCACCAAAGCAAGGTTTGCCAGATGTAGAGCTAGGTTTGTTGTTCCTGTTATACTCATAAACGGAAAGGTGAGAACACTTTAAGATCGAATGATTAATATTGAATATTAATACATAAGCCTTTACATGTAAGTTTTCAAAATTGAAATGAAATATAAAGCATCTTTTAACACTAAATTTTGGATGTTTTTTTATGATAAATAAATTTTTGTTTCTTAGCATATTGAATTGTGCCAAAATATCTAATCACAAATCTCTGTCTCTCCAAAAGAATTTAAAATTGACATTTTCCCATATTTAATTTAAGTGATTCATTCAGCACTTATTATATATAAAATCATTCATAAGGTGGCATTGCATTATGATACTGATGCATTGTGGTTCCTACAGCCCTTCATTGCTATGTGTTTCAGCACATCTGTAGATCAGCCACACTGTCTGGAGGTGCTGAGCTTTATGGAAGGACAAGTTTTGATTTCTTCTTCACAGGAGGTGAGAGTGTCCCAGAAGAAGTTTCCCTGGAGGCCAGCAACAGGTATACCTCCTTTGTCTTTAGTCACCATATGTTATAGAAAAAATACTCTCTGAAGAATTACTGATTTTGTTTCACTCTCACAAAGTAAACATTTTTTGTCATTTACTCAATTTATATTTTACTTAACCAGAATGGCAACTAGTTAACAGGATCAAAGGAAATGGTATCAAGACACATCATATATGTTTGTTTCCTCTATTTTAGCCAGCCAGACTGGCAACTCTTCAACAGAATCAGGGGGCAGGATATCAAACTATTAAAGACATGGTCAGTGAAGTACATCATTGACCTAATGGTGGAGAAAAAGAAAGTCAAATTTGGAATGAAGTAAGTTGACTGTCTTCAGAAATAATAATCTCCATAATATAAACTTTAATTAAAGGCCCCCTCTCAAGTTTGAAAATATCATTTATTTTCTATTTTTCATGATTTTAAAAGTTATTTTAGAGATTTTTAAAAAACATATACTTTTGGTATCATACTGTCCAGAATTTCTATTTTTATTCATAAACAGGAATTTCGCTACTTATGCAATAATCGAAAATGTATGATTGAAGACACTCATACTCATAATCTGTTTGTTTCAGTGTTACGAGTTCTGAAAAAGTTGATAAAGAACAGCGCTATGCAGATTTCACTATATTTTCAATGCCTTACCCAGGTATGTCTTATCATATAATCTTTAAATACAATGAACTAAAAAACCATAAAGTTTATAATGTTTCTCTGAAAATATACATTAAGAATAATGTTTGTCACAATATCGCCATTCTGATGTCTCATAAAGAACCCAAATGATGAGTGTTACATTTCTCACAAAAAAATTATGATTACATTTTGTTCCTAATTTCTCACAAAGCATTAAATGTCTACCAAAGAATGTGGCTCACAAAGCATAATGTTCACGCAACCTTAATCAAAGTATGCCATGCCACATTTTTGTTGCGTTAGGTTGTGAATTTTTCCATGACTGGCAGCAGAACTCTTACTATGCAGAGGGTATGGTGTACGACTGGGACCAGAACTTTGTAGACTCTATCCTAGATATACCCCTAGATAATGTCACATCCCAGCTTCCTATTGACTGGAAACATTACCAGGTGAATACATTAATGATATCTGAAAATGTTGATTCAAGATTTTAATGTCCAAAATAATTTTAATTGCGTAACTGTTTTTTTGTAAAAAATACTTTTTAATTCGTAGAAATGGGATCTGGTGAAGCTGACACAGAACTACCTACGACTGGTATTGGACCATATAAAAGAAAGTAAGTTATTCACATATATTTATAATTCATTTTGATTTAAATTGTCTCTGAATCTACATTTCATGACTGTCATATGTCAAATGTTTCAACAAGAGATACACAAAACACAAGGAAATAGTGTTTGTATCACCCTCAAAAGGGAAGCTAGAAACAGTATGGGCATTGAGTTTCAATGCTTTTTTAAGTGGTCCCAATGGCGCCATGTTAGATTTCCCTATCACATGATCAAAACAAACATCGAATGTAGTTCAGGCAGGAAATTCCCTCTCTCAGCCAATCGAAAGCCAGTTTCACTCTGTAAGGTCTCCAGGTTATGTACCTCCATGAACAGACTCAAGTATTACAAGTAACTAATCAGATTGTTTGAAAAATCAAAGACAATGAATCTTTAAATTCTATAATTGAAGTACTGTACATTTATTTTGTAATGTTCTATGAAATTACATCACCCGGTGTTTGACGTTCCCTAGGTGATGCAGGCCTTCTAATCCACTGTATCTCAGGCTGGGATAGGACCCCATTATTTGTGTCTCTCGTGAGGATATCTCTCTGGGCAGATGGTCTCATCCATGCTTCGCTTAATGCTGCAGAACTCCTCTACCTCACATTAGCATATGACTGGTACTTGTTTGGGTAAGTATGTGATCATATATCATTTACTCCACAATCAGTCATGAGATAAATCGGAAGATTCATTTTTGACAACCTACTTAAAACCATTTATTAAATGGCTTACATTATTTTTTCAAAGCTAATATTTCCATTAAATGTTAAGGCATTGGATAAAAAAAAACTTTACAGTTCACAAGTTGAACAGGTTGCAATTGTACTGTTGATATTATTTTTGAAGTAAGTAATTTTCACGAAAACAATGTTTTGTGGTTCGCTATTTAGGTCAAATTTCCGACCTTACAGACTTCATGCTTTAATATCCCGCTTTGCAGATAGAAATACCATCAATCAGAAATCAAAAGATTTTTTTCCTTTTTGCTACATGTTGTCAGAGACTTGATATAGCATGGTAAAACTGAGCTCTGATTGGCTTAAAAGTGACAAAGCATCCCTAACTATGTATTTATATTGTTTCAGGCACAATCTTCCTGATAGAATGGGAAAAGGGGAAGAGGTGAGTATAAGTCTTGAACAGTGCAAGAATCAGTTTTCTTTTTTTTAATATAGAATTAATGATAATGGAAAAATTCATGTTCTAAATTAAGAGACTGTGGACTGTTTGTCTAAGAAATTGGGGTGATACATAAAATCATCAATTCAAATACGCAATAAGTTGAATTTCAATTGAATTATTAAACCATCACACAATCAGGGGTATTAGGTACAATAGTAGAAAAACAATATTTATAGAACAATATATTCAAAATTGCTTCCAAGATCAAATATATAAAATAGCCTATTGCTGACCTCTCTACAATTGTTTACTTACTCAATATAAATAAGTGCCATTCATTGTTTTAGATCCTGTTTTTCTGCTTCCACTTTGTCAAGTACATCACTGGTGATGAGTTCTCTGCCAGGAAAGTCAGTAAGACTGGAGTTGGGAGGAATGACTCCGATATTAACATAGATGGCGTCTTGTTAGGTAAGTTTCGATTCCAATGTACATTTATTCACTTTTGACTCTACTGGATGTCAGTGGTAGATTTACCTGCTATGGGGTCAGCAAGGTATCTTTCTCAGAAATATCCACAAAATTTCAAAACCTTTCTAACTCAAATGTTTCATTAACTAAACCATTAACTTTGCATTGTAGATTATGAGAGCCACTACAGTAAACTAAGCAACCGAGGCAGTAATACCAGTCTTAATAGTTCTTGTAGCGTCACCAGCAACCGGAGCAGTGTTGACGCACCCCTGGTCTTCAGTGCTAGTCAGGAAGAGGACCAAGCATTGAATGGGTATATTACGATTTGATATATTATGTACAGGGTGGGCCAAAAAAAACCAATACCCAACTTCAAATCAGGATAAAAATAGTTACATTCAATATGGTACATTGACTTACATATCATTTTAAAGGTTATACAATTTCAAACAATTTGGTATATAACACTATGTCATGAAATCAATAGTAAAGTTTTATTATACTTATTTGGGAGGTTGGGTTGCTATTTATGGTCTCCAGATTTAAGGGAGAAAATAGTAAATCTGCGGAATTATGTTAATTTTTTATTTATAGAATATCATTCATTTGTTAGGTGAATACATGCTTGGATATTAATATTTGCATCATTGTGTGACTAAATTTATTGTTTATGAATTTCAGTGTTGTTTAATAACATTTTACACTTTATTTATTTAAACAATTTTCACAATTGCTCAATATACCCCCACCCCCTCCCCTCTGCATCAACAATAAGCTTCAAGTGGTAGCGCAATCTATCAATAGCCTTTTTGAGAGATTTGTGTTGCAATTCATTTCAGCACTTTAGGATTCTGTTTCAACTCATCAAAGCTGTTTATCGGATGCTTTTGATTGTACCATTTCCTCGAGATGGCTCCATGTATGGTAATCAAACACATTACATGTACCATCGGGGCTGTTGGGTGGCCAAGCATCGAGATCAATCAAATTTACACCTTGTTTGCCAAGGAATGCCAATGTCTCCTGAGATCTATGGTACGAGGCAATGTCTTGTAGGAAAATAAAATCCTCGTCACATATACGTTTAATGTCTTTTAACAGACCCCTTTTGAGTACTTATTGATAATAAACACTAAAATTCATAAACAATATTGTTTAGTCACACAATATGCAAATATACAAGCATTTATTCACCTAACAAAATGATATTCTATAAATAAAAAATTAACATTATTCCACAGATTTACTATTTTCTCCCTAAAATCTGGATACCTTAAATACTGACCCGGCCTCGCAAATAAGCATAATAAAACTTTAATATTGATTTCATGACAAAGTGTTATATACCAAATTGTTCGAAAATTGATTACCTTTAAAATGATATATAAATCAATGTATCATATTGAACATAGCTATTTTCAGTCTGATTTAAAGTTGGGTATTGGTTTTTTTTGGCCCACCCTGTATAATTATATCAAATGTCACATGTTTGAGCATTAGGTTTCTAGAAAAGCACATTTGACAACTTCATGCACAACTTTCAAAACTTGGTTATGTGACTGTAATACACATCATATTTGTGGATATCTTGAATTTTGCGAACAAATCAGTAATGAATGGGAAACATTGTAATTTATTGCAGTAATTGGCAAGAAGATCATTAAGGATAAGGACTTCATTACAAAATATATCACTATTATCATAGGTTAGAAACAATATTCACTTCATGACTGGACAATATTGTATTATTTTTTCATGGTATCTGTTCATTTTACTGAATCTTGCTTTTCAGAAACTCCATTTCTGGCCACAGGAGGTCACCGTTACACTTCAAACCTAGTCATTTAGAAAGCAGAGACAGTCACAGGTACTCAGGCACAGACCATAGAGACCATAGGCATACTAGTGATCCAAGAGAATTGTCTTACCACAGACATAGTACTGATAGACATACACCTAACGCACAACATAGTGCATCTAGCTCCCCGATGGCAGTCCCTAGTAATGCTCATAGACTGAACCCAGATAATAAACAATCCTTAGGTGCCAATTCTCCCGGCTTTGGAAGCTGGCAGATTATATCCGGGGCTGGGAGTTATCGAGGTAGCATGGCATCACATGAGTCTCCTCGCTCCAGCGGATCAGAGAGTCACTCAGGGTCTAGTGCCTCATATAAAAGTCGCAATAGTTCATACTGTGAGACATCTGAACCATCCAATGAGGATTCACAGCGGAAACAACGTTTGGAATTATTACGGAAGACATTTCTGAATGTGTATAGTGTGGTACATAGAACAAAGCTAGGACAAGAAAGTGTTTCTTCAAGTCTACTAGATATGTTTGCTGAAAAGGTCGGCATTAGGACTAAAAGCTCATTGTTTACCAATAGCACAATGAAATGATGTCATTAGCACAATGAAATGATGTCATTAGCACTTTGAAGTGGTATATTTTAAATGTCACTTTTTAAAGTGATTCTTGTAATTGCACAACCAAGTGAGGCTCGTAGCACTTTGAAGGAAGTGTTGTTTTCAAAGCACAAGTGATGTTCGAAGTATTAATTATTGATGGTGGCTTTTCTCATAGCATTTTGTAATTATGCCAGTAGTGTACATTTTATAATTATTCTGCTCATTTATGATGTCATGATGTTGACTAAAACTGAAATCGCAGTTATAATATATTTGGTTGAATTTAACTGGCATCAAATAAGATACTGTGCAAATATACAAATATAATTTGTGCTGAATATGTATAGTGATCTTCTGAATTTAATAGATATAATAAATTGAGATGTAACTTTTCTGGTAACTATGGTAACTATGATGTAACACAAAATATTTCTAAAATAATGATGCATAATATACATAAGATGATTTGAGATCACAGTATCATTTTATGTTAAAAAGCATTACATTTACTTTACATGACATATAGGACAATTAATATATATGCATCTTAGTAAGTGTACACTTACATGAATATTAAATCTAGAGAACTACTTAAGAGAATTTACACAGATATGATGCAAATTTACATACTATCTATGATAACAAGAATGACTGCATATTGAATTTTTCAATTGAGCATAATTAGATGGATAAATTGCTTAAGGATTTAAGCCCAGGGTTCAATGAATTGTGGATTATTTTAAGCACGAGGGTAATGCATCAAGACTTTGAATGAGAATGTGAGTGGGAGCCTGAATTCAAAGACTAGCATATGAGAAATGATAACATTAAATCACCCATTACTTAGATTCTTTTCACACGTGGCAAAATATTTTGTACAGTTTCACCAAAAAATGAAATTATTACTTGACTATTCTATATGATACTATTTATAGGTTTTCAGTGAACTGCCTACTAGAAATTATGAAACTGATTGGCCCAAATGTGATATGTCATATCTATGTGTTAATTTAGAATCAGTTTACATCGTTAAGTCTATGTTCTTTGATTGTGGGAATTAAAGTTTTGATAAAAAATGGAGAAAGAATCCCTCGGAGAAATACAATACATGACTAAGAAAAAAAGAACTGAAAAACAAACTTTTTCTGATTTTTGCATCAACAAATAATAATATGGTGCAATATAGTTCGTACAACAGGTTTTGGATGTGTGATATTTTTAGGTTATGTACAGGGTGGACCAAAATAACTATTCGCTCCGTTTCATGTGTTTAGATATATTTTATTGAGATTGATTGCATTCAAAGACAAAATCAATTCATTCATGCACCTTGTGTAAAACTATTTGTATTTAAGTTGCCATTTCAAAAAAATAAACCATTTATGGTTATTTTCTTTACTAGATATGGAAATATTTTCCATTCCAACTATCAATTGTGTCATATCCTGATTCAAAATGCTTAAACTGAGAACTACATGATATGTTTTAAAAGTATTTTAATTTGCACAATGTAAATAAATGAATCAAAAAATATTTATATAAAATGTTTTTTATTACAATTCATTCCTCGTAGAATGCAAATGCTTTGCTTTGAAATGTTATCCTAATTAATTGACAGAACCAATCTTGACATTTGTCGAGAAAAAATCCATCATCAAATAGATTTATTCCATGTCATGGCAACCAAATGTCATGATTAAAGCAAGAACATGAGTTATTATTAATGGATGTGTTTGTTGGTAGCAACTGTGCCTAGCAACCAAGGGTGGGAAAGATTGTCAGGGCAACAAGCATGCAATGTTGTTTTGCACTATGAGGGAGTTAAACCCTGTGCAAGAGCTGGACTTAATCTGCACTCTTTATATGAATGATGATTAATTGATCTAGCCTCTGTCCAATCAGAAAATGTGGACAGAAAATCATGCCACCACAGTTTCTGCCTAAAAGTGGCTAGCCGTCCTTCGTTTCACACTTAAACTCCAATGGAAGGCCATGAAAGATGTATATTGAATCATTAAGATATTATCACCATCAGCACTGTAAAATCATGTATTATCCTCAGAGTGAAGTATAACTAGACAATGAGGATCAGGGTAGGATTATTACCCCACTCGGTCATAATCTCTCCTAATTGACCGTAATTTCTTAAGTCATGAACTGGGATTAGATTGGTATAGGAAGAAACCAATTCACTATTGATTCCAGATTTAAAGCAACCTTTCTTTACTTGCTTGGTTGAGTGTTGGAACTTAAACAATTCTTGGCCTCTGAACATTTTTCTTAAAAAGTTGTTCATTGTTTATTTTATCGAGGGTATGTTCAGGTTACTGTCTTGTATGTGGTAAAAATATATCATGTGATCCAACTTTTAAACCTCAAGAACATTTAACCCACAACCACGAAATATGTAATTTTTCAATTTCAGTTGCTTGTAACACATGTCAAGAGGAACATTCAAAATGTGTACAGAAATGTACAACACGGTGTATCATAGGATATATTGTATAAGGGGATTGCCACATCATGCTCATAATTCCAAAATAATGATCATTTTTGTAAAAGTGGTTAAACTTACTTGTGCCACTGAGAGTGGTGTAATCTCACTCAGTGTCATCTAATGAAGAACAGCATATAGAGTCTGTAATATACTATTCTTTGCTAACGTTTTTGTTTCATTTCATTAAGGATTTAGTCTAGCTATCATCAGAAAGCAGACATTAATGTTCTAATTCTAGGCAACATTTACTGTTATTACAAAACACAAAGAAATAGTGGCTTATTCAAATAGCGCAATATCAGATTAGATGCTTAAATTATTTTGCGGAAATTGCATGTCACTCTCATGTTTTGTTTATCTGTGATGTAATATTGAAAGTGAGACTTGAAGAGTCTTGACCTCAAACCTGTAGAATGTGAGTGTATATTTATGAAATATTTTAATAACTCAGTTACACTCAAGGGTAGACACTCCATGTAGTAGATAACAAGGGGACATCTCAAAACATGGCGAGCTTGATTTGATGGGAGCTTACTAGGGGCGAACCTTGAAATTGCCAAGACAACAAAACAACATCTATTTTGAAAACGAGATCAAGATAAGGTTCACTTTTAAGCCCAAAGCTTATATATTATACATATTTTACATGTCGAGAAATTATTTGTTCAGTATACCTTGTGGATAATTGGATGTTAGGAACGCGAATAGTTTATAATTTACTCATGGTATGATTTTTATTCACTCTTGGATATGCTCGTCTTGCACATATCATATATATATTCATTTATAGATAAAAATCATGTCACTCATAAATCATAAGCTATCCCCTTTTTATTTCTCACATGTATTCTCTATTTTATTTAGTAGGGTTCGTGTTAATTTGTTCTTTGTTTTAGTGACTTGAAATTATGACACTACCCCTGGGTTTATTCAAGAAAACCAATCAGACACTTCTTGAGTACATTATCATGATTTGATTCACTAGCTATTGCCTCACGCTAGACTACATTATTAATTGCTATGGATATACTTCAGTTTAAATTGAAATCTAAAGGCTTCTGAGTGTCTTAGGCGACCTTCGTTATTCTCTCATGAAAAATGTGTTCTGTAAGAATACGACTTTCTAACTGTATAATGACAATTGGATATATCAAGCGAGATTATTAGAATTATATTGTTCATTTGAGGTTGAAAAAATATTTACCTATTCCTTATTGAAAATTCATTTGTTTGCTTGATCTACAGCTGAGTTGAATTGTGCAAGTTTACACAGGGCATAAAGTGCCAAAGCCGCAGTAAAGACGAATAAAGACTTTAAAAATGGATTTAGTGACAAACAATACCAAGAGTAATACTATTGGGCGAACTTTAAATGAACGGGCTATTGATGTAATGTCAACAAAGCGGACTTTGAGTCCCAGGACAAAACAGAGTTTATACGGTGTCTATAAGAGTAAAGGCGATTTGGAACTTAACCAATATACAGACCATAAACCTGAAAGGGTCGCTGATGTTTTATTACGTGGATTAAAACCAAGTTCCTCAGGGCCAAGTAAGTCACTAACCAGGGCAAAGAGTCATAACAGAGGCCATCAGAGACGTTTGATAACGATCATTACCAGATTAGATAGGATATTAGTTGACAATACAGCCAAGATTGAAGCAGATCAAATAGAGGTTTTTAAGGATTTTATTAAAGATAATCCACAATTGGAAGAAAAGTTCAATTATTTATTCCGTCATAATAGGATAATGGCTCGGAAACTAGGGATACCAATGCCAAGGGAACTACCGGCAGAGATAACAGTTACCCCCATGTTCAAACAATCTAACCATAAGAAGACGTCTGACTCACGTGGAGATAACGCTCTCGTAGCTGATGAAAAGGGTATCACTGTAGAATCGGGGAATAAAAAAGACGAATCAATGATTGGTGAACGAACTTCTCCAAATATTGCAGTAAACATCAAACCCAAAACGATGACATCAAGGAAACAAACGATTGATGGAACATCTAATTTGACGTTTCCAGAAGATGGACTACGACGGAATTATCGTAGACCGCAATCGGAACCCCTACACAAGAAAAACAAATACTTGGAATTCGATCTTAGTACATCAAACATGATTCTCAATACAATGACTGTTCAAAACACAGACACTGAAGGTATGGTCACGTTCAACCCTACAACAAGCAATCTCACTCCTAGACACTCTGATACACTTCGAAAATCAAATTCAGAAAATTCTACGACTAAGAAACCCAAATATGTAAAAACAACTGATTTAATCAACACTGAATTTGGTTTTCAAAAACCCCGAACATATTCGCTGGACGGGTATATCAATGACAAGAAGGAGCGATGCGAAATTGACAAAGAGATTGAACTGAGTGCAATGAGACATATCAAAGCAGCACAGACGCCTAGCTTACGATATAAAGGCTGTAAAGCCCAAAACAGTTTCACAAACCTCCAACAAACGCTAACTCCAAAAACATCGGACAAAAACCGAAATAAAAATGAAATAACAATTTCGAAAGATTCTTCCAAAGGTTTGAAACTCCATAAAGGTACTTCAATTTCAAATGGAAAAAATTCTGGCACTGACAATGTGAATTTATATCGTCTGCCTCCGTTGGAGAATGGACGGAAAACTCAAGAGGGTAACTCAAGTGATAAGAGAGTGAGATTCGAGAAGGTTAAAGTGGAAACAAGTTAAGGATTGGTGGATTTTGAAATATTTCTATATGCCGTGAAAGTCAAAAGTGGGTTGGAGTACTGGCAGATGTAGAGCGACAACCATAATAAATTATATATTAATATAACATGTATTTTGACTGTTGTGTTTGTTGTGTCTCTTAGAAAATAGCATGTTTCAAGAGCAAGTATTTAGCAGTTGCCCGGTTGATATTTGTGTTTTACAAGGGCGCGCGTGAACTCAGCAAAGAACATGGAACAGTTCATAAAGTCACGATTAAGTAATAATGGTAACTGATGAACCTAAAGGCTTCGAGATCAATTCTTATATTAGTCTCTATTAGCCTTCTCACAAACCACTCTTGAATAAAGAAACCAGAGAGTCTGTTCTACAACGATAACATTGTAATTAATCTCATCATTATAAAATACTTTTTGATTAGAGGAAAGTCAAAACATGTTTTGTTGCTCACTACGTGAATGCGCATATAAATGATGGTTTTGTTTTTTCGGTATTAGCCTAGTTGATGTTGAATAGATCTAGGATTGAAACCGCCATAGAATCTGAGTGTTTTGACAGCAACATTTACAATTTACTAATATGTCCTTCTGAAATCCAATATAAAAAGTGCCAGAGGGCTTGTTTTGTGGAAATTTTACTGATCAAAATTATATAAGTTAGTGATAGAATAAAATGTATAACCAAATTGCACGACTTCTCGACGTCTTAAAATCATGAAATTAAAAGAGATTTGAGGTTATAGCAAGGAGTGTGTGCACATATATTCTTGCAAATTTTTATTCAATAGGCAATGATTCGTTTTTTATCATTTGTCCTACTGCTTATATGTAACAAACGGTTTCATACACCAGTATTTTATTTTGATTATAGCCACTATGCTTTAATTACAATCAAAAGTCATATTAAAACAATAGTTTAGCCCGAAGGGATCTCACTATGGACGATAAAACCTATATTGGATTCAATTTTAATATCAAAATCATTAGTAGCAAAACGATTTCATTTACTCAGTAGTATACAGTTGGAATGATCAAGGACATGGAAACTGGAGTCAATATATGTTTGTTAATCGCCATTTTCAACTATTTGGCTACAACAGGTTCGTCAATTTTGTTATTTATATTTTGATAACTCATGACATATTATATTCTATCGTACATTTTAGAGCATGGCAAAAATATGACTGGAGTTGGTTTCGATATTTGTATAGATGGCAGTAGGTCGCAGATTGGTTGTTTTATACGCACTGGTTTTATGGAATGAACACCATCATTTTGCTATAAGATAACGCAGAATAAAATTCAATAATCATAGGTACTTGGTCGATAGAAAGGTGCAAGAAGATGGGGAAACCAGACAAGCAGAAAACATCCCTTTTAAAACTAATTAAAGACTTAATAGTCTTGTTTCAAGCGGCCTCATCTCCATATGTGTTGGAGAGTGTCATAGATTTGGTGCAAGACGAACTTTCTTTACACATGTTACATAATTCTATTCTTCCTCGAAGGGATTAACATCAATATGTCTCAATATTATCAATGCAACAACATTAATTCTAGTCAAGTCTTCTGCTCGGTTTACAAATTGTACGTACTTTTTATTTCTTTTTTCTAGTTTTACCCATCTATTAACCAGTAAACTTAATGTTATCAATATTACAGTGGCTGAAGTGAATTACTCCGGAGACTTCAACAAGCAATGTTACTCCCGGGAATCAGAATCCCCGGGGATATATTTCCCGGTAATCAGAAGACACTGGGACTGTCCAGAGATGTTAAGTGAGATGGGGGAGGAACAAGACGAAACAGAATGGCCCCCACCCAGATTTCCACCAGAAGATCAATTCTTTGAGTTCACCATGAACGGGCTCATGCCCATACAGCGGATGTGGTACTTCTCTCGGGCGCAGGAGAAAAATCTCGGAAAGAGTAACAACATCGATCCACATTGGACAGAGACATCTATAAAACAGTTGCAAAGTAAAACAAAGTCAGATGAAGTGATCAGTTCATATGAAGTTGAATCAGACAGACTCATCAAAAAAACTTTAGAAAAGTTTAGAGACAATATAGACGAGAAACATGGAATAGTTATAGGCAGTGAACGACCGTGGTTAGAGGCTCATCTTCTTAATGCAAATGCAAAACATGTTACAACTTTAGAGTACGGCTCCATCAAGTCCGATCATTCCAAAATTTCAACCCTCACTCCAGTTGAACTCTCTAAGAGATTTCAAGAAAAAGCTCTGTCACAATTTGACTTTGGGTTTACTTACTCATCTCTTGAACATTCTGGGCTTGGTCGGTATGGGGATCCATTAGATCCTTGTGGCGATCTCAAGACAATGGCCTGCGCCTGGTGTATCATCAAACCCGGTGGGTTGTTCTTTCTCAACGTGCCTACGTCCAAGGACAACTCTAGCCATACATTCTGGAACGCTCATAGAGTATATGGACGCGAGAGACTCAAGTTCATGGCAGCAAACTGGAATGTCGTAGATAAAATAACATATCCGACAAACAATCCAGACACTGATACTGTATGGGTGTTTCAAAAACCATAATTGATTAATAATAAACGTTTTTCCTCGGGCCATGACTTTTTAAAGCTTCATCAATGTGATGAAGCTTGATATAGGTTTTGCGTTGTTAACAGCACATGTGATCAAACATTAAACAACTAGTGACTGCCATATAATGTGACCATGAATAAGCCAATGAGCATCTAGAATACATATGGGGTATATAATAATCCCAGATGATATAATATATATTCATTCATAGGCTACAACGAGTGATAAAAATAATGCTCAATAAAAAATATGACAATGCAATCAATTCATCTCCATATCTTTAAACGAAAGGAGATATTGGCTAATCGACCCTTAAAGATCATACAGACGGGTTATCTCATTTAAACAAATGTATACCATGTATACCAGTGGATGATTTGTTTTTGTAAATAATGTCAGATACAATAATCCAACAATGACGTTGTAGTATAAAAATGTTTATATTTCAATTATTTACACCTTTATGATATAGCATATTACATACAGCCTGATCTGATTACAAACAATGGAATCCATAATCAAATACAAGTATACAAATTGGTCTATCACAGCAAAGACATATAATGTTTTATATGTCTCTGATGACAGGGGATGAAGAAAATTACCAAATCAGTATCGATCATTCAGTGTTGAGTATAAGGGTTTATTCCATGATGGTGAAATTCCCTACAATCTGATTGGTCCACGTGACTTAGTATCTTTTCTTCATCCCCTGTCCACCGTGTTGTCTATCACTACTCTCAATAGTTGACCCCATGCGGCAAGATACAAGTTGAGTGCATCACATGCAGTGAGTACTTCATCTCCATGATTCACAGTACACGCTTAGTCAAAACTTATTGAACAAGCTCAGCATACTTCATATTACACGCTTAGTCAAAACTTATTGAACAAGCTCAGCATACTCGGACATTTTCTAACATTTACATTAAAACATACAGTCAAAAGTATATCCTTTGGAAAATGAAATAGAGAATATATAAAGTATGACACGTTATACGTTCTCTCTACGCGCTTAACTATAGGTACAAATTCAAAATTTCTTAGCTTAATTGAATTTCAATCCCGACAAGTGGTTATATTATAACTTTTTCATTTTATGAACTAAAATCCATCCAGCTGTTCACAGTCCATCTTATTATATACAGTTCAACCAATGCTTCCAAAATGATGTCAAGACAATGTCAAAATAGTTCATGTTCAGACTCTACAAGTTCATCTATTCTTGAAAAGAACTCTATAAAATCCCTACGTTATGGAGCACCATTTAAATATTAATTGTACAACTTTGGTGCATTAACAAATATATTAATCAATATGGTATATATTAATTGCTAATAATGATAATGACTAGAGTTTTGACTCATTAACATAAGTACACAGTTGGCATGGCGACATTACACTTATATGATAGAACCCACACACTTGTAACAAGCATACGATTTAGAAATGATACTTAAAGTATAATCATCTTTCTATACAGTATTTTAAAATTACACAAATCACAAAGTCAACAAAATCACATAAATGATGTGTATCACTTACGAAGATCGCAAGTCATCTCCGGTTTGGTAGAGTTGTCAGTATAAATTCGCAACTCATTTAGAAATGTTATCTTCTATACAGAGACCAAAAGGAAGATATACCATGTTATACTGTACTACGTCACCGGAGGAGTAACTAGCATTCAAAAGTAGATGAGGCAAATTTGATTAGGCGAGGCAAAAATCTAATGTTTTTCCGTTGAAGCCTCGCCTGCCTCATAGCTAACTACGTCCACGATTTTTGATCTTCTTATTGTTTTATTTTGGATCTGGTGCTCTGTTACACTTTTCATAAATGTATGTTTTCATTAGCCATCATCTCTAACAAATCCCAGAATATAAGACAAATGCACAAATGGACAAATGGAATTCAATTTCGGGCCTAAAATGAAATACCTCTTCTGAATTAATGCTAGATATCTTAAACATCCAATTTGTATAAAAATGCTATAGAGAAAGTGTAAACATTTGTTTAGAAATGATGACTGCAACACATGACATAATAAACGCCAGTTTTTGATTGGTATGTGAGGAGATTGTGGAAGTATGTGATGAAACCTCGTATGCTCTGTGGTATTCACGAATTTCACACGAGTCCGAGATTTCCTTTGGCAATATTTTCTTCACTAAGTCTGTGAATAATTTCACCGCACTACTACCACATTCTTGTATATGTTGGCTCACACAAAACATTGAAGTGTCAAATGATCTGAAATAAAAAAAATATATTCAATAATATGAGAATTATCATCATTAATGTATCTATTTTAACTACATTTCATCATTTCAATTTTCATATAAACTTCTGAAACAAACGAAATCATTTTTTAAAAGAAAGGGCTGCAAAAAATAATTGTTCTGTTTGACCTTCTGTTTTATTGTGTATATTATTGCTTTTATAGGTCTAAACTATAGAATTTAAAAAAATGTTTGTACAATTTTTTTTATTAAGATGTAAATATTGAATTGCAACGTTGACAAAGCGCCACCTATGATTATTTTTAAATGTTTTTAGATAATAAGTGCACTTACATACAAATAGGTGTCATGTTTAACTCATCTATTTGTAATTTTAAATCGTCTTGGAATTTGTTTAGGCACTGGGTTGTTTGTTTCTCATGTCGTCTGTAACAAACAACATGCTCATTGTATCCTGAAAATAGAAAATTGATTTATTACAAACTTTTGACCAAGATTGTATATTTAATGAATCAAAATAAGTATAATATGGTGGATGGGGGGGGGGGCATTAAAAGAGAATATGCATCCTTGCAGCAAGGGTCTATAGCATTTGATACATAAATGAAGTCCTTTAAAGAAGGACGAGAGTATGATAAAGGTATGTTATTTTTATCTGACATATTAGTATATTCATGATTTTCTGTTAATGACCTCCTGGAACCTAGACGTCCTTGTGATGTTTTACACTATAAACCATGAATCATAACTCGGACTAAATTCAATTTTGATAATAGCATACTTACGACGGAGCATAGTTGTATCATGACATATTTGCCCAATTCCCTCTTGTAAAGCTTTGAGTCCTACTGTAGTTTCCCTAACGCGAGGAGGACAGTCTCGAACTATGTTGGTTATACACGATATTGTGGCATCATAGTCACTGAAAATAAAAAAAATAGTTACATTAAAGGACAGTTTCAAGATTGAAAAGCACAATACAAAATCCGAATCTTTATTCTTACATGTATAAAATCGCCAAAGTTGAAAAATAGAATTTAACAATGATTTTTAGTTTCGCATTGGATTTTTAAATCCAATCTGTCTAATAATTTCTATAATTTAATGTTGTCCATTAAAGTTGTAGAGAATGATTGAAAAATATTTTTGGTTAACGCTGTACATGCCATTCTTCAATCACATGCCAGTACACTTTCCAAGATCCAAGGTACGGAAAAAACCATTGACCAGAAACGTGTAGATGAGGAAAGAGAGCAAGTGAGGGCTAGAGCTGTAGCCCTGCGAACGGATGAATTTGGAACTTGTGATTTTAAAGGGACTAGTGACGCTTACCTGCAGCGCTGTTCCCATTGTTTCCCGCTCATTGTCGATAGTCCCGTCAGCCCCATGTCAGGATTGCCATGCCTATTGAGGAGACGCATACATTGTTGGACCTTCTTCATGGTATCTTTATTGTTTTTAGGGCATGCTGCCTCTGTGAGTATTAGCACACCTGAAAACACAAAACGCCCATCATGAGAAATCGTCAAAAACAAATGTTAATGTCAAAATATAGAAGATTGGGTCTCAGGTTGAGATGCAAGCCAATTCAAAATTATCCATCCGATTTTAATACTAGATCTATAAGGTTGTGACATCTATTAGACAGACTTTTTTATGTCAGTACTGCAATTTCATGGATCTATTTTAACTTATTAAAATCTTTTATTTACACACAGTATATGGAAATACACTCTCGGCAAATTTTTAGTAAGATTTTTTTCAATTCAAGTAAATGCATGTTTTTGGTTGCTTTCTTTAACATTCAAACATCAGTGGCAACGAACTTTCCATATTGACGATGCAATGACAAAGAAAAACGTAAAATGAGATATTACTGCCCTGATAATTGAATGCGACATCACATTGGAAAGGTTTGCACTCTTATTGGGATATATGTACCATTTCTTTTATAAAAATGATTAGTCTTGACACTGAGTGGATTCCTAGTAATCTTGCTACAAACTGCATTTAGCCATCACATTCTGGAGGGATGAGCTTCTGAGCAGTGTCTCTTATATCTTCACTCCCCAACTTAACCCTATTTAAATCTTTGAAATGTGATATAACAAATAGACTTGCACGTATCTGAGGTTTTAGCCATTTGCTACCATAAAAATATGTGCTCTTAATATAAACAATATTAAGTGAATGATACGGTGTAATAATGATGTACTGTAGAAAATGTATTTATCGTGAGTAGTTAGTAAAATTAGCATTCAAGCGCGGTGGCATGTTATTGAATAATGCTGGCGGGCGGGGGTTCTTGGGGATATTCTACAACATTCTAGAGGGACAAAAATGTTTGACTTTCAATATTATGTGTCGTATAAGGATTCTCATTATGAAAAAGATCGATGGACTAGGAATGCCGATTCTTGTTTTGAAATGCCTTTGGACTTCCCTTGAGCCATAATTGGATTGCTTTCATCGTGTTTTCCTTGTCTTCAGACTTGTAATGTTTAAACAATAGGATTCCGGATTGATTTGTTGTTATAAATATGTAAAAACACAAATTTGCCCAATGGAGAAATGGACGACAAGGTATTATCGAGGGACCTTTACCATGGTATTGTTATTCACTGTTGTTATTGATGCAGTCACATACATTTTCTCTATAACAGAATCATGTTGCTGAAGTGCTTTGGGTAGCCTTAATTCAATCAATCCGCAGTGAACACAAAGTAATAGGGCGGTAATTTTTAGATCATTACAGCTGGGTAATTCATTTCTATCTAAACCTGAACGCCACGGATATGGACGGTATTGGAAATCTCCTCTTGTAAAAGAAGTTAAGGGGATAAGGTGTGATCATCATTTCCTCATTTATTATTGTCAGACGCAAGTTCTTGGCTTAGTGGGCATCCAACTCGGCTTTTCCAGGAGTTTCCTGGCATGTCACTGTTGATTGAGTTCTTAAAGTAAATCGTTGTTTATCCCCATGTCTCATGGTGATTCTCATTTTTATAGTTTGCTAGGAAACTCACGATGAGCAATATAAGATTCTGGTTTAGATTTTTGTTGTGTTGTGCTTTGAGAAAGTATGAATTCGATTCAGAATATATACTCTGTTTTATTTGTACTTACTTTACCGAAGAATGTAGATATGTTACAAAACGAGGTCAAATGGGATTAGTTCAACTTATTCTTACACAATACTATCATTTAATTCCAATGTGATTTAATAATTTATTTTGGGGTTCTTTAAAATATGCACCACAAGAAGGATTATTGTCTATGACTGATAATGATTTAGAGTATGGTATTCCCACAATGGATGATTTAAAGGTTATGGTAACCAAGCATAAGTATGATAAAATACCCACAATCGTGCGCAGTATGGGAGGTTGGGAATAATGCTTTAGAGGAGAACCTTTATCAGCTAGTCACACAACATAAATTATAAGTAATGGCAAAAACAAACAACCCGAACCTTTTAAATCATCGGTACTCATCAATTTCATTATTGCAAATAGTGTAATTGCAAATAATAGAATAATTGCAAATGAGTCTTTTTGATCAGTAATGATGATAAATCAAAATTGCTTATATCCCCTTGTCAATAAGACTACCAATTTTTAGAAAATTTCCAAATATCTTGGGTCATAACCATAATGATCCCACAAAGAAAACTCATATTTCCCTGGAACTGGATTTGCATTTTAGGCTTTGATGGTCTTCATAGACTAATAAAGAAAAATTTATTCGCGAGGTAATTTTTCATGAAATACCCCATGTGGTCGTATATAAATTTAATGGCGGACTAATGTTCAAAAAATGAATTCATCTTGCTTCTTAGAGGATAAAGTAGTTAGAAGCTAATGATTATTAATCCCCGTAGCAATTACATAGTATGGTCTTTAGTGATGATTTAGTAATAATCGAAGTGTCCAAATGTCCACTTTGTAATCTATATTGATATACTACCTAAGTGTCATCAATACATAAATGGTCTTCCAGAAACAAAATCTATTAAAATCTAGCCAGTTTAGTTTTATTGCGTGTTTTTGTGTTCTTTCTTGACTGGTTTACACTTAAAGTTTACTTTTCTTGCTAGGTTTCTTGGTCCTCTCCCTTTGGCACTTGTGCTTAGATATTTAACAAAGTTTGAAGTTTCAATAATCTATAATAGCCGGACATTTTTAGTTATAATGGTACATCTGGAAATCTACTTTCGTAATACAGCCTCCACGTATACACAGAAAAGATTTACGAGAAAAGATGGTGAAGTTTGGAAGTAGTTGCTATGGTAACATTATACTGGCAGATACAGTTTAAGTGGGTCTGGGGAAATGGATCATGTATAAACAATAAACACTGGTATATTTCCTGAATACCTGTACGAATTTCATCTCACACATACAGTCACGATAGAGCCGCATGTTGAAATATTTGTTAAATCCTTTAACGCCTTTAGGGTGTCTATTCCATGTTTTAATGTTGTAGTTTTATAAAATAAAATGTTACACATACGATACATTTGATTTAAGTCTAGCTCTGAATGGCAAGACATCTAGCTGAAGCGCAAGTAAGTTATAATACATAAAATAAACCCTTTAAGTAATATACATTCAATACAGTCAGCAATCCTAACTCCGCATCCTTGGTCCAAGGGTCTCAAAACTTTCTATAGCTGCTATAGGAGTGAAGCCCGATCTTGATAGTAACCTCTCAAAATACACCACGAGTCTAGTTCAATTAAAAAAGCATATAGATCAAGTGAGATAACCCAGCTAGATCTCTTGATGGGAATATCTCAAATAAATCTCTGTTCCAATCTATTGTCGCAAATACAATGGAGAAGAATTTCTTCGAGGGAATCAATGATCATCAAAGTTAAATCACTTCTTTATTTATTGAGCAAGTTAATCCATATATTACTCAAACAGACTTCCCAAAAGTAAACTATGTTTGTATAATTGCGATCCGTTATTTTATTGATTCATATTATTTTCATGTTTGAAGAGTCGATTGATACAAAAAGCAAGATGAGGAGTAGTTGACATGTGTGATAGGAAGGCTAAGTCCGTTCAAATCAGTGATAACCATCCAGATCAATACTCAATTCCATTTTACCCAGGGTTTCTAATGCCTTCTAGGGGGTCGGTTGAAATGCAAAATGGGTTGTGGATGGTGATTATTTCAATAGACGTACAGTTAGCACTTTCGGTTGACGAACGCATTGAATTTGCACGATTGATTCAAATTGTAAGAGAAATGGGCATGGGATTTGTACATTATATGGATGACATTTATGAGATGGGCAATAGATTTTATGCAGACAGAACTGGTTGTTCTTGTACATGGTGCTTAGGTGCTCAACACAGTGGAAAATAACTTTAAATTAACGTAAAGTCAGTCTATGGTATCGGAGACTTATCAAATATCAGGATGAGCCAAGAATCAACCAAGCTTAAAGGTGATAATAAGCAGAAAAGAACTCTGCCCTAAGCCCAATTAAACCAATCGGGTATAATGTATAAGTTATTCTAAACAATGTATGAGAAAAAAGACCGGTTCATGAAAAACAATATAGGCTAGAGGGAACTGGGGGTAAAAATAACTTTTATTGTACACTCACCACAACGCATCATGTTTGGTACCAAATTAAAGCTGAGAATCCAGGCTTTCAAGTTCTGCTTGTCCTAATATAAAATTGTGGTATACCTTTTAAATTAGATGCGTCTGTTGCTATGGTTACCATTTTATCATAAATGCCATTTTACTCTTTTGAGGTTTTAAGGTATGTTCATGTTCAACAGTATTTTTCTAGGATATTTGACTAAGAATAATAAAAACCTAACCACAAGACTAGGTACTAATTATATACTCTTTAAAAATATTGTGATGTCATATTTTACCATAGCAACTACCTAGCAACAGTCTGAAATGAACATCAGATCGAGAACTTATGGTCTAATTTGACCTTTCTGTTCCATGCCAATGTCAGAAATGTTTTGGTACAGTGTATCTTTGGAAAGCAAGATGTGCATGTTAACAATGAGTTCCATATCATATTAAAAATGTGTTCTGTTTGCAATGGAAAAGGAGGCTGATAAACCAACTATTTGCATTATTTAATATGTATGTTATGAATAATATGTTAAAATAGTTAAAATAAACCTTATGATGGAATCTTTCCAAAATCACTTTTACCTAAGTTGCAAAATTTTGAGCCAAAAATTGTTGAATGCCTGTTTCCATAGCAACCCTAAAATTAGAGTTAATTAACACCTTTTTGAACATATTTTGCTTGTTTTTTATTCAATTTTAATGATATTTGCACCAAAATGATCGCACTGAAAATGTGAATGTTCTTATAATCATGCTGATAATTCATTTGAATATGCTAGCCATGGCTGTTCGATGGGATTTGCTACGCTTTGGCGTTGCTGTTGTCTCGCTGAATATATAATAAATATATCAACTAATTAGTCTGGCAGAAATATAGGG